TGAAGAGTATGTGATGGGTGATTGGTTCTTGCATTTACAATTTTATATATATATATATATATATGTGTTGTAAGTATGGGTTGTGTAGAGTGTGTAACAGAAACAAAAGAAAGAAAGAAAGAAAGAAAGCACAAAGTGTGTGCGATGTATGCAAGTTCTTTACTCTTGTGTAATTAAAACAATAGCCAAAAGTGTAAGGCATTGTTTGTTTGAGTGTTTTCTAAAAATGAGTGATTAAACACCAAATGTTTCCTTTGTCTTGATCCAAAATTACCATTACTTCCGCTAATACCCAACAAATTTGGTATCAGAGCTTAATACCCTTCTATCCTCTTAAATCCCCATTCTTCTATCCTACCCAAATCTTCTAAAAAAGTCATGACAACAACTTCATCAAACACCATGTTTGCTACCTCCTCAAATCAAATTCTCATTTTCGATGGAGAATTGTACGAGTACTGGAGTGCCCAAATGGAGCCAATTTTTATCTCTCAAGATCTGTGGGATATCGTTCAAGAAGGCTACGAAGATCCACAAGACGAGGATGAAGACTCGAAGAAACGAGCAGGCAAGCAGACAAAGGAGTACAAGGAGAATGCCAAGCAAAATGCCAACGCCTTGAGAATCATTCAGCAAGCAGTGAGCAAATCTATTTACCCAAGAATCTATGGCATCAAAAAGGCGAAAGAAGCTTGGGATGTCTTGCGTGAACAATTTCAAGGTTCTGAAAAGGCAATCTCTATCAGGCGCCAAAGTTTATGGCGACAGTTCGACAACTTGATGATGAAGGAAACCGACACCATTAAAGACTTCCATTCACGTGTGGCGGAGACAGTCAACCAGATCAAAGCCACCGGTGACGTCATGGAAGAGAGGAAGGTCGTGGAGAGAATTCTCCGGAGCTTATCATCAAAGTTCGAGCATATTGTTGCTGTCATTGAAGAAACCAAAGATTTGGCAAATTTATCAATGAGCGAGTTGATGGGCTCACTTGTAGCACATGAGCAAAGAATGAACCGATTCACCAAACCGCCATTGGAGCAAGCTTTCACGTCAAAAGTCAACATGACGGAAAGTAAATATGCCAAATCGGAGCAAGGCCAGAGAGGGGGAAACTCACAAGGAAGAGGAAGAGGAAGATCCAATTACAGAGGAAACAACAGACAAAATTATCAACAACAAAGATTGGGCTACACCGGCTCAAGTTGCATAATTTGCAAAAAGGCGGGTCATGCAACAAAAGACTGCAGATTCAAGTGCACCAAGTGCAGAATTCAGAACCACTCCCAGAGAGATTGTTGGTTCCAGAACAAGCAAAAAGATGGCGAGTCAAGCGGCACCAAAAATGAAGAAAGCAATATGGTGGCCTTGTCATGCTTGTATGGTGAGCAAAAATCACAGCTTCCCTGGATGGTGGATAGTGGTTGCAGTAACCACATGACTGGAGATCTGGAGTCCTTCACCGACATCGATGACAAATACCGCTCTCAAGTCAAATTGGGAGACGGGAAGAAGCTAAAAGTGGAAGGAAAAGGCACAGTTGTTGTATGCAAGGCAACAAAACTCTCATTCGAGATGTTTTGTATGTTCCGGAGCTAACTCTCAATCTACTTAGCGTGGGACAACTGATGCTGAAAAATTACAAGCTATTGTTTGATAATGGCGTGTGCGAGATTATCAACAAAGCAGACAATTTCATGGTGGCCAAAATCCCGATGACTTCCAACAGAATTTTCTCTCTTGCTATGTCACAAAATGGTGAAGTAGCATTCAAGAGTGAAAATCTGGATCAATCCTTCCTATGGCATCTCAGATACGGTCATCTCAACTTCAGAGGCCTCAAATTGTTGAGGCAGAAAAATATGGTGGCGGGACTTCCCCAGATCAACAGAGAAGATAAAATATGTGAAGGATGCATATATGGCAAAATGCATCGTTTACCATTTCCAAAGACATCTTGGAGAGCAAAAGCGCCACTGGAGTTGGTACATGCAGACATATGCGGTCCAACCCGAACACAATCACTCAGCGGCAAAAGATACTTTCTACTATTTGTAGATGACTTCACCAGAATGATGTGGGTATTCTTTCTGGAGCAAAAGTCAGAAGCTTTTCCCAAGTTCCTTCAATTCCAAGCAGTAGCTGAGAAGGAAAGCGGCCATCAAATCAAAACTCTCCGTACAGATCGTGGAGGAGAATTTATTTATACTCCGTTCATGGAGTATTGCCGCAACAACGGGATAAAAAGGCAGCTGACGGTCCGTTACACACCACAACAAAATGGCGTGGCAGAACGGAAAAATCGCACGATTGTGGAGATGGCGAGAAGTATGCTCAAAGCAAAGAAGCTTCCCAACAACTTGTGGGCAGAAGCGGTCAATACAACAATTTACATCCTCAACAGATCACCAACCAAAGCAGTTCGGAACAAGACACCGATACATGCGTGGCACCACAGGAGGCCACAGGTGGATCACCTCAAAGTCTTTGGGTGCATAGCTTATGCACATATTTCTACCCCAAACCGAGACAAGTTTGACCAGAAGGGAGAGAAGCTTATCTTCACTGGCTACAGTGATGAGTCCAAAGGCTATCGTCTTTACAATCCAGTAAAGAATGAAGTGGTGGTTTCCCGAGATGTGATCTTTGATGAGATGGCGGAGTGGAATTGGGAAAATCCAATTTCTCAATCTCCACCAAGTTATGAAATTCTGGAGGACTCAGCAACTCCAGAAGACCCCAGCAACGACCCAGATCCAGTTGCTAGTCCAGAAAGAAATTCTGCACCTAGCTCAGAAGGAGACAACTTCAGAGACGTCGTAACAGACTCGGATTCACCTCCGTTGAGAACAAGGTCTTTGCGAGAAATTTATGAAACAAGTCATGTTGCATATTTTTCTTGTGAGCCTCAAGTCTTTGAAGAAGCAGCCAAAGATGAAGTTTGGAATGTGACGATGGATGCAGAAATTTCCATGATCGAGAAAAACAAGACATGGGAGCTTGTTGATCAACCGGAAGACAAGCCGGTTATAGGTCTCAAATGGATCTATAAGATCAAATTCAATGAAGATGGTACTATCCAGAAGTACAAAGCTCGACTGGTGGCAAAGGGCTATTCACAACAGCCCGGTATTGATTTTCACGAGACATATGCACCAGTAGCGAGAATGGAGACCATCAGAACAGTTCTCGCTCTAGCTGCTCAACTGGAGTTACCAGTATACCAGCTGGATGTCAAATCAGCATTTCTGAATGGAGAACTGGAAGAAGAAGTCTATGTGGAACAACCACGAGGCTATGAGAAAAAAGGAGAAGAAGACAAAGTCTATCGTCTCCGAAAGGCATTATACGGGCTGAAGCAAGCACCGAGAGCCTGGAATAGTAGAATTGATCGATATTTTCAGCAGAACGGATTTCAAAGAAGTCCGAGTGAAGCATCTCTCTACATAAAAAAGGGAGAAGGAAAAGATTTTCTAATGGTGTGTTTGTATGTTGATGACTTGATTTACACAGGTACAAATCAGCATATGATCGAAGAATTCAAAAGTACCATGATGAAAGAATTCGAGATGACGGACTTGGGACTCATGAAGTATTTTCTTGGGATCCAAGTGAAGCAGTCACCCGGAGAAATTTTTATTTCACAGGAAAAGTACACCGAAGATATGTTGAAAAGATTTCACATGGCAACGTGCAAACCAATCTCAACACCGATGGCGTTAAACGAGAAATTACAACGCAGTGATGGAGCTGAAAAAGTCGATGGAAAGCTGTACAGAAGTCTTGTCGGGTCACTCATTTACCTGACACATACCAGGCCGGATATATGTCATTCAGTAAGTCTTATATCAAGATTTATGAATGAACCTAGCAAACTTCATTTTGCAGCAGCCAAAAGAATTTTGCGGTATCTTCAAGGTACAAAGAAATTGGGCCTGATGTACAAGAAAGAAGCAGAAAGCAAGCTGACTGGATTTACCGATAGTGACTGGGCAGGATCACTAGATGATCGAAAAAGCACATCGGGCTACATATTCTGCCTGGGTTCAAAACCCATTTCCTGGAGTTCAAAGAAGCAAAAGACCGTGGCATTATCTTCAGCGGAAGCAGAATATATCGCAGCTACAGATGCATCATGCGAAGCGGTATGGCTAAAAAGATTAATTTCTTATTTGTAGCAAAATGAAAATGGTCCAACCATTATTCATTGTGACAACATGTCAGCCATAGCCATGACAAAGAATCCAGTATTTCACGCAAGATCGAAGCATATCGAGTTGCGTCATCATTTCATTCGAGACCTCGTCAACGAAGGACTAATCGTGATGGAATTCATCAACACCGACGACCAACCAGCAGATATCATGACAAAGGCGGTTACTCGTGAAAAATTCGAGAAGTTCAAGGAGCTACTCCGAATTGCAAATTAAGAGGGGGTGTTGAATGGTAATTTGCAATCAACCTATCACTAAACACTACACATGGTAGGCCTCAACATTATCAACAATGGATTAATTATTATTGTCTCTTATGATAAATGTGAATGACCTATGGAACATGAGGTGTTCACAAATAGATGAGGTGATATGAAGCTCCAGCAACCAAATAATAGGATTCAATTATCACGTACAGCAAATGCAAAGGAGACAAGAGAAGTAATGCATGGGACATACATATATTAAAGACCATGTTAGTTTGTTATTCACGTTGCTGGAGAATTGAAGAGTATGTGATGGGTGATTGGTTCTTGCATTTACAATTTTATATATATATATATATATGTGTTGTAAGTATGGGTTGTGTAGAGTGTGTAACAGAAACAAAAGAAAGAAAGAAAGAAAGAAAGCACAAAGTGTGTGCGATGTATGCAAGTTCTTTACTCTTGTGTAATTAAAACAATAGCCAAAAGTGTAAGGCATTGTTTGTTTGAGTGTTTTCTAAAAATGAGTGATTAAACACCAAATGTTTCCTTTGTCTTGATCCAAAATTACCATTACTTCCGCTAATACCCAACAGAAGCTACAGTGTTTCATGCAATCTGTCAATCTAAGGTCGCTAATGAGCCCACGCCTGTCCAACAACTCCGTCGGGAATCTTGTCACCACCGCATTGGCGTCCTGCAAGGATACTGGCAACAACGTGACAATGAAGGAGTTGGTGGGTCTCTTGAGAGAGGGAATGGCGAGGATCGTTGATGAGAAGTATATCAACGCCATCTCCGACGCTGAACATGGGTTTGAAGCCATGCTTGAGAGCAACAAGATATTGGGAGAATGTGGCAGCGGGGAGCTTATGACTTGCTCAAGCTGGATCGGATTTGGTACCAACCGTTATGACTTCGGTTGGGGAAAGCCTCTCTGGACTGGTTTATACGGGGATCCGTCGGGGGATCATCCTTATGCCAACAATTTCCTTGTTTTCAAGGAATTAGGTGCTTGAGGGCGTGAAAATTCGAATGCCGCCATAGAAGCATGGATAAGGCTGGACGAAGACGTCATGGCTGTTCTTGAACATGATCCTCACTTCATCCAATAGGTTTCCCCCAATCCTCCTATCATTCTCAACTGATTATGATGTTATCAAACAGCTGATGATTAGCTAATGGACAGTTAATCACTATTAATCACCTCAATGTATGTTTCATGGTTTATTTTATATTATCTTGAGTAATGAATGAATGTCTTGGAGATTTGGCATATGGTTTCAGTACTGATATACAAAAAAAAATGGGACTTCATGAATAGACACACACAAAAGAGCTAGACATGAATGGAATTCATAATGTTAACACATTATTTTATTCTTTGATGTAATCTAATCAAACTTAATAAACATTCTATCCATTTTCTCACTCCAATTTGTTATTGAGCATTGTACAACAAAATAAACCCTTACTAGCCACGTTGTGAAGTAATAGATTATTGTAATTTATCTTTTATTCTACGTATTAGTTCATAAAAAAAAATTTCCGGCCGCACTCACAAGATGAACGTAGAAGTTTTCAGTTCAAACAATAAAATTTTGATTTCTCAAATCACATAATCGTCCGAATTTAGTTCTCATATCGTCATTCGTTTAAGGTACGGAATGGAAAAGAGAGTTGAATGTGTAGGTCAACAACCATAAAAGAAACAAAACTCTTTCACAATTACGGTCAATTCTTATAACTTAAGTTTTTATTGATGATCTCACTTTTTCCTATAATACGGGAATGGATGTTGTGCATAACTTACCTATTAATTACTATGCATAAACCTATACTTAATATTTAATATTTATGAAAGGCAACAAACTTTTTTCCAAATTAATTTTAATGAGTTATCTCTTTCATTTTGTGTCGTAATTGAAAAAAATTCATAGAAAAATCAAATTAAGTTCGCGCTTCAAAATGACATCGATTTTGATATATTTTAAAACAAAAAAAAATTGTGACATGTATTACGATTTCATACCATGATGGTAATTTTTTGTAGTAAATAAGATTATACTATATGCTATATAAGTGTATCATGGTGGTATTAACATATCATATTGTAAAATAGTTATATATAGGATAGTAGTAATATATTAATTGTCATTTACTACCTTTCATCACCATCTACCACTAGTTAACACCACATACCATTACCAAGGTGGTATAGGATGGTATATATGGTCTTGAAAAAAATTTCCCCGGATATTTGATCACAATATTGAAGTTGTTCCTTACGATAAAATATTTAAAAATATTGAGTGAAAAACGAAGGTGGTACATAGTGGGTTATCAAGGTGGTAACGTGTGGTATGGCTAGTGCGGAAAAAAATTTCTCGAACTATATTGAAAATGGATATAAATTTTAAGTTCACAACGAACTCGCTTCATCGGTGCAAATTTTTATGAAATCCAAGTTAAAAAACAAAGAAGATAAAAACCAATTTAAAAAGTAGGAAAATGAAAACGCTTAATAATAGCCATAAGTTCATCGCGAAGTAATAGTTTAGACAATGTTATATTGATGTTGACATATTTATTTGACAATGCTTAATTGATGGACCCTGAGTCCAGAACACAAAAGTAACACAAAGATATACTAAAATACACATTCCACGCAGTGAACTGCCCAAAGATCTTATCGGCAACAAGAATAGTTGGGTTATATAGGCACAGGATCCACGAGAATGTTGGTGAGCAATTCTTTCATGAAGGTCTTGGCATGCGTGTAAGTGTCTTCATCCTTATACAACAGGTCCATGACTCGCACCATATTTACTATGGTCATCAGAAACGGTAATGGAGCTTTCAAAGGCAGCATCAGATCTTCGTTCATGTCTTTCCACATTTTCTCCACCAAATTGTTCAACCCCGCGTACGCCTCTTGCTTTGACACGCGGTATTGCTTCGTGTAACACTCTACAGACGAAGCCACATGTCCCCTTTCTTGCTCAAACTATACCCACATATCGAAATATATATTATCAATTTAGGTTCATCTATATAAAATTAGCATTCAACGGGCATGTCATGTACGTTAGACATTTAAAAGGTGGGATAGAGCTAGGCCAGCCATATATATACCTCGTGGGAGACTATGTCATCCATGAGCCTGGCGATGCTAGAACCAGCAGCAAGGATTTTAGGGTTGGGTTGACTGAACAACCATTGGAAGACCTCTTTGGAAGCAATTTCTCCCATTCCACAATAAACCACTGTAATAGCCAGTGGATACCCAATGCTCACATAACCATTAGGCAAATGTTCCTCCATTGTTGCTACATAACCTTTGTTGTACCATCTGGCTTCCTTGATGAAAGCTCTCACTATATGTTTCACCTGTAATTCATATGTTTTTTACAATTAGTGACTTAGAAAATCATTACATCGTGAGAATATTAAGAACTGATGAGTTAATCAAGTGCAATTAATTTCATTAATTACGTACTGCTTCCCTTGCATACTCCATACAAAAGGACCTGCCTTCCTTGGACACATGAGCTTCAATTTCAGCAAACACCTCAAGCAATGTCTTGAACCAGAACTTGAAATAGCTAGGGAGCACGTCTTCATCTGTAATTTCCCACCTAATAGAAAAAATTTACCAAATTAATAAAATTTGATGAGAATACTTAAGTGTCTAACAAAGAATTACCAACCTCTCGATGACTTTGGTAATGCTCTCAAGTTCATCGATGGTGCCATGGACATCGAAAATGTCATCTAAGGTGGAGACAAGTGCGGTAATTTTCGTGACAAAAATTCTTCCACTGATATAATCAGGCCTCACAAATCCACCCAACGGCCACATGTAGCACTCTATCACCCTGTCCCGCGCAAATGGTAGTGTAGTTGGCGTGTCCAAATCCATCCACCACCTTTTATTTACCAATTACGGAAAGAAAAAAAGGAAAATCAGATGGCCATCCAAAATCCAATTATAGAGTCAAATAAGGTGGCGGTAGTGGTGGTTGTCTGGTTGTTGATAATTCAGTGAGACAGGACATTGCGACCCATCCTTATCAAAACCTTGTAGCTAGGGCACAATACAAAAACAAAAAACAGCACAATATGGCAATAGTCTTGTCCACTAATAAACCAGCTTTTTCTTTTTTTTGTGGAAGAAACCAGCTTTTTCGACACCACCTGTCAAAAGGATAAAGAATGATTACTTGGTGAGAATGTTAAGCTCGTGCTGATGCAACTTCTGGACCAAGTTGAAATCCAGCTTCCCTAGCTTCAGAATGGCTTCGTTGTGCCTTTCGTCTTGTTGGTATATCGACATGAAGTGCCTCGACTCTCTTATGGGAAGCCCTTTGAGTATGGGCCATTTCAACGAGTGTCTCACTTGGCTAGCCCAAGGCGAGTCCTCTAGCTGGGTAATGGGCTCAAGGTGAGTTCTTGCGAACACGAGTGCTTCATCCAGTACTTGTTCCTCGTTGACTCTGTAGTAAGCAGCTTCGTACAAGCTCAGCAGTCCTTTCACGTCACCGGTCACATCTTTCCTGAAGTAGCCTTTCTCGTCTTTGAATTTCGCCAACGCGACTGAATGGTATGAAGTCGCACACAACAAATGTAATGTCACAATATTATATGTTAGTAGTCGTTTCCCAACAAGCTGCAAGTATGCATGCATAGAATAATTATGTGAGAGGAATATATAAAATACATTATTAAATTTCTTCCAACAACACGATTTATTGAAATCAACTGGTTAATGATCCCGCGCTATTAAAATGATTTGGTCAAATGTTGTGTGTTTGGATTTCCATGATCTCAATATTAACATGGGATTTAATTAAGCACAATATATCATGAGTCTGTACAAATTAACTTCAAATTTATGATTTGGTTTTCGTTTAAGGAGATATAGAAAAAGGTCTTATAAGATCTATAATTAACTTGTTGGTTTCCAACAAGTTGAATTATTAACTCGACCCCAACTTATTTACGACAAATACTAAATGAAATAACTCACGCGTGGGATTGACGTGGTAGCCCTGCTGCCTGAGAAGCCGGAATCGGAGGGTAACAGCGTACAAGTCACCGTCGGCGTCGACATACCCATCGGCGGCGGCACCGGAGATTCGAAGCAGAGCTGCTTCGATCTCTTCTTCGAAATGATAAGCGATGCCGAGCCTTTGGACGGCGTCAATCATCTCCAGCGTTTCCAGAATCGTAGCCTTCTTCTCATCATCGTTACTAACAGCTCTCCTGAGCATCTCCCTGACTTCTTCCGTCAGTTTCTGAGCTTCCTCCAAATTCTGTTATAATATATATGAAGTTCCAAAAAATCGAAAAATAAAGTTTGAGTCTACCCTGTCAAAGTGTCAATCCATGGTTTATCGTAAAGGTTACGATGCAGTATAAATACATAATAAAAAAGGAAAAACGGAAGAAAAGAAAAGAAAAGGTGGTAAAAGTGAGAGATCGAGATCCTTTTTAGAGTTACCTGAGAATCAGCAGCGTTGGTGGAGATGTTAGAGCGAGCAAAGAAATCGTTCCAAACGGAAGGATGAAACTCCACCCTCTTCCTGCGCAACTCTGCCGCCGGTTCATCAATACCCACCGCCATAATCTCGGGGTTTTGCTAATGTACAGTAGCTAGCTTGGATCAGAGCAGTGTGCTTTGAGGGAGTGTGTATGTCTAGACTACACATCTATATAATGCGATAAATCATTTATTTTTAATTTTTTATGAACCCTATTATCATCCTTCAGAAGAGGTATATCGAAAAGACTAGTAGTCTATCCAGTATCCCATCCACATTCCATATGGGTAGGGTTGCAATTCGAGATTTTGCTTAGTTTGAGCTATCTTCGTTTTTAAATTTTGCAGTTCAAACTCGGCTTCAATTCTAGTTTTGATAATACATCTCGAGCTTGTGCTCAGCTTGCATTAAAGTAATCTAGATCTACTTAATAGAGCTAGGTAAATGCTCATTAACAGAGCTTGTCAAGATGTGAGCAAGCTCGCTCAATATGAAATCGATTTGAAATCATTTATGCTGAAAAATGTGTAAATATAAGAATTTAAATTATAAAAACAGTACTAGAAACTAAAAATATTACTAACTTCCATACACATCCTTATTAATAAGATAGTGTTCATGTTAAGAAGAGTAATTAATTCTTTCACAAGCTCTAAACAAATTAAATCAGCTCGCGAAATTAGCTCAACAAGTCATAGTGTCGGGCTAGCTCATGAGTTTATCAAACTGAACATGATATAGCTCAAATTCGACTCGTTACTAACGAGTTGGCTCTTATTAAATTTAAATAATAAATCAAGTATAGAACAAATTTTTTCCACTTGCAAATGGCTTAACTTATTTGCAGCCCTACATATTGGGCCATGGTATGACTTATGAGCCTGCCTGTTGGCTTCGCGGGCGGCCCACAAACTCCAAATATCACTCCACCAAACATAAAATAATCGAATTAGTAGAGCAAGTGGAAGTAAGGTAGAGGCGGCTGGGGATATTGTTATCTCTACACATAATATAATACACCGAAGGAAAAAACGGGAGCCCCATTTCAAATTTGCAACGAGAGTGAAAGTAGGAAGAACATTTTGGTCTTCACACTTACTTTTTTTAATTCATTAAAAAGACACGTAGTGGAATTCGAACCATGACCATTTTAAGGAAAAGTAAGGATCATAACCAATCACACTAAATACATTTGTTGCATCTTTTTAAATTAAAAAGATATAATAGCAGAGAGGAAAAAATCCTTCCCCCATTTCAAATTTCCTGCTCCAGGAGCGTTTGTAGGAATGATAGAATAGGGAGTGTCAATTTTTTCCTCTTTCCTCTGTGGAACGAGCCAACTTACCGTACACATGCGGATTTAAACGAGTTCAAGAGTGTCAATTTTTTCATTAAGCCCTTTTATTTCTCCGTGGTGATAAAATATATATGAAGAGGCAAAAACAATACTTCTTTTTATTGCTTCAGTTCCTTTTGAATTTCTATGGTTTTATTCCCGAATAAGTGATGTGCAAATGACAGTCATCTCTTTTCTTTCACTATTTTTTATTTTCAAATAAAAAGTTTAAAAGTAAAGAATAATTAGAATTTGGCATGGGTCGGTCAAACAGGTTGCATTTCAAGTTTTGGCCCCTTTTGATCAAGTCTAATTTATAATCACATGGTTCCCTGATACCAGATAAAAATCTCAATCCAAACCGGTTTGGCAGGTGAGTCCGTGTTTACCACCATTTTCTAGGGATACGAAAACGACGGTTCCTATCCCAAATCGTGTTGTTCGTTCTTGATTTCCTTAGATTTTATCATGGCCTGAAAAAAAACCAGAAAGCACAATGACGACAAGATGAAAGTTTTATAAACCAAATTAATCGGCCAACGGGCCGAGTAAAAGCTGGCAACGATTGTGAGATGCTCATTTCCTGAAAACGGCGATAGGCGATTTTTTATTCGATTTTCTGGAATTCAGTTTCTATAAAACTTACTCCACCTCATCATATTACCAGAAACAATATTATTTCACAAGGTAACAGGTACTTGATTTTGGTTCATAAGGCCGATTTTTGATTTGTTGCATCATTAATGTCTCTTTCTTGCTAAAATTCACTATTTTTATCACGTGTTTCCCAAAAAAACTATACAACAATAAGTTATACACCCCATTACATTATCAAATTTCATACCTCACCTTCCTCTAGGGATGGCAACAAAACCCGAACCCACGGGTACCTGCCCGACCCAACCCGGTCAACGCGGGTAAAATCCGTGTTGACGGGTTTTGGGCCGGGTTTGGGTTTAAACCCGTTCAATATTCATCGGGTTGGGTTGGGTTTGGGTTTAGGTAAACCCGACCCATGGGTACCCGCCCACACCCATATAATTAATTTTCTCGATATATTTAATATTCTAATTGTGAAGACATGTCTAATTTTTTCTTTCTAATTGTGTAGAATGAAGTTGATGTTATCGAGTGGAGAGTGAAGAAACTTAATTGAAAGGAAGAAGCTTTCAATTAATCATGTTATTTATGGATAATTTGTTATTTGCTTGAATTTTCTAGAATGGTATTTTATATATGGATAATTTGTATTGAGAGATTGATATTTGACTTTAATTTTGATAGGAACTTGTTATTGTAAATTTTTTAAGACAAAAACCTGTGGGTACCCATGAACCTGCGGATACCCAGGGGGTTGAGTTGGGTTTGAGTTTTTCAAACCCAGTGGATTTTACCCCGAATTTTTTTCACGGATAAACCCATGAATTTGGATTTGAATTTGGCAAACCCGACCCAACCCGACCCATTGCCATCCTACCTTCCTCCGGCCAACTGGTCGGGGCCCACACTAGTTAACTTATTATATAACTAGCGTGGGCTCCGGCCAGTTGGCCGGAGGAAGATAAGCTATGAAATTTGAGAATGTAATGCAGTGTATGACTTATTGTAGTATAGTTTTTTTTTTTTTTTGAAAACACGTGATAAAAATAGTGAATTTTAGCAAGAAAGAGACATGAATGATGCAACGAATGAAAAATCAACCTTATAAACCAAGTTCGAGTACCTCTTACCTTATGAAATAGTATTATTTCTGGTAATATGATGAGGTGGAGTAAGTTTTATAGAAACCAAATTCCATAAAATCGAATAAAAATCGCCTATCCCATCGGTCTTCGGGAAATGAGCATCTCACAATCGTTGCTAGATTTTACTCGGCCCTGTTGGCCGATTAATTTTCGTTATAAAACTTTCATCTTGTCGTCATTGTGCTTTCGCATTTTCCCCGGGTCATGATAAAATCTAAAGAAATCAAGGACGAACAACACGATTTGGGATAAAAACCATCGTTCCTGTATCCCTAGAAAATGATGGTAAACACGGATTCAGCTGCCGAACTGGTTTGGATTGAGATTTTTATCGGGTGTCAGGGAACCATGTGATTATAAATTAGACTTGATCAAAACAGGCCAAAACTAGAAATTCAGCTTATTTGACCGACCCATGCCAAGCTCCATTTATTCTTTACTTTCAAACTTTCTATTTGAAAATTAAAAATAATGAAAGAAAAGAGATGACTACAATTCACCATTTGCACATCACTGCTTCGGGAACAAAATCATAGAATTTCGAAAGGAAATTGAAAATGTTTATGATCGTTTTAATGTTAAAAATAACCAAATGGAGCTTTTGTTTAGTTTTTTACTAACAAATACCAAGCGATTCCCTATAAAATACACTATAATTTAATAATTATGATATCAAATAATTACATAATATATATTTAAAATTATAAAAATTGGATTAATTGGGTTGGTCGAGGTTGAAGCATTTAATAACTTTAACATATATTATATTTTAGCCACTAAGATATAAAATAATAGCATAATATATGTTATGCTAGAGAAAATAGCTTGTTTTAGTATGGCAAACCCATGATGTTCATTTATTTTACTTGATGATCAAATCTTGTATAGGTTAGTCTCATTCAACTCTTTTAATTTATGGTTAGCGATTAACCCATTAGAATCCATGCATTAAATTTTTTTCTTTTTTAGCAAAAAAAAGGAGTATTGTTTTTTCCCTTTCATATATATCTTACCAACACCGAGAAATAAAAGGGGTTAACAAAACATGTTTTGTTTTTGTTGGGCCGCAACAATTCCCGAGCCTGTTGAAGTCCGCATGTGTACGGTAAGTTGGCCCGTTCCACAGATGAAAGAGAAAAAAAATTGACACTCCATATTCTACCATTCTTACAAACGCTCATGGAGCAGGGAATTTGAAATGGGGGAATGGTTTTTTTCCTCCTTGCTATTATATGATTGTAATTTAAAAAGATACAACAAATGTACTTAGTGTGATTGGTTATGATCCTTGCTTTTCTTTAAAGTGGTCATGGTTCGATTCCCAGCATGTGTCATTTTAATAAATAAATAAAACAAAGTAATTGTGAAGACCAAAATGTTCTTCCTACTTTCACTCTCGTTGCATGAAATTTGAAATGGAGCAACAGCAACAGTTTTCCCCTTTCGACTATTATATATTGTGTAGATAGCTGGCGAGAAAGACTACTGATTAGGAGTTGGCTATTTGGTCTAGACTTTTTGGTTTTATCCGAAACTGGATCGTATAATCCGGAGCGAAATTGGATGGCAAACAATTCAATTTCATCTTTGGGCTTAGATTTGAGGTAAAAAATCGTTTGACATGGATCAAAAATCGGATATAGACCGGATAGAATCCAACACCCAAAACTTAACCAACTCCTCACCCTTTGAGGCCTCAGGCCACTCAAATCCTCACAAACTCAATCTAAAATAAAAACCAAATTGGAATCGGACCGGATCAAGACCAGACCAGACCGAATCAAGACCGTACTGTATCCAATTCAATCTTTACTCCTTACATTCTCAAAAAGACCAGACCGAGACTAGATTAATTCGGATCAATTTAACCGGACTGGACCATATTGCCACTCCTACTACTCATAGCAACTTCTTAGAAGTTAAAAGGAGGAGATGAAGAAATTGGCACCGGTTTCTATTATTCTATTTATTATTTAGGGTAAATACAATATATTAGCCACAACTATTATGAAGCGGGGAATTATAGCCACAACTATGGAAATTCAAATTATTAGCCAAACGTTAACTATCTGTTAACAATTTCGTTAGTAATACTGACTAAACTTTTATGTTTTAAAGTTATAAATTAAAAGCATTCTGATGTGGCCGCTGCCGTGGCCGATGACGTGGACTTCTCTGTCAAAAATTCAATAACAATAACGGACAGTTAGCCATATCTTGACCCGCAACAATAGTTATGGCTAATAATTTAAATTTTCATAGTTGTGGCTATAATTCCCCGCTTCATAATAATTGTGGGTAATATATTGTATTTACCCTATTATTTATTGGGTACTGTATTTTCTATTATTTTTGGTGGACCAAACTGATCCATACTTCCTCAGTTCCTTGTCATTTTCCAAGATTATAATTAAATTGTAATGTGCAGACATCCAGATAAGATTCATGATTTTCCCCCACAAGATCTGAAGTCTGAACTTTGGTCGAGTTATGTGGCATATTTCGGTCTCGCTACTTATTATTAAAGTGTAGACTAAGAATACATCCCTTTGTTTACTTGCACATAGAATTCTACAAAAATCAAGTACCTGCTTTGAAGTCAAGGCTAGTGTTATACATTACAATGACTCTAACTCGAGTCATTGTAATGGTGAGATTAAAAAATATTTTATTTTGATAAGTGATAAAGTAATTTTTTTACATCAAAATAAATTTATTCAATATCTCATATAGTATTTATGGATAATTGAGATACTTTAAGTAGCCGGCCCATAAATGGATCGAGTGGTCTGAATTTGATGGTTGGGCCATATATCTGGCGAGTAGTAGCTTGTCGTAAAGTAGTCATCCAAGATGGTGATTGTATCAACTACAACACTGTTACCATCCATCCATTATACCATCCAAAGCCCTATTATAGATGGTATCACCCCAAAAATAATGGACACCATCCGACCTTATTCTGAATGGTACCATCTCATTCATCATAGACACCATCCAACCTATAAGTGAATGATGTAATCCAAGATCATGGATACCATCCCAACTAGGGATGGCAAAAATATCTGTAACCGTGGATATCCGCCCGAATCCGGCCTAATCGGGTAAGGTAAAACCCGAACCCGAATGACATTTAGTGGGTACGGGTAAAATCCGAACCCGAATATTGCGGGTAATGGGTGGGCATGGGTTTCTCACTATCCAACCCGAACCCGCCCGATTATACACATGCATATGTATTTTGTCTAGAAATAATCAATATTTTTCTCTAACATATTTTATATTTAGCATATAAATATAATATTTTCATGAAATTGTGTGGTTTTAATTAATTTTCTTCATCCTAATGAATTATTGTCGTACTTTTCCTCTTACGTAATGTGAGAATACATATGAATGTTAACATATTGGTTGAAGTTATGAAGAGAAATTATTACCCATGGATAACCGTGGATACCCGAAACCCGAACGAGTATGGGCATGGTTTTGGTTGAAGTTATGAAGAGAAATTATTACCCATGGATAACCGTGGATACCCGAAACTCGAACGGGTATGGGCATGGTTTTGATTTTCTACCCATTTCATATGTGGGTATGGGTATGGGTAAAACCCGAACTACTATGGGTAGGGTAACGGATATACACTATCCGCGCCCAACCCGACCCATTGCCATCCCATCAGCCCAAACATCATGCATATCATCACACTCCTAATAAATGGTATTATGCCAAATATAATGGACACATCCAAATTCAAAATGAATGATGTCATCCAATAAAATGAATACTATACTGTTCTATTTATTATTTTATTGGGTTCTATATTTTCAATTATGTTTGGTGGACCTTTGTTTGAAAAATATTCATAAGACTTTTTTTTTTTTTACAAGTCAAAATATTCATAGACTGATGCATGCTTCCTTGTCATTTTCCCAGGCTAAATAATTGTAGTTTGTACTTCGTAAGGTATTGTATTTCCACTTGTGGCTATTACTTTACACACACGTCCAGATAAGATTCATCGCAATTTCCCTCATAAGATATGAACCTTATTGAAGTGTATACTAAGAATGCATCCCTTTATTTCATTAAACATTACTTGCTTGCACATATAATTCTACAAAAATCCTATACCTGCTTTGAAGTCGAGAGTAGTATTCGACGTTACAATGACCCTAACTCGAGACATTCATCTTGTAGAGGCTTATGTTGTTATATATATCAACTCAGGTTAAGTGATAGCAAATTCTTTTGTTTGAGAAATATCTTTTTGCTATCATGTTATAATGAAGTCACTTTGACTTGATATATTTTTGTTTTTTTTGAGGGATTGTGAATTGAGTAATTTGATATCATATGTTATAATGATGTTAAAAAATATATGCTACTATTTTCATTTATAAAAGATATCATTTACACATGTTTACTCTTACTTCCTCGTAATATAACGTATTTATCACATTTTTCAACAACTTTTTCCTCATTTCCCTCCTAACAACATTTTCCTCCCCCTTCAAATTTTTCCTCTCCTTCAAACTTTCCATCTCCACCTTATTTTTCTTCCTCTCTTAGAAGACAAAGTGTAACCAATCTTAATCTTGTCTACAAATCATTTCTAATTTGACTGCTAACAAACCTCATTTAACACCTAATCTTACTACCTCTAGTAGAGAGACATGATAGTCTGGCCCATCCTTATCAAAACTCTGTAACTAAGGAAAAACTACTACACAAAAAACATAGCAATATGACATATTTTGTCGAATAAACTAGTCTTTTCTTTTCCTTCGGAATATCAATAAAGAAAGGAAAAATAAAGTTCAAGCGATATAGGAAAAAATATACAAGAATGAAAAATAAAACAGCCTTGCAAGGTCATTTTCTTTTTATATTTCCCAAATAGCAAGTAGTACACTTTTTGCACTCTTAGTTATGCATTAATGGATCATATGTCGTTGGAATCAAGCACAAATTGTGTTTTCTTCTTACTGATGCTCCAAAACGTTCATTCATATCTAAATCTTCATGATTCATTTTGGCTGGAAGCTTCCAGTCAAAATGATACAGCAAATTCGCCAGCATGAGTTTCACAACAGCCATTCCAAATGTTAGTCCAGGACAGCTCCTCCTTCCAGAACCAAATGGGATAAACTTTAAATCCGACCCTTTGTAATCGGTTGAGAAGTCGTCAAGAAACCTTTCAGGATAGAATTTATCTGGTTCTTTCCAATGACGAGAATCCCTTCCAATAGCCCAAGCATTAATGATGACTCTAGTTCTCGCGGGGATATCGTAGCCATCGATTTCTGCCCTCACTATCCCTTCTCGTGGAAGAAGTAATGGAAGTGGCGGGTGCAATCTTAAACTTTCCTTGATGACCGCATCCAAGTACTTCAATTCCTGAAGCCCGTCTTCACTAATGGGGTTGTCTTTATCACGAAACTTCCGCCGCACTTCTTCCTGCACTTGTTGCATCACTTTTGGATTTTTCATCAATTCTGACATGGTCCACTCTAGTGTCGTTGTTGATGTCTCAGTACCATCCAAGAATATTTCCTAAGAGATCCGAAATGAAATGATTAACTGATGTCCATGAGCTAGACCAATATAAGTACTTGAGTGAAATTATAATCAACTAGCTTACCAAAATGACAGCTTTGGTTGCCTCCATTGTCAAGGGGATTTCCGGCAATTGGGGATTTTCCAAGAGATTCAGAAGAACATCGACCAAATCGATATAGGTTTCATCAGAACGGTTGATAGCTTGCATTTTTGAAGCTAATCTTTTGGCTTGATGTTCATGGATGATATCATCAAGCATCGCATCAGTAGCAAAATGCATCCTGGTGAGTTGAGCTCTAAACCCAGTCAGACTTGGAAGGAATTTTAGGGAAGGGAATAGATCGGAGACTCTGAATCCACCGGCAGCATCCGAAATATCAGCGACAAGTTTCGAGAATGTTGCCTCATCCAAATCCTGTTTGATAGTACAAGAAATCAACATATATTTTCGTAAGTGTCACATAGTTTATAAAATACATTTCGAGTAAGTTAGGTATAAAATAAATATTAGTATTTTAATTTATCTCTAAATTAATGGTACATCTACTAGTATTTCATATTGTCATAAAATGTATCAAATCTAATATTTTAAAAATAAATAAATGTATAAATTATATTAAATTATCAATTTAATTTATTAAATACAAATATTAAATGTATTAAATGAATTTTATATGTGTTTAGTACGAAAATTATGAAAATAGACAGCTGCTTGGTAATAATATGAAAACGGAAAAAACAAATAAACGCATAAAATACGTATGTTTGTATGAAACGGATTGATTATTACTCAAAAATTGAATCTAGTGAATGAGTATTGAATTTTCAGCACCTTCACCATGCCGAACGCCGTCCTGAAAGTGAAGCTGCTGGACGCCGACGCCAGCAGCATGGTAACATCGATCCCTCCGCCGGTGGCACTCCGGGAGCGGACAAGACCGACGAGCTTGGAGGCCTCGGATTCCCTGATGGGACGGAAAGAAAGAACTCTCTTGGGGCTGAGAAGCTCCCCCACGCAGATCTTGCGCATATGCCTCCAGTGGTCACCGGTGGGGGTGAAGCCGATGCCTTTGGTGCCGTAGAACAAGATGTCGCCGGCGAGGAGGTACGGCCTCGACGAAAAAGCGTGGTCGTGGAGTTTGAGGACTTGTCTCGCGGCCTCGGGGCTGGAGATGACGATATTGGAGAGCTCCCCAAGCTGGAGGTGCATGATGTGGCGGCCGTGCTTCTCTGCCAGCTCTCTCAGGCGGCGGTGAGGAAGATCTTCCCCGACGATCAGATGGTGGAGGTTCCCGATCACCGGTAGCTTCCATGGGCCCGGGGGTAATTTCTTGTCGGAGGCTGATGACCGGTTGTGCCTGCAGGTTGTTAGTAAGGTGACAAGAGTAATGATGATGATGGTAATGGCTGTAATGAATAACGGGAGGAATGGGAAATCGTCGAGGGAAGCCATTAATCGATGATCCATGGCTTGAATATTTTTGAGATCTTCACAACTTCAGCTAGCTTATTTTCTTTACTCTGCTTGTGTTTGTGGTGATACGTCCCATCTTATCATTGCATTAAAGTTCTGATATTTTTGGAGTCGCAACTCGCAATCTTGTCTTTTCTTTTATTGTAATGCATAGCAGAGCAGACAAGGTGCAGTGGGTCCTCTGTACAGTCGGCTGGAGGAGGAATATTGTAGACATGATCATGTTCCAGTGTCCTACTTAAGTCGGCCTTCATTTCAAGTATTGAATATGGCTGAAGAAGAGTTTGGCTTTCATCATCCGATGGGTTGGCTGGCTGGCTGGCTTGCCAATCCCCTGCGGCAAAGAGGCATTTCCTCATGTTACTTACCTCTTGCTTGAGCTGGTCATAAGAAAAAGAGAGCAGTTAAAAGACAATTTTGAATGGGAACAAGGAAGGATAGTTGTAATTGCAACATGTAGATCCATCCTCACCTCCAGAGCTGATATAGATTTATGAGATGAATGACAGCAGTTTACCTGTATATTTGTATTGAACAGAACGGCGTTGGTTTCTCATCGCATAATGAGTTTCCTGTTTCTTCTGTACTCCTTCACTTCCTCTGCTTATCTGTGGAAATGAGTTCCAATTTGTAACGAAAACATTGAACTTGCTTAGTTATTCAGACACCCAGATTATAGTTTTGATAAAACACAAGTCACCTCACTGTGACTGATAAGGAGTGCATTTTCAAGAACCGCCCAAAAGCTGTACAAAAACCAAATGTAAGGGGGGAATGTTAGCTTGAATCTAAACGTAACCATGCAGATCTTTAACACTTTTGTGAACCAACATCCTATATTCTGGTAGTGCTACCTCACCTATTGAGCAGTACCATTCTAGTCACTGCATACAGCAAAATTGCACTTACATACTTTACCCAAATCCAATATTTGTCCTTCCCAAGATACCAGTCTCAATCTGTTATTTGGAGAGAGAGAAAAAAATAACTCTTATCCATTTTTACCTTCTGAAACCTTTGCTTACAATTTAATGGCATACAGATATAAGCATTTGCTCAGGGCTAACCCAGTGCATGATACCAATAGAGGGAAGCAAGAGACCTAGAGAATAAACCAGGGTAACATATTACCAGCAACAAGAAACTCCATTGCATGGAACACGTCATGATATTTTCTTTCAAGATTTGGTGATAGCACACTTTCTTGGTGACCCACTCGCATAAATACTACCATTAACTTGAAACTCGGAATGAATTCTACACGGAGATGTTAATGTAATATGTTTTCACCTTTAGCCACTCCTTCTCTGCTACGCTGGATGCCACAACCGCCAGGTCTTGCCTCATGTTCCATCCGCCTTCTAAGAACTGAAATCACTTCAAAACAAAACTTCATTACATGCATCTAACCTTGTCGCTTACAGTTATGGACAACTAGATGAACCATAACAACTTCATTATTAATAATATGAAAGTCCTATATCAAGTGTTCTATTCTGATCGTTCACCGGCCTATCCATCAAACTGAAGGACATGCATTCAGTCCCTACAACTTGTGATCTGATTGGAAGACAGGCTCATGTGACAGCTCAACCTTCATTTTCTTATATGTAAATCCTATTATTAAGGATGAGTGATCATCCAGTAGCCTACCCCTCAAACTTGTAGGGTACGCACCATCTCAGGCCCTAAAAATTGTTCCCACAGGAAGACAAGGCCATGTGACGACTCATGAGCTATTGCCCAACTGGGTTTCAGGCCTACTCTCCAAACTGCGGAGGATAAGCAAGAACCCCTCTATCTATATATAGATCATCATGAACAAACTTCGGAACCAACAGAAAAACAAGTTCTCAGTTTCTTATCTTAAAAAATCCTTTCAATTCAACACCAAATTTAGTTAAAAGAATAACATCATGGCCATTGGCTTACCAGGAAATCTTGCTAAGCAAATTCTTCGTCGGTCAGGATCTGGTTCAAACAAAGTGACTTCAAGGTTTCCAGATGTGCCTAAAGGTTTCCTAGCAGTGTATGTTGGGGAGACACAGAAGAAGCGGTTTATAGTTCCAGTATCCTACTTGAGCCAGCCTATGTTTCAGGATTTGTTGAGCATGGCTGAAGAGGAATTCGGTTTTGATCATCCAATGGGTGGCTTGACAATCCCCTGCAGTGAAGATACATTTACTTACGTTACCTCCAGCTTGAGCAGATCATAAGAGAGGAAATAAGGACAATTTTGTATAGGAATTTAGAAGTGCAGGGAGTAATTGCTCCATGTAGATGATATCTCTACTCTCTTTAAAGCTGATAAAGCATTATGAGACGAATGGCTGATTTTTTACCTGTGTATATGTTAAATAGAGAAGCTTTGATTTTCACATCATATGATCAGTTTCCTCTTTCTTCTCTCGTAATTAAAAAGAATCCCAGCATTGTCTAATAGTCAACATATATGCGCAAGGAAAATAATTATCAAAGATAGCTAGCATCCGAACTGAACTTCACAACCTTTATAACAGTTCCATGAATCAAAAACCTCTCCACACAATCATTGTTAGTTGTTACATCTCCTAAACGACTACACAGAAACAGTGGACAAAACTGCCGAGTTCAAGAGCGGACTCCAATCTATTCCATATAGGCAAACCACACTTATGTACTTCCACAAATCTATAAAATTTATCTTGCCATAAACTCCAAATTCAAATTTTATTCCGGTAATTTTACGAATGTACAATAGCTACCAATTATTATTTTACCTATTGTTATCATGAATAGTTTTGCTTATTTCTGAATGGTATAGAGATGTAGCCATTGCCACAGGCTTGGGCATATTCATGATGCAATCAAAGGGAAGAAGAGAACTAACGAATAAAAAATGCTATAAAGCAGGGTTTACTTGTACAAGACAAATCCGGTACTAACTCCCATAACTCATCACATTGTCACAGAAAGGAACTTGCTTCCATTTTTTTCATTTTAATGATATTACTTATGTGTTGTTGAAAAAAATGACCTGGAAACTTTATATTAGATACTCATACACATAGGTTTTACAAGATGAAAAGGGAAACATCATATGAAATTTGTGTATTTAGGTTTTACATGGGTTTTACTCCCATAGATCCTAAAATGCAGTGATCAGGTTCTAGATTACCTTACCCGTACCCCTTCGGCCAGATTGAAGAGAAATTCCCCTTCTACCAAAATCGATGCGGCAACCACCACACGTCTTAACTTCATCTTCCCTCTGGGTTGTTAGATACAGACATCAATCTATCAAAACTTGTCTGAAACATGTCTGCAACAGAAATGGACAACTAGCTTTACTATAACTTCATAATTAATATGTGAATGCCCTGTCCCAATGTATATGTGGTGATCCATTAGCATATTCATCATACTTGTAGGGCACGTACCCTCTTCTCTGTCCTTACAATTTGTTCCACCATTAGAAGACAATGCCATGTGATGCCTCACGAACTATGTCTCAACTGGGTTTTTAGGCCCAGGAACCAGATTGGGAAGGAAGAACACCACTATCTATATAAGGGTCCTTGTGAACTTGCTTCAGAACTATCACAAAACAAGAGTTCAAAGACTCATCTGAAACTGAAATCTTTCTCTTCTCTTCAGATTCCTAACACCACCTTCGTTCAACAAACAATCATCATGGCTATTGGCTTACCTGGAAATCTTGCTAAGCAGATTCTTCGTCGGTCAGGATCTGGCTCAAACAAATCAACTTCAAGATTCCCGGACGTGCCAAAAGGTTTCCTAGCAGTGTATGTTGGGGAAAGCCAGAGGAAGAGATTTGTAGTTCCAGTGTCCTACTTAAGTCAGCCTTCATTTCAGGATTTGTTAAGCATGGCTGAAGAGGAATTCGGCTTTGATCATCCGATGGGTGGCTTGACAATTCCCTGCAGCGAAGAGACGTTTACTGGTGTCACCTCTAGCTTGTGCAGATCATAAGAATATAGGATCTAAACATAATTTTGTAAAGTAATTCAGAAGTAGAGTTCTTGTTCCATGTAGATGGCTTTATACTGTCTTGAAACCTGACAAAGATTTATAAGATGAATGACTAAATGTTACCTGTATATATCGAAATGGAAATTCCTGATTTCACATCATACGATCCACTATCCTCTTGCTTCTGCTCCCAGACTCCAAAATTCCATTTGTTTCAGTCCACAATAACAAAATGAGGGTTTGTTGCTCCGCCGTGGTGTTTGAACAACTCTTCATATCATGCACAAGAAATTTTTATTTTAAATCAACCAACAGGCAAACTGACCATTCCCTGCTTGTATTTTTACATGTCTAATACATGTATTATGACAAAATCATGCAAAAACAGTGATCAAAATGTGACAAAGCCATAACGAATTGGTTACCAATACAGGGTTCGAGCAGTAAAAGTGGCTAATCCAGCACGATATCACTATCACTGCTTTAATTATAAGAGATCATGCATGATGGCCAAGAAAAGCACATTACATAAAGGAACTAAGTAGTAAGCACTATACCAATTCAGACAGTCCGCTATCAGATTTTTCATATCCTGTAATTCATGTTCCATTATTTTTATGATGATGTTGTTTGTTATTGTTATCGTTATTCTTACTTCAATTTTTTTCTCCTATGAAATGTTTCTTGCTGGTACTGAGACATTAGCAACGATGAAATGGACCATGTCAGATGAAAAACCCAAGAGTTATGCAGAAAGCACAAGAAGAAGTGCAACACTTGTTCCGTAGTCAAGGTGATGTTAATGAAGATGGACTTCACGAATTGAAGTACCTGGACTCAGTTATCGAAGAAAGCCTGAGAATGCACCCACCATTTCCTTTACTCCTTCCAAGAGAAGGCACAGTGAGGCTTCAAATTGATTACTATGATATTCCAGAGAAAGCTAGAACCACCATCAATGCTTCGACTATCGGAAGGGATCCTCGTCACAGGAAAGAACACGGAGAAATTCTACCCTGAAAGGTGTCTTCAGTCTACTACAAAGGGACTGATTTCAAGTTCAACCCACTCAATGCTGGAAGGAGAGTCCTGGACTGTCATTGGTGGTGGCTATTGTGAAACTTATGCTCCGTCATTTTCTCTACCATTTCGAATGGAAGATACATGCCAGATTGAAGCATGAAGATTTGGACATGGCAGAAATTTTGGGTGCCGCAGTAAGAAGAAAATCCACTTATCCTTGATTCCCGTTGCAAAGGTTCCTGCATGTATTGTATAGGTTAGGAGAACAGTACAAAATCTGGAGCTTAAGGATGAAAGGTGAATATTGGCTGCTTCAAGAAGATCACATGGCTCTTCTAATTCAACTATCAATCTAGGACTTGGAGTGGTTTATAGTTATTTATAATGCATGTATACTGACAGAAGATAGTGTCCCACCAAATTACAGAGGACAAATCATTTGCCAAGGCAACCCCTCAAGATTTAAGACATCAAGAAAAATGATGCCCTCGCCGCTCACTGGAAATCATGTGCCTTTGTCCTTATGAGACCGAAGCTATGAGAGATAAAGAGCTTGATGAACTCCACAAACTAAAAGGACAGCCAAGTCTATAAGGACAACAAGGACTCACCGGAAATGAGAAAAAAGGAAGAAATTTTTCCCGACAGAACCTTGTGAAGGCTGGTGGTGCTGCCATTTACATTAAAAGCTGTAGGGCATGTACCCTCCTCTACCCTCTAGGTATCCACAATTTGCTAACAGGACCATGTGCTGCCTCATCAAAACTGTGTCTCATCTCTAAGTGGTCAAGCTCCAAATTATGGAGTAGGAAGAACCCTCCTAAATCCTATCTATATATAGGTCCTCATGACCTTGCTTCAAAACCACCAAAGCAAGTATTAAAGTTTTCATCTAAAAAATCTTTCCCTACATTTCTCATTTTTGTTTTACACGAGATTATGGCTATCGGCTTACCTGGTAATCTTGCTAAGCAAATTCTTCGACGATCCGGATCAGGCTCAAACAAATCAACTTCAAGGTTTCAAGATGTGCCTAAAGGATTCCTAGCGGTGTATGTTGGTGCAGAGTCCCAGAAGAAGCGATTTGTAGTTCCTGTGTCCTACTTAAGTCAGCCTTCATTTCAAGATTTGCTGAGCATGGCTGAAGAGGAGTTTGGCTTTGATCATCCAATGGGTGGCTTGACAATCCCCTGCAGTGAAGAGACATTTACTCATGTCGCCTCTTGCTTGAGCAGATCATAAGAAGAGAGTTGTTCAATGACAATTTTGAATAGAAATTAGGAAGGATAGGAGTAATTGCAACATGTAGATGACTTTTGTCCTCACTTTCGTAGAGCTGATTTAGCTTTATGAGATGGATGACAGAAGTTTACCTGTGTATGTGTACTGAATAGAAAACCATTCATTCATCATTACATAATCAGTTTCCTCTTTCTTCTGCTCCTTTAGCTTATGAATGATCCACTTTTCTCTATCTTCTGCTCCCATACTACAAAAATCTTTTCATTTACTTCCATCCATAATAACAAATTGAAGGGTTCACAGTGGCTCCATGGTGGGATTTGAACAACCCTTCATATCCTGATTTGCCAGAAGAAATTGTTTCAATCAACCAACAGGCATAATGACCATTCCCCATGCAGTAAAAACATCCATTTCTTTACCTTCCATCTTGTGTATATCACAGAAGATTTCTGAAAAGCTGTTGAGTTTGGTCAATTGAAAAGCATCTTTTATGGCTTGAGCTAACAGTTAAATTTATATTAGACCTTGTCTAACTGACCATATATATGCAAGATAAAAGAATCATAGCTAGCATTGTCTATAGCTTAATAGCCATTGTTACTTTGCCTAATTGAACTACAAATAGAAACAGTGGAGGGGACTCCTAGTTCAACAACCATTTCCAATGATTCCAGTTGTAGCTGCACTTACGTACTTCCTGAAATCCATTATTTTTATCTTCTCCGAAAATTCATTATATGTCGTTATATTTCAGTAAAATTACCTTCATGAATACTTTTGCTTAATTCTTGATGGCATAGATATGAAGCCATTTATACACGAAGGCTAGGGTTGGGTTATCCAAAGAATATTTCCCTTAAATATACAACCAGTTTATAAACTTTACATTCATTTGAATCCTAAAATGCAATGTTGAAGTCATATAAATTTACCTTTACTCATTCTCCATCTGACTCGTTGCCAGAGGCCACAGCGACCACACGTCTTCATCTCCAAGTAGTTAGACATGAATTCTTTTAAAAAGGAAGCTCATGATATCAAACATGTCTAGAACAGATATGGACAGCTAGCTTCACCATAATAACTTCATTATCGTTACATGAATGCCCTATCTCAATGTGTATGTGGTAATCAATTGGCCTGCCCATCAAACCTGTAGAGCACTAACCCTCCTCCCAGTCCCTACAATTTGTTCGACCGGTGGAAGACAAGGCCATGTGACGCTGAAAGAACTATGTACCAACTGGGATTTAGGTCTAGGATCCAAATTAAGGAGAGAAACAATACCCACTATGTCTATATAAGATCCATCTAAACTTGCTTCAGAACCAACACATTGGTGATCAAGATTCTCGTCTGAAATCACAATCTTAACACCACTTTCATCCCAAAAAACAAAAGCTATGGCTATTGGCTTACCAGGGACTCTTGCTAAGCAAATCCTGCAACGGTCAGGATCTGGCTCAAGCAAAGCAAGTTCAAGGTTTCTAGACGTGCCAAAAGGTTTCCTAGCAGTGTATGTCGGGGAGACCCGGAAGAAGCGATTTGTTGTTCCAGTGTCCTACTTAAGTCAGCCTTCATTCCAAGATTTATTGAGCATGGCTGAAGAAGAGTTTGGCTTTGATCATCCAATGGGTGGCTTGACACTTCCCTGCAGTGAAGACAGATTTACCCATGTCACCTCTTGCTTCAGCAGATCATAAGGGAGAAAGCGGTTCAACACAATTTTGTATATGAATTAGATAGCATGAGAGTATATATTCAATGTAGATTACTTCCGTCCTGACTTATCCAGAGCAAATGAGATGGATGACATGAGTGTACATGTGTATAGCAATATATGTACTATTGAATAGAAAGGCAGTCATTTCTCATCGCACAATCTTCGTCTTCTTCCTACCTTTCAGCTTGAAGTCTGGTAATTAAGAGAGAAGTGTTGCTGATAAGCATATGGACCCTCTGTATAACATGTGAAGTATTAAGATTGCCGTCTATTGCTCCTGTATTAATCCATGAATGTAAGTTCTATATACTTAATCTGTAATGAGCATATTGAATTTTGCTCAGTTTTCCAGACAATTAAAATTTTATTGTTAAAACACGGGTAGGAGTCAAACATGGTGCCCAAAACCACAGAACAACACAGCCTGCATCTTAACTCAACCATACATGACGTTTACCTCTGTTCAGTGAGCCAACAACTTTTAGTATACAAGCTAGACCTGATGAAGCACACATTACTAATATTCCATGAACCCATACGGACAATAGCATACTTGACTCGAGTCTAATTTTGGTCCTTCTCCAGAAACCAGGCTCAATCTGCTTTGAGGAAACTTTTCCTACATTAAAATGTGGTTACTTTCAGCTCCGGACACTTTTGCTTACTGTTTATTGGCATGGAAGTTTAAGAATTTGCTCATAGGTGAGCCAACTCATATGATACCAATAGAGGGAAGCAAGAGATCTGAAGGATAAACTTGACCAACAAATATCAGGAACAAGAAATCCATTGCATGGAACATATAATATTTTCAAGATTTTGAGATAACACAGTCCTGCTTGGGGGAAACTACATCACTAATGTTTGAACATATGCTTTATATTTAAGCTTTCACAAGCACAGCCAGACTTTCTTTTCTAGTTTGTCAGGTTAGACGTCAGTCTTAGATGAATGGAAAAAATATGACCAAGGGCAAGGACCATGTTGAATGCCAAAACACGGAACCCCCACAAGACGACTAGGGGTTTGGTGGACACTTTAGACCCTCCAATAGATAAAGCCCCAACTGAAGAGCGGACTCGGCTTCATAAATAAAATTACCATAAGCTTCAAATAGATCCTAAACAGATATGTTGGTGTCAAATGTCTTACCTTCATTCATTCCTTCTCCAGTACATTGGATGCCACAGCCACCAGTCCTCTGCCTGTTAGTCCTACCTTCTCATTAAAACAAAGTTCATTACATGTACCTTTGTCTCAAGCATGTCGCCTATGGATATGGACAACAAGCTTTATCATAACAACTTCATAATTGATTATATGGAAGTCCGACTTTCAAATGTTGTGATCGTCCACCAGCCTACCCCTGAACCTGTAGGGCAGGTAGCTGGCTTTCAGTTCTACAATTTGCTATATGATTTCAAGACAGGACCATGTGACTCGTTAAACTTCATTTCCTTATACGAACGTCCTGTTGTCAATGAATTATGCAATCGTCCATTAGCCTACCCCTCAAACTTGTAGGTTACTCACCTTCTCAATCCCCCAAACTTGTACCCATTGGAAGACAAGGCCATGTGAAACCCCATGAACTATGTTTCAACAAGCATTTTAGGCCTAGGCGCCAAATTGTGGAGGAGAAGGAAGAAACCATCTATCTATATATAGATCCTCATGAATCAATGTCATAACCAACACAAAACAAGTCTCAATTTCTCTTCACTTCTTTTCTCCAACACCAACTTTGTTCAGAAAAGAAAAGGACATTATGGCCATTGGCTTACCGGGCAATCTTGCTAAGCAAATTCTGCGACGCTCAGGATCTGGCTCAAACAAAGCAACCTCACGGTTTTCAAATGTGCCTAAAGGTTTCCTAGCAGTGTATGTTGGGGAGACGCAGAAGAAGCGATTTGTAGTTCCTGTATCATATTTGAACCAGCCTGCATTTCAGGATTTGCTGACCATGGCTGAAGAAGAATTTGGCTTTGATCATCAGATGGGTGGCTTGACAATTCCCTGCAGTGAAGAGACATTTACTTATGTGACCTCCAGCTTGACTAGGTCATAGGAGGAGAACGATTAAACACAATTTTGTAGAGAACTTAGGATACGAGCTGCTCAATGTAGATGCATCTCTCCTCTAGTTTGTTAAGTTTTAAGGTTTTAGTAGATAACAGGGGAATTTTACCTGTACATACTAATATAAAGCTTTTCCTTTTACATTCCAGTGTCATATCTGTCAGCTTCCCTCTGCTACTAATACTCTGGTCTCTGGTAGCCTCTGGTACCTTGTGAAGTGCATCACGTCCATTCCAAATTTGCTTATCAGGCAAAACAAGCTTCAATCGTTCAATCCTTCATTCACAGGCATTCCTTAGCCATTCAAAAGCTGCCAGACCAAGTTTTTTCCAATTTCTTACTAGCTATTCTCATCCAGACGCACAATGTTAGCCATAACCACAATGCGCAAAGCACTAATAATACTTACCCAACACAAATGGTCATAATGTCGTCTACCACATACCCAGTTATATATTATGATTCAAAACTACACAAAACTATTTAATTTGGTAATGAACCACAGAGAAAATAAGAAAGTAAATCAAGAAATAAGCAAAAAAATCACAGAAAGTTATGAAAACAAGTCAAGATTAACCATAACGGTGAAGAAAAACTTTGTTATGCTAGATTTATTATTTGGTGGGAATATCATACTAACTGATTCCACAAAACATAAAATAAATCAGTAAGAAGTAAATCCTTTATATGGCCAATTTATTCACCTTCTCGCTAAGGGACAATTACCTTTTAAAAGTTAGGTTTGCATATTAAAACAACACAACCATATTCATAGAAGTTAGGTTTTCATAAGCTTGATATTCAAATGGATCTTGCTGTCTTTAGGTAGTATCAATTCCACTTCTACCTGGTTGGGTTCCAAAACCACCAAATGCCTTACTTCATCTACCATACGCTTTGCTAGAAACAAAACAAACCATTATATCTAACTTGTCTCAAGCGAGTCTGCAACAGAATGGACAGCTAGCTTCACCACAGCAACTCCATCATTGATATATTATCTCAATGTATAAGTAGTCATCCATTGGCCTACCCCGTCAGACTTGTAGGGCACGTACCCTCCTCTCAGTCCCTACAATTTGTTCCACCATCAGAAGGCAAGGCCATGTGACACCCACTCTATATTGTGGAGGAGAACAAAGCCCCATTCTATCTATATAAGGGTCCTCCTAGCCTTGATCCAGAACCAACTCAAAACAAGTGCTCAAGTTCACATCTGAAATCTTTCTATTCATCACTACAACATTCCGAAAGAAAAAGCATAATGGCTATTGGCTTACCCGGCAATCTAGCTAAGCAAATTCTCCGACGCTCAGGATCTGGCTCATATAAAGCAACTTCAAGGTTTCCAGACGTGCCGAAAGGTTTCCTAGCAGTGTATGTTGGGGAGAACCAGAAGAAGCGGTTTATAGTTCCTGTATCCTACTTGAGCCAGCCTTCATTTCAGGATTTGTTGAGCATGGCTGAAGAAGAGTTCGGCTTTGATCATCCAATGGGTGGTCTGACAATTCCCTGCAGTGAAGAGAAATTTACTCACATCACCTCTTGCTTGAGCAGATGATAAGAAGAGAGCAGTTAAATGAAAATTTTGTATAGGAATTAGGAAGGGTAAGAGTAATTGCTCAATGTAGATTATTTTTTTCCTTACTTTTCTGGAGCTGATAGCTTTGGGAAATGGATGACAGAAGTTTAACTGTACATGTACATTGAATAGAAAGCTATTTTTCATCTTGTAGTCAATATCCTCTATATTCTACTACTTCAGCTTATGAAGTTCCACTAACTTTAATAATTAAGAGAAAAGTATTGATGCATCAAGTATTGTATGTCAATTCCTCCTCTGCTTCTCTGTGAGAATCAGTTCCATACATCCAGACTCTGCTTAGTTATTCAATAACCTGACTTACTTTGAATTTTAGTAGACAAAGATGTTGAAGAAACCGTCCGAAACCGCAAATTAAACATCTAATTGTCCACGTAAATCAACTATGACAAAATCCAAGTTCTTCCTCAGCCTTCCTTAGCAACACTATGAATGAAGGTTAATACAAGAACTACAAATCTCTTCTTCTAGCTCTCTCCAACATACACTGCAAAGTATCCTTCGGTGACACTAGTTGTCGCCCTTCTTTCGGCAAGGGAACTTGAAAAGCCAAGAATCTGCCAATCATTCTTCACCTTAATAGCCTGAATTTCAGAAGCCTAGGTTTGCATTCCTCTTGAACTGTGGAAATCAACTACAAAATTTTCCGAGGTTTTATTTTGGTTTTTTGTTGAGAAGGTAAGCTGGGAAAGAGTGATTGAGAGACAAGGAAGGGTAGGGGTATGGGGCTTGCAGAGTATAATGGCAGCTGAAGAGTTAAATGGTTTTGCCATGTAATTCAGCCCAAATTTTAGAACTTGCAGTGGTTTACATTTATGGACACCTCGAGTCCCATAAGTTGTGGAAGGAAAAATCAGGCCAAGAACGCAACAGATTTCAGACATGTATGAGTAGATGGTCACTGTTCACTGGAAATCGTGTGCCTTTTTCCTTATGGCCCCAAGTTTTGAGGGCAGAAGCAGAAACCTAGGCCAAAAGGACAGCAAAGTCTGTAAGGTCGAGAAGGTCTCACCAGAAATAAAAAGAAATGGAAATTCCCCTGACAGAGCCTTGTGAATGGCATGTGAAGGCTGGTCATCCTACCTATTGTATTGAGCGCTCACCTCATTTTAGACAATCAAGTTGCTCCCTGCAAAGTTTATTACAATATAACAAGAGTGAAAACAGGGTATCTCCAGCTAAATCATTAAGCCTTTTGCTTGGCCAACATTGTTGGATGCCAATCGATTCAACCACAAAAGGAACTCAGGTTTGGTTATCCAAACAACACTACCCTCTAACTTCTTACCAACTTGTCTGAAGCATGTTTGCAACAGACATGGACAACTAGCTACACCATTACAACTTAATTATTGATAGTGTGGATGCATTATTTCCAGCGTTGATGTGATCGGCCTACCCCTCAACTGGTAGAACAGGACACAACCCTGCTTTCAATCCCCAAGATTTGGTATATCTCAGATATTGGATACTAAGTTTAGTATTTCTGATGTCAGAACCACCAGCTTTTCCATTTCTATGTTTGTCATAGATTAGAGGCAAAACATGACCGAGGACAAGGACCATGTTGGATGTCAAAAAACGGAACCCCACAAGAAAACTCTCCAACAGATAATGCCCAATCAAATAACATGACACTAAAGTGTACATTTCATGTGTTTTACCTCTATTCATTCCCTCTCTGCTGCCTTGGATGCCACAACCACCACCAGTCTTAGTCATCCACCTTCTGCCTTGTTGGACCTGCATTTTAAAACGAAACCTCATTAGATGCTAAACTTTGTCTCAGGCATGTCGCGTATCTATATGGTCTATCTTGCTTTCCCGTAACAACTTAAATATTGACAATAGGGGAGTCATATTTCCAATGTTAACTACCACTGGCCTACCCTCAACCTGTAGGGCACGTACCCTGCTTGCATTCCAACAATTTGCCAATATGATGATCTAAAGACAGGGGCATGTTACGGTTCAAACTTCATTTGCTTATATGGATGCGCAATTTTCAATGAATGTGTGATCATCCGTGGGCCTAGCCCTTACATTGTAGGGCATGTGTAGGCCTTACAATTTGTTCCCATTGGAAGACAAGTCCATGTGAAGCCTCGTGAACTATGTCTCAACTGGGTTTTAGGCCTTAGCTTCAAATTGTGGAGGAGAAGAAAGAACCCTCTATCTATAATATATATGAGTCCTCATGAGCTAGCTTCAGAACCAACACAAATCGAGCTCTCATTTTCTCATCCTAATCACTCTCATTATTTCTCCAATATCAATTTTGTTTGAGAAAAAGCCATGGCTATCGGCTTACCTGGCAACCTTGCTAAGCAAATTCTTCGTCGGTCAGGATCTGGCTCAAACAAAGCATCATCAAGGTTTCCAGATGTGCCTAAAGGTTTCCTAGCGGTGTATGTTGGGGAGACCCAGAAGAAGCGACTTGTAGTTCCTGTTTCTTATTTGAGCCAGCCTTCATTTCAAGATTTATTAAGCATGGCAGAAGATGAATTTGGGTTCGATCATCCAATGGGTGGCTTGACAATTCCCTGCAGTGAAGAAACATTTACTCATGTGACCTCCAGATTGAGGAGATCATAAGAGTAGAGCAATTAAATACAATTTTGTAGAGAAATTAAGATAGGAGTTGTTGCCCAATGCAGGTGCATCCCTCGCATATTTGTTAAGCTTACAAGGCTTAGCTGATTACCTGTACATGATGAATAAAAGCCTTTCCTTCTACATTACACTGTCAGATTCCCTTCATTCGGCTTCCTCATACTGAAACAATCCATTCTTTGTACCCTCTGTATATCTTATGATGCATCGTCATGTACATTCTACCTTCGCTTGTCCTCAGAAACAAGGTTCAGTCGTTGAGTCTTTAATCACAGCATTCCCTTGCAATAAGAAAGCCAAACTTACGCTAATAAATATATACTTACAAATCAGCTAGACCAAGCTTCTCGAAATTTTAAAAATATTCTTACCGGATGCAGAATGTTAGCCGAAACCACAATGTGTAAAGTAATTAATTAAAGTACATAAAAGCAGTGATTTTCGTCCAATGAAACTAAACAAATCAGACTGATGTCCAATTGTTGACAAGTGTGCTAGAACAAAGTAGACGCTGCATCTCTAGTACACAACCTTTAGGTAGGTTTTGGAACCAGTAGAATTCTCTTTATAGCAAGATTTCTTCACCAACTGAACTGCACATAAACAGTTTTTGGAAAGTCCAACTTCAAAAAGACAAAAACCTTCAGGTTTATTCCACACATAGGTAAATGTAATAATGTACCTCTTCGACAATTTTAAGACTTCCCTTGAATCCATGTTCCTTTACTGTATTTTAGTATACTTTGAAAACATAGCACAGGAATGTAACCAATCATGCAGGACTGAACCAATTTTAACTATATCAGAGAGAAGCAAGATACAGAATATGTCAGTATATGTTTGTTAAAAGAAATTGAGATTAACATTTGGATGAAGTGAATTTACATCCCTGATGCTACCTAGGATCAGAGGAAGTCCTAGGTGCTTTGAACAACATGATTGAGGACCATGTTGGATGCCGGTAAATGGAACTACAGAAGAAGAATCAAGTTTAGTTATGCATTGGATAATGCCCCACCAAAGCAGATACCCTTCTTTATACTTTTAAGTTACCCTAGAAAAACACTCACATCGACCCTAAAACTGAAATCTTGAAGACAAACATTTTCTTTTATGTGTCCGTTCTCTGTTACGTTAGTTGCAATAACAATCACGTGTCGTACTTTCTCCACCCTCTGCATTGTTAAATCTGCATTTCCCTATAAAACAGAGCACCATAATATGTATGCAGCTTGTCTGAAACATGTAGCGAACAGATATGGAAAATTAGCTGTATCGAAATAGCTTCATTATTGATATATGGAAATCTTCCTTTTTTTGGTGGTTCCTACCCCCCCCCCCCCCCCCCTCTCTCTCTCTCTCTCTCTCTCTCTCTCTTCTGAAGTGGTCCTATTTCCAAAGTTAAGTCATCGTCCATAGGCCTACCCCTCAACCTGTAGGGCACGTACCCTCTCTCAGTCCCTACAATTTCTTTCATCAATAGAAGACAGGACCATGTGATGCCTCATCAACTATGTCTTATCTGAGCCTTAGGACCACGCTTCAAATTTGTGGAGTAGGAAGGAGCCTCCTATCTATATATGCGTCCCTCAGAACTCAGCCCGAAACCAACAGCTCAAGTTTTCAGCTGACATATATCTCTACATTTCTGAGCAATTTCATATAAAAAAACACAGAGATCATGGCTGTTGGCTTACCTGGTAATCTTGCTAAGCAAATTCTTCGCCGTTCAGAATCTGGCTCAAACAGATCAACTTCAAGGTTTACAAATGTGCCTAAAGGTTTCTTAGCTGTGTACGTTGGGGAGAACCAGAAGAAGCGATTTATAGTTCCTGTAGCCTACTTGAGCCAGCCTTCATTTCAGGATTTGCTGAGCATGGCGGAAGAGGAGTTTGGCTTTGATCATCCAATGGGTGGCTTGACAATCCCCTGCAGTGAAGAGAGATTTAGTTATGTCGTCTCCGTCCTCAGCAGATAATAAGGACAGAGCAACAAAAAATAGTTTTGTATAGAGATTCAGAACGACAAGAGTCGTTGCTTAATGTAAATGACATTCTTTCTCTCCTTCAAGCTGATGAAGCTTTAAAGATTGATTGAGAAAGTTTTACCTGTATATAGTGAATCGAGAGCCTTTTTAGTTCAAATCATACAATCACTTTCCATTTTTTCCTGATTACACTATCCAACTCTTCTCGGGTAATTAACAAAAAGTGTTGCTGATAAGCATGAGCATCCATATAAGTAAAGAAGTACTATACTGTCAATTCCTGCTCTGTGTATCCACCAAAACAAGCTTCAGTTGTTTCAATCCGTAGTCAACAGCTACCTTCCTAGCTGTTCACAGCACAGGCTTACAGTTCTATAATTTAAGAAAGGGTAAAAAAGAAAACAAATAGACTTTCTGCAACTTTTGATCGGCTATAGTAACCTAAATCCGCATTTTAATATATTTACTTCAGTTACTGCAGTAGCAGCCCAACAGGTTGAAATGACACAGTTGATTGTATATTTAACTAGAGATCTGAAGGTTGAGTGGTTGACAATGTTCATCTTTACCTCAAAGGAAGTACAGCAGCAATGGTTCATAAATCATAACCCTCTGATTAGATGACCACCCAGAAAAATCAGTTAAACGAAAGTTTTTGAGTGGTTTGATTGATAATGATGCATGTGTCCATAAATGATTGGAATGGTAGGAGTCTAGGAAATGTGGTTGAGAGGTGAAAGGGCTAGGAGTGGGGCTTGCTGAGTATAATGACAGTTGCCGGATCACATGGTTATGCATCCAATTCAACTCAGAATCAAGAGTTTGACAGTGTTTTCCAATTTGTTCTGCACTTTACCAGGATACATAGCGTGCCGCAAACTCATGGATTAAGGAAGGAAAATCAAGACAAGGACTCCACACAAGATTTTAGACGTCGACAAGTACATGGTTCCCTTTCCTGATACTCATGTGCATTTGTCCTTAGAGACAAAAAATTTTAGGGTAACTTCAGCACTCCAAACACTGGCGCTGACCGTGATGAACTTACAAACTTAAGAACAAAGCAAAATTCATATTAAGAAGAAGAAGAAAACACAGCAATAAATAAAGAGAAGGACTCACCAGAAAGGAAAAGCAAAGGGGAACATTTCCCCCGACAGAGAATTGTGAATTCTATATGAGAAGGCCGGTGGTGCTGCCATCTGCATTTGGAGCTCAGCTAACTTTAGATGTTTCCTGCAAACTTTGTTTCTAGGAAATAAGAGATAGGAATTAATATTTATTTGGCCGACAATGTGATCAAAATTATGGTCATGCTGCTTCAGCAAGTTCTTTTCTTTATCCATGCTATAAGATTTCAAACTGTTGGTGCATTGATTGTCTCCAGCAATGGGCCATTTGTGTTGCTAGTCCATTGACGACTACATAGACCACCAACTATCCATCTCTCTTGCCTTTATCACGATTCATTGACTTCGGTTTGTTTGCAGCTCCAACCTACTGTCGCCCAATCTTCATACATTAGCCAGCACAGAAACGTTTTCAAGCCTATAATTTCTTAATTAGGTGGAAGACAGAAGGGACCATCACCTTCATTAACAGTGTTTCCGGCTGGAATTCCAGGCCACACACTCACCATGGTAAAGGATATCAAAGCATACCATTCAAACTATATAAAGAGAGAAGCTATTGATAGTTCACAACCCAACCAAGCCTCACAATTGTTATTGAATACTTCCCAAAAAATAAAATTCCCACATACAGCTCAACTAGAGAAGAAAATGGCTATTCTCTGTCCAAGTGTCCTTCCCAGGCCAAGTCCCCGTAGATGTTCTTCAATATCCTCAGATGTTCCTAAAGGATTTGTGGCAGTATATGTTGGGGAGGGTGGCAAAAGGAAGAGATTTGTCATTCCAGTATCCTTCTTGAACAGCCCATCATTCCAAGTTTTGCTGCGGTTAGCAGAAGAAGAATTTGGTTTCAACCATCCCATGGGGAGACTGACGATTCCATGTAAAGAAGAGATGTTCATTTCTGTAACTTCCAGCTTGTGTAGATCATAAGAGATTTCCAGAAGGCTGATGAGTTTAGTTAGATGACAACTTTTTTTTATGGCCTCAACAGCCATTTCAATGTAACAGCTTGAATTTCAGATTCTAGATTAATGAGAACTAGCAATGACTCTTCATCAAAGAAACCAGACTTTCTTCTAACTGCCCACATGTGCAAGAACATAGCTAAATAGTAGCATCTCAACTATATCTAAACACCTTCAGCACTGTATTGTGAACCAAGAGCATTATCTTTATAGCCAGTGTTTCTCCACCTAATGAACTAAACAAATCAACAGCGGATGAAAGTTGGGTTTCAGAAACCAATTCAAGTTACTCTATAAATGATAACCACAATTATGCAGCTCTTCAACTTTCATTTTTTGTCCTAGACAACATGAATCTCCACCAAAGCAAAAACATACTCTGGCATATAATTATGCTGCACGCTTTATTATTATATTTTGGTTATTACCAGCATAAAATTACACTACTCTGTTTTACTAATTATAAACTACAAGGCGTCTGAATGTGGTCATTTCCTCACTTTTGATCCAACTTATGATACCATTATGGAGAAACAAGAGATCTGAAGAACAGCCCCACTAAAATGTATTATTAACAAGCAAAAACCTTTGTATGGAAAATGCTGAATATGTGGTTCTTTTTTATAGTTCAGGACAACACACCACCTAGCTGAGGGAAAACTATGTCTCTGATGTTTAGATGAGATTCAAGGTTTATTTGTGCTCTCCTAGCCAGAACCAAATCCAGCTTTTTCTCTGTTTTAGGATTATAGGGAAGCTTACTTGGACCCAAGGACCCTGCTCGATGGCAATAAACAGAACCCCACAAGCAGCATCGTTTTGGTTGTTCGTCGAGGTGATTTGAAAGCCCCAATAGATAATGCTAAACAACAACAAAAAAACAACATTTCTCTTTATGATATGTCACCATACTATAAGTTATGCCCACGAGCTGATCTCCTTGCTCGTGCAGGCTCTGATCTCTCTCCCCTAGATGTTCACGATCTCCGCTTGCGGCATTGATTTTGTAGTTTTTGGTAACATTATTGGGTTTTTTAGCCCCAAGAGTAGCCCATGAGTAACTAATGACATTTTGTGTCCACCTTTCCGCGCAACCAAAAAAACAGTTCCCTAAACTTCATGTTCAGATGGATTCTAAAATGCAATGTTCAAGTCAAATATTTCGCCTTTATTGATTCTGTTTCTGCCACTAGATGCCACATCTACCAGATCCTAACTTCATCTTCCTTCTACCTTGAGACCCACTTTCTCTTATAAGCTGTACTTCTATCTAACTTGTCTCAAGCATGTCGCCAATAGATGTGGACAAATTGATTTACCTAGCAACCTCATTATCAATATATGGATGTCTAATTTCCAACGGTTATGCCATCATCCATTGGCCTACTCATCTACCAGTAGGGCACGTACCCTCCTCTCCGACACTACAATTTGTTCCATCATTGGAAGACAGGATCATGCGACACCTCATGAAATATGTTTGAACCAGGTTTTGGGTCAGGGCCCCAAATTGGAGAAGAAAAGGAAGCAAGAATCTGTCTATTATATTGGTCCTTATGAACTTCGGCACAGAATCAACACAAATTAAGTACTAAAGTTCTAATTGTACATCTTTCTCTTCATTTCTTTGATATCAGTTTCTTGAGCAAAGAAAGATAATGGCTATTGGCTTACCTGATAATCTTGCTAGGCAAATTCTCCGATGATCAGGTTCTGGCTCAAACAAATCAAGATCTACGCTTCAAGATGTGCCAAAAGGTTTCCTCGCGGTATATGTTGGGAAGGCCCAGAAGAAACGGTTTCTAGTTCATGTTTCCTACTTAAGCCAGCATTCATTTCAGGATTTGCTGAGCATGGCTGAAACACCTAAGATCTAATTACTGACTCTCAATAAAGTTAAGCTGTATGCGGTGATGAGCTGGTATATATAATAAATACTACTAATTAATATTGCGTACCTGATTAAGTGCTGTGTTCAGTCCCAACAACAAGCTTAGGAGGAAAGGAATAATGTCCTTGGGGAATTGACACTACTGTACTGTAAACAGTGAGCAGCAAAATCCAAAGAGTCAGCCACTGGGAAGACAAGAACCCTCGCCCTTGCTAAGATCAGTCTTATGAACAGCAGGCTTGTGATGAGAGCAACCGTAGTACCACTACTATAAGCCCCGCAAGAGCTGCCACTTGAAGGATTGCCTCACAGATATTGCTGCTTTGCAATATGTGTGGTTTTGCAGGCTTCGCCATTTAGATTTGCTCGACTCCAGACACCTACACTCACATGAGGAGAATAAAGCGTAAACATAATTCACGATGATAAGTTCTATTCTTAACAGTTACAGATTTTATAGCTTTTCAAAAGACTCAGTTGCTTGAGGAAAAAGTTATCAAAGACGAATATATAAACCGATGGGATGCATTAATATTTACAGAATTAAGAAAGTAAAATATAAACGAAAGAATTAACAGTTACAGATTTTATTGCTTTTCAAAAGACCCACTTGCTTGAGGAAAAAGTTATCAAAGACGAATATATAAACTAATGGGATGCATTAATATTTACAGAATTAAAAAAGTAAAATATAAACGAAAGAATTTGGTAGACTAGTTGCAGGGATTGTCTTTACTGAAAAACATGTATCCTTAACACAGGGAAGCGAAATGTGAAAATTCAGATATTTTCTAGGTGATCCTCAGAAAGCATCATCTAGATTAGCAGAAAGAGACCCTGTCTCTGAGCTCCAAACCTGAAATTATTGAGAATATCCAGGTATGTCTCCTTAAGGATTGTCATTATAACCATTGTTTGACCAACCCGTACAACCCAAACAGTTCATGAAATGAATCAAATGATAAGGAACTTGCAGAATTACCTTAAGGTGGAATTTAAAGCTAGAACTGGCTACTTTAGGACTTTTAGATCTCCTTATGGACACATGCTCTGTTACTGAAGATCTTTCAGCGTGTTCTTTGACATAAGATGCCTATCAACCACATGACTCCAGAAGAGACCTAAGATCTTGTCATCGCCAGCAAAAGAAGCACTGAAGCTCCGATACAGTTTTAGAGTAATCATCAGCCTTTTCTTGTACATTTCATCCAACAGATCTGAAGCAACGCTCACGTTACCTGATTTCCATTGTGCATACGCTAAACTGGTATATATCACACTATCCCCTGATATGCCTTTCTCTTTCATAAGACCAAATATTTTCTTAGCACAATCAACTTTCTCTCTTTTACAAAACCTCCTTATTAGTGCCCTGTACAGCGAAACATCGACACACAGACCTTTATTCACAAATTCATCAGGGAGTTTGATAATCTCCTCTTCCTTCTGGTGATCACAATGAACATCAACAAACCATGAATAGGTGCAGTAGCTAGGAGGAAAGCCAGCACTAAGCATGCTGAATAAGTACTCTTTAGCGCATTTCATATCTCGTGCCTTGCAGAACCCATGGATCAATGCCTTGTATGTAAACTGGTCAAGCTTCAAACCTGCTCCAATCATCTTATCTTTCACCTTCAAAGCTGATGCCATATCTCCTATTTTACAGTACGCATTGATTAAGGTGTTGCATGTAACATTATCTGGTTCGACATTTCTTTCGCCCATCTCAATCAAGAGTTTATTTGCATCCCTTATCCTGCCTCCCTCACACAACTTGCGGAGAATTGAATTATAAGTGACAACTGTGGGATAGAGCCCTTTATCAGCCATGGAATCTCGCAAACTCAAGGCAGACTCAAGGTCATTCAGCCTACAGTATCCATCAATTACAGTAGTATAAGTCACATTGTTGGGGACTGCATCTTTAATTTCCTTCAAAAGCCTCATAGCCTCCCTCATTCTACCTTCTCTACTGTATGCATAGATCAGAGAATTATAAGTAACAATATCAGGAGCAATCCCAGCCCTTTCCATCCTATCTTGAACGGACAAAGCTTCATAGTGCATCCCCTTTTTACTATACAAGGAAATAAGGGTATTGAAAGTGAAAAGATCAGGTAAAACACCATCCAACTCCATTTCAGTCAACAACTTCTCTGCCTTCTCCGCATCCCCAGACTTGCAACAAGCATGAATCAACACATTGAAAACATGGACATTGGCGACTACACCAACTTTAACCATTTTCTTATAGACTTTCCACACCATATCAGTTAACTTATCCTTAACCAAAGCATTCAACAACACGGTGCAGGCATGCAAATGCAGCCTGAAGCCACTGGCCCTCATGTGCTCGAAAACCTGCACTGCCTCATGGGTCATCCTGGAATTACCATACACTATCACAAGCCAGCTCAAAACGTGGGAATTCACATCCGGGTCATCATGAGTCCTCACCAAAGCAGTTAACACGGAAGGGCTCGACAAGAAATCCTTGTGAGCTATTTTCTCGAGCAGGTGGTGTGCAGTCTTGAAGTGTTTGTACTTGGTTAATATGTGTATCATAGTCCATGAGGATTGTACGGGGTGCTTATAGTTCGGAATGGACGACTCAATCCACCGAAACAACTCCCACGCAAGACAGGGACTGTAGCTATACGCAGAGAGTTGCAGGAGTACCTCTCGGAGCCTAATTGCAGTGAGATTCGTGTCAATCTTCGGTTTCAGGAGATTGCCCCAGCATCCCTTTACCACCACCCCACAGATGCTATGAACCAACCGTAATTCACTGCTCGGAGGAACAAAAGTTGCCATTGTTTTCGAAGGCTGGTCGGAGGAGCTGCCGTGGAACTCCAAGCCGGCGCCACTTCGGTGGAATAAGACAGTTTACCTTCGGAATGTGCTACGCCTTGCTCCGATCTTCTTGTGCCGTGCCTTTCTCCCGTAGCAAATCGGCCGGGAAGACATAATTAACCGGATCGCGTTCCGTATAATATGGTTGGACTTTTAGTTCTCTCGACCGGCTAAGATGATACCCAAGCCCAACTAATTTGAGGTCTGCATTCCGGGCTCGAAGAAGGAAGACCGGTACCGTCTTCTACTCTTGTTTTTAGTTTTTTTTATAAGATGATCACTTGACCAACTATTTTTTACGATGATTTGTGGTAAGAAATTAATAAAGGCAACCATCAAAAATAATAATAATAATAAACGTCTTGGAAATAAATAAATAAATAAAAGTCATAAAGGACTACATTAGAAAAGAAATTTTGTGTCAATATACCAAAAAGAATAAATTAGGAACTTCCTACCAAATCAAGACTATAAATCAAGGTTGAAATCAGGTCTAACTTGAGATAACATGAACAGTATTTTTGGAATCATGATAATAGCTAAATATGTAGCATATGTTTCATGGAGGACTCAGACGAAGAACTTGAACGTGCTAAATAATAGAACCACCAAATGTTTCATATTTATATGGAAACTAGAGACACATCACTATCGTCACAGCATTATCCTCAATGATTGCACCTTAAAATCAAATTGATATGGACAACAAATTTCATTGTGCAACAATAGAAGTTCAATAAGAAAAAGGTCATAGATGCTACCAAAATATAGCCAAGAGGCCAGACAATTTCTTGTTAGATCAGGCTTGCTTGTTTTTTGACAAGTTCTATCTTAATTCTCCCTAGTGTCTTTACTCATATTCCTCTATTGCAACTTCTCTTAAATCATTCTTCTGTGTTTTGTCTCTGAAAACTATCTTCCTTTTTATTTGAATCACAAATCCGCCCACATAAACCTTTCTCAACTTTCAAGTTTAACCACCTAATCTGCACCCAAGGAGCACTAGTATTGAATAGTATAGAATGGACAACTCCATGTAACCAAGCCCAGAAGTTTGAATTTCGTCCATGTTTGTGTATTCCAACTCATGTTGTACAATGAGGCGAGAGAAGTCGTTCTCTTATTTTTCCTTTCTCAGTTTGAACTCATCAAACTGAGGAACTATTCACATCCACCAAGGGCAAAAGGCACCATAACTTGGCATTTCTGGTACTGGACAAGAACTCGGCTGCCAGACTGCGCCTATCCAATTCCAGCAGGAGCAAAACCGAAAGAAAGGGGTGAAAGAATGAGATGCAGAAGAAATTGAATACAAGCATTAGGTGGCCATACAATCTACATTGCTCCTCTCATAACCAGTAGTACAATACTCGTATACAATATAATGACAAGTGTGGTCAGTTTTTTCACATTACTCACATATCGATATCCCTGAGCAAATCAGATTAGAAATTGGCTGTTGCTTCCTTGATTTCGTCCAAGGTGATCACCTGCACGACGAGCAAAAACCAGCATGTAGGGTAAATCATCCATAGTTGTGAAGTCATGCTCATGCTTACTCATCAAGTGTCGATGAGCCTGCTTTACAGGAAAGGAGGGCCAAGGTTTAAAGAAAGGGATCTGGAATTACCTGATCCTTGCCGGCAAAATCATTATCTGGGGTGAGAAAAAGCATGCAATGGCACTCCTTCCTACAATAGCCATCTTACAGTTGAAGCACAGAAGGGAGTATCACCATAAACTTAATAAGACACTAGGTGAATATTATTTGGATTTTATTCCTTCCTAAAGAATGCTCTGTTCTTGGGCTCAGAAGGCGCAACTGGTTTGGCTGATTAGCAACTTCACTAGTTAGCAATCACATAGCTGTCTTCTCCCCGAAAGACAGAAATCACAAGCTTCCATAAATGGCATGTTTCTTCACTAGTCTACAGATAATGTGTGATTCTTTCAATAGTAGAAACTGTGCAGGAAAATGGGACAGAACAGAAATTCGATGACAAGTCTCAGATGGCTTCGGATTGCGTAAGAAGAGAAACATTTTGCTTCTTATACTAGCCATATCACTTACATTCACTGGTAAGACAAGTCGATCTTTACCTAAACCCAAACAAAGAAAACTCCAGCATCAAGCAGGGACAACCGAAGCTCAAGCTTGAAGATGTCAGTTTTTGGTAGGAAACTAGCATTCTCAATCACGAAGACTTTATAGGGCTGTCCTAGACTCATAGGCAGTGCACAAAAAGCAAAATCAACTGAAAACCACTTCTCAAGATCATGACTACTCTTCATCCCACATTACAATCTTTCATGCCCTAATCAGCTACAGTCTGAACCTTCAGCAAATTCACAACTCATTATCCTGTTTTAATGAATCTTCATACCACTTCTCGAGATCTGCCACAGCAACACTAGGTTTCTTAGTTTCCCAACCGAACTTTCTTACACATTTACAGCTTTGAAGCCATTCTGAACATATTTATTACTTTTAATTAACAAGCGGAAGGGCTTGAACAACAGCAAGAAATGAGAAGCAATGTCTTTGCTGTCTAAATCTCTCCTCTAATTTTATCAACCACTGATCTTATAGCTGTCACTATCGCTGCGTGCAAGCAAACAGATAATGAATGAGTCTTCCTTCACCATCGGCTCTTCCAAGTACAGAATCATTAAATTGTAATGTCACATATACAACATTCCCCTTCCCTTCATTAGCAATGAGACAGGAAACTAACAATATGTTAGGCAGAATCCATGTGCCATCTCACATGAAATAAGCCACCCTCTTCCAGTACTTGAATTTGATTCTATCATAGTGGTAACTCAGCATTTCCAGACAGTTCTCTCCTCAGTCCATACAAGGAAAGAATTCTGTCATGAAGTTGAATCAGGTTCCAGAACCTAACACCTCATTTAACTAGAAGTTCCCGGAAAAAAAATCCTCAACCAAAACGAATAAACTTCTCATGACCTAAAACTTCCCCGGTTCATCACGAATCTTGGGAAAAGCGAGGTTATGCATTAAGAACTTGGCCAGAAAGCCTACCTCTCTCTCATGGGGACACAAGGACAGTTCCAAAATCCCTGCCCTGCTTCTGCAGCTTTGTCATCATAATGCCTACAAACCATGGATTCAAAACTTCAGAACATAGTAATACAAAGACTTCCCTCCACTTAATCCCCATCAAATTGACATCACCCCCATATTCATACACACTGAACAATATTTACCTACAAGGGCACAAGGGCGCACCCAATGAATCTTTATGCTCCGCCAATCCCTGTCAAAATACCAAGAACAATTCCACATTCATTCCCCCATTCACAACAACAGCTCCAAAATATCTCACGAATTCGGCGAATCCCATAGTCAACAATCAAATTCAATCAGCTTTCTTTTCTCCTGATACTTTCGATTAAGATTAAAACCTTAACCGCCAGCAGAGTAGAATCGGAATGAAGAACTTACCTTAATCACAACGGCAGTGACTCCCTTATCCACGCAGAAGTAAGTCCCCGACCTACGGGCGTACTGCTCTGAGAACTTCCTCATTATCTCGACCGACTTATCCGCGGGATCCACAGCTAAATCAGCAAAGCAAGCTCAGTGCAAAATGCGAGAAGGAAATGCGAGTATAAGCAGGAGAATTCAGTAAAATAACCTTCGGCGCGAAATACGGTGGTGCGGGCATGGTGGCGATGACGGCGGGGGGCTGTTGTAGGCGGAGAGGCGAAGGAAGAAACGCCGGCGAAGCTGCAAGAAGCGGCTTGAAGAGCCATGGCGGAAGAGTTTCGCAGCTCAGCACAAAATGGAGTGACCTCAAATCTCGGAGAGACAGTAGCAGCAGGCGCTTGTTCTGGTTAATTATTTTTGCTTTTCATTTTCCTTTTTCCTTATATGTGAATTTTTCACTGTGTCGCTATTTGATTCGATCAAGCATACGATTATTGTTTTTCAATGTTGAATATGAATTTATTTTTGTGATATTTATGCTTGGAGTTCTTGATATTGACAACAGAGGGCGTCACCACCACTCGTTGTTGGGAAATATCAAGCAGCGAGCGAGTCCAGGCCCGTTTATACAGATTTGGGCCTAATAATATAGTGGGTGAATAGCCCAAATTGCAGCAAACCAACCCTACTATACCCGACCCTCATTCCCTTCTTCTTTATAACTACGGATTGAAAATTGATCCATGCGATTACTCGTAACCATTTATTAGTTACTAATGATAATGTCCTAGTAATATAAAAAAAGAGTTGGATGGTTGAAATCGCTTGTTTGGTAGGTCAAGTTTAAGTTAAAGATAGCATATACATGTGTCTCGTAGATCCTTTTAAGTTATGAAATGATTTGTGGATATATATCCACCAACAATCATGATATTAATCCGCGGTTAAAGTAACGGGATCAATGAACATCAAAATGACAATCAAACTAGAATTCCAAATATTGGTCTAGTACTAATATATGACTAATAACATCTATTATGCCATAAGTTATTTGTACAAGATTGGTGCAAAAAATGATTACGAAGATCGATACGGACTCGATTGTCAAGTAAGTTGGTGGCATGCATCGATGCATGGTGGCGTGCATCAGCGATAAGATATTTTATGTTAAAACCGTGGTTTAACTATGGTTCAACCGCTTCATACCGCCTACTAGCTTAGACTCCGATAAGAGGTTTTGCTGGTTGAACCGTCGGTACAGTATTTTAATCATTAGTTTGAAGTCTAACATTACCAAATTAAAATTGTGGGGATTTGTCACTTGGATATAGTTCTGCATGCTGGCAATGAAGCATGGCCGGCGAAGGCCAGGCTACCAGAAATTAATTTCCTCACAAGCGTACGTATATATACATGCAATTAGGGCATTTGCGTACCTATCTAGGTAATTAGAGGAAAGACAACAGCATAAATGGGCACTTACGTCTTCCTTGTCTTGACTATTAATTGAAAGAAACCCGCCTTTATTTGGCTGGGGTAAGGCCAAAGATTATTATTATGATATAATTAGGGTAACTAAGGTAATCTGATATCTGATCTTGACTCGGGAAGATTAAAATGAAATCCAGCAGAAGTACTAATATCCAAAACCCTAATCTGGGCATGCATGTAATTAATATAAAAGGATGAATCAGTTAATTCTGAGGGCTTATTTTCTCTGGAGATGGATGAAGTTGCAGATCTGCCCTGGAAAAAACAGCAACTTAACTACTAGCTACGATTCTATATATATAATGATTGTATTCATTCATAGTGAAAGAGATGGATCATGAACAGATCTAGCTAGTACGAGAGAGAAAGAAGAGACCCAGATTTGAGTACCCCAAAAACAACAGCTAGCACATGAATTAATGCGAAGAAAGAAAGGGACAGAAACTGAAAGTTGAAGACTTTAGCAGCAGATCAAAACAAAGTAGTATTACGAGTAGTGTAGATAAACAAAGAAATAAAGAGTAACAGTTGATATCGGACCGAGATGCTTGATTCCCCTTTGATGATTTGGCTTTAACCAATCTGGCCTTCCTCCAGCCAGCCAGCCAGCTAATCTAATCTATCTGTCTGTTGCGCGCAGAGAGAAGATGGCATGGACGGATCAAGGAGTAGTCGTCCTCCTCTCTTTCAAAATCTTCAACTAGCTAGGTAGCAATTGATGATGATGATGATGAGGTGGGATTTGAGAGCTGATGAGAACTGAGAACTCAGCAGCAGCAACCAAAGAGTGCTAGCTAGAGCTACATATTAGCTGATTAAAGCTGGGTTTGGAGGGCCGGCTGGGCTTGATCTTTATTGTTGTTTTTTTCTTTTCCCTTGGCCCTCTTTTTTCTGGTCCTTGGTAACAAGGCCAAGAAGGGTAATGATGATATTTTGGGTATGATGATGAAGGAGAAGAAGCATGAGAAACAAGGAGTTGGTGGTGGTGGTGGTGGTGGGTGTAATGATGGCGATGGAGAGGGTGGTTCAGAAGGAGAAGAAGAAGAAGAAGACGAAGAGCGCATGGTGGTGGTGGAAGAACGATGATGACAAAACATTATCATTGCTCCCCTCTCTCTCTCCCTCTCCCTCTCTTTCTAGCGATGTGTGCTTATCTATAAGGCTGATGGCGTTGAAAGAAATGCACCAAAAAGGAAAGGAGGGAAACATTAAAAAAAAAAAAGCTGTGCCGGACGGAAAAATGTAAACAGAAATTTTCTATATTGATGTTTTTGTCATTTATAATATCATATATATAACTATATAAAAATGTTATTTGTTCTAAGGTTTCTGTGCCTGCTTTCCTTCCTCTCCCAGCCTGTAGTATTACTGGTGTCAAGACTGTCAGGGGGAAGAGACGGAAAGGTAGAAGCGCCACAGAGAATGATGATGGATACGTGTGTGTATCAGTGTATGTGTTGGGAGTCATCATCAACATCACACCCCTCCCATCCCAAACCCAACCTAGTTAATTAGGGCTTTCTTCCTTCCCGACCTTCTTTCCTTTTATCACTTTTTCATCATTTAGACAAACATTAATGTGTTATAAATCGATTCGAGAAAAATTCGTTCGATACTCGATTCGTTTTAATCGAACCGGCTCGCGAACCAAACTCGTTAACTAAACGAGTCGAACTCAAGCCATATCATGTTCAGTTCGAAAGCTTGCGAACAAGCTCATTTAACTCTTTGGCATAAGAAATTATTAGAATTCATGGATTTTATGTATTGGAATTGGGACAAATATTGTGTTTTATTTTGCTGGAATTTGCTACAGGTTTGAATGTAATTTTGTGCCAAGTTCTAGGTCAATTTTGAGTTATTATGAATATTTTATGAGCTTAACTCGATTTTGGGCTCGTAAAGCTTATTCGACGAGTCGAGCTCGAACTTTCATTTTCATAAACGAGCCAAGCTCGAGATTGCATATTAAAACTCGTGATGAACACGAGCCGAGTTCGAGCTTGGGAATATATTAACGAGCCGAACCCGAACTATGAAAAAACTCGACTCGGCTCGGATCATTAATAGTCCTAGTTATAACCAATCACATAGCTAGATAAATAAATGCAAAGTATATCTTTATAGCGACTAATGAAATAAAAGGAGTATATATATCTAAATTTTTGGTGATACACTCACAAAAATGAGTGTATACTATGCATCTTCTAAAATTAGTCTTAAAATTTCAAAATTAATATAATTATATAATAATATAGAATTACAACTAATCATTCTATTACTCTAAACCGGGTGCCTTTAATTTTGAACCCGAATCATAAATCACAAAGTGTAAAAACTCTAAACCCTAATCTTAAATCCTAAGCATTTCAAATTAAAGTAAATCTTGAATAATTTTTGTAAAAAATCATATATTTTTGATTCATCACATCATAATTTATAATTGACATCGTTTTGATATAAATCATCTGCTCAAAATAACAATTAGAAAAAATAAGTGCACCAAAAACAAAATCCTAAAAATACCTTACAACTTCAAGTTATTTGTGCCAGTCTTTTGATTATTGAGTTAACCCGCATAACTGCATCATCACATTGTCAGCATGCACAAGAATGAGCTCTTTGTTATCAGTAGGAGTAGAAATCGGTATGGTATCGGTACCCAATACCAAATACCAAAATTCCGAATACCGAATTACACTCGAAAGTCAATCCCAATCCCAATTCCTAAATAATTTCGGTATCTCGATTTCAATTCCAATCCCTAAATATTCTGGTATCCCAATCGTATTATTGAATACCAAATTAATTATATTTGAAATAAATAATTATATAAAAAAATTAGATTTGATTGTTTAATTTAGATCAAAGAGATTAAGCGAAGAGTCTTGACTCTTGAGTTTGCCTATAGCTAGGATATGGATAAAGAGAATGAAGGAGAGGTGACATCTCAAGTTCTTGTCATTGGTAATCTATAATTTGACGAATTGGAGGCTGAGAGACGACTAATACTAGTGTTTGCTTTTTTGGGTTATGAAAATAACAAGTGGTTAGGTGAGAGATGAGAGTGACTTAAATTGGAAAGTCATAATTGAGTTGGATGGGGACTTCTAAGTTGTGAAAGAGTGAGGAATGACTAAAAGTTGTGTGTTATATTTTATTAATTTTTAATTTTTCGTATTTCGGTATATACCGATTCCAATCTCGTAATTCCGAATACCGAATAGCACTCTAAAATGAACCCCAATCCCTAAATAATAAACCGGTATTCGGTAATACGAAATAGTGATAAATTCGATACAGTATTCGGTATATCCCAATACCGATACCAAACTTCCGGCGATAGGTGAGATGCAGAGATGGAAACCCTAGCTACTCAAGTGTTTGTTTCGACCTTTGATTGGACACTTTTGCTTTATTTCCTGCAACTTAATTTCTTTCTTTCCATCGAAGAATGAAAGAAAAGATGGAGTGGAACATCCAAAAGTCCTTTTTTTTTCCTTCCAAAATGCTTTGCCTTCTCTTATGAATGAAAAATTCTGCGCTCTTTTTTTACCCCTTGCTCGAAAGTTACATATAAAATGTTATATGCCACAGCCCAATGGTACCGTGGGTTCTGTCCTCTTATAGGGGTATGTGGATTTGCATGAAACGATGTTAAGATTGCTAATGTGGTTAAAAAAAAAAAAAGAAGCTTTGGTTAAAATATTGGTGAAAGTGTTTGAAACAACTCCAGGTTAAAAGCATTGCTGAAAGCCTTCGAAAGATGAAGGTACTAATTAACTCCTATTTTTTTTATAGCTGTTCGGAATAATTAGATGAATGCATGGCAAGGTTGTCAACCCACGGGTCGACCCACTTGAACCCTGATCCGGTGAGAAAAACGGACAGCACGCACTCGCCGGGTCGACCGCTACAAGGTACCGAGTTGGAGGTCAAATTGTGTCATTTTTTTCTTTGGTTTGCGAAATGCGCCTATTTTGTCGATTTTTCTTTACGCCTAACTCAATCTTTGGAATCCTAAGTTGAACATTTGAATATTGATGTTATATAAGTGTGTGTGAATTTTCATTGTATGTTGGATCTAAGTATGACATATTATTTTGGTGTAATATTATAAGTTATAACTCATATGTTAGATGAGATTTGATATAATTTATCAGCATAAGTATAATATAATTAATCTTTCCATATTTCCGAGCTAAACCGGGCTAAAACGGGTGACCCATTAACCCTTGACCCACTAGCTCGACCGGGTCCGAGTCAATCCGCGGGTTGACAACCTTGATGTATGGTTTAGGGTTTGAACTCTTGAGTAACGTTTATTCAAAATTATAGTAGATACTAGTTATACATATTGTTTCTAAAATACAAATTCTTAAAGGTACATTCTCAAAGCTTACAAGAAGCACTAGACAAATGTCTAAGAACTTGGTTAATATAAGGCAACCAAAGCATCCAAGACCAAGAGAAAGGATCTACTTTATTAATTTTCAAGTTTATTTCATCATCTATATTTCTTCTAATTTAAATTAAACGTCAGAGTGTAGATCAAAGAAATCAAAGAAAGAGTCAGAATCAGAACCTAATCACAATAATTGTGCTTATAATTAATTGGAGCATGTTTTGATTTTAAAACATCAATAAAGATAATTAAGGCTACCAACACATCATCTCATCTCTTGTAACTTTCATGGATTTCTAGTGGCTCTCATACTCAGAGCAGGAGGATTCGAAGTTCGAATTTGTGAGAACATGTGGTTTCAACTAGTTTGCCACTACACAAAAATTACAAATTGTTTATGCAGTGAAATTTCAAACTCCATACAAACAAAGCCTTGATCCAACGGTGTGATCTAGGGATGGCAACAAAATCCGAACTCGGAGGTATCTTACCCGACCCAATTCGGTCAACGCGGGTAAAATCCGTGTTGACGAGTTTTGGGCCGAGTTCAGGTTTAAACCCGTTCACTATTCACCGGGTTGAGTTGGGTTTGGGTTTAGGCAAACCCGCCCACACCCATATAATTAATTTTCCCGGCATATTTAATATTCTAAACAACTAATCTTCTTTATGTTTGTGGAGACATGTCTAATTTTTTCTTTCTAATTGTGTAGAATGAAGTTGATATTATCGAGTGGAGAGTGAAGAAGCTCAATTGACAAGGAGGAAGATGCTTTCAATTAATCATATTGTTTATGGATAATTTGTGATTTGCTTCAATTTTCTTGAGTTTTCTAGATTGGTGTTGAACAATTTCTATGGTTAATTTGTGATTTGCATGAATTTTCTATAGTGGTGTTTTATATATAAATAATTTATATTGAGAGATTGATATTTGACTTTTATTTTGATAGGAACTTGTTATTGTAAATTTTTTACGACAAAAACCTATGGGTAGTATCCATGAACCCGCGGATACCTAGCGAGTTGGGTTTGAGTTTTTCAACCCCAGTGAGTTTTATCCCGGGTTTTTTTCATGGATAAACCCATGAATTTGAATTTGAGTTTAACAAAATCCGACCCATTGCCATCCCTAGTGTAATCACTACTTTTCCACCTAGAGGTCTCAAATTTGAAGTTGAATGTAGTAACGTGTAAAAGAAATTCCAAAAACAGAATGCATAATTCTATTCTAACATTCTTTTTCCCCCACCACTTGTTTATGATTGATAGCCGGAGGGAGAGGGTCCTAGAGAGTAGAGATGTACAGTCTACACGAAATGAGGAGAAAGACTGTCCTACAAGCTGCAAAGATAGATGACACAAAAAAAGACTTCCCCCCCCGGCTTTCAGTGGAAAATGGTCCAAAACACAGAACCAGCCATAAGATAAGAGTGCAGAGAAGAAGCACGCATTGCAGTTTAGTCTCTGTCTGCCATTCATTTTGGTGGGGTTTTCCCCGTGACTGATCACCCTCCCCCACCTTCTCCCACATTCTGTTCGTCTTCCACCCTCCACCAACTGCCACTTTTTTGCTGAGTAAAATTAGATCATGCACATAGTTTTAAACGGTTTTACTTTTTTTACATTTTTTTAGTGTTCGAATATATGAAAGAAAGAACTGAAAAAAAAAAAAAAAATAGATGAAAGCAACTGCATAGACTTGCAGTAATTCTGCTCTCAAGGGCACAACTTAGATTCCTCGGCAATGGTCTTCCTACCAAGTAGTTTCTCCAGAGGATCCATATTCCCATGTTGCCAGCCAGCTGCAATTCTTCTCAGATAGTCTGATCATATGAGAATGATAACCTGGTTCATCAGTTCACTTTTCTACTGTCATTGTTCTCTCCAGCAGGTTATGCTAGCTGCTGTGCTTGTAACTTCTGTTCCCTTACCCGCACGAGCCAACTACTTGACTGGGTTTTTCAAATGTATGAGTTGTGTTTCTGCTTGCTATCCAGCAGCCCGCATTCCAGGCGGATCGCCTTCATAAGCTCCAGGGAAATCGCAGGTCGTGCCTCCTTACTCACTCCATCGTCATCACTCACTTCTCCAATTCGTTGACTCGGTTGGCTCTTCTTCTTATGCTTCTTCTTGTCTACAGGGCCTGCTTCATCTTCTGCACCCCATCCCCTATACAGTATCACTTTGCTAGGTTCCTGGGATACTAACACAGCTCCTGTTTCTTGCTGCACAAGTTAGATATACGAAATCAGGGAAGAACTCTATAACATCACTGTGTGAAACAGTTCGAGTTTGATTGCAGAGGAGACCTACCTCTAACTGGAAAACCACCTCTTGGACTGAAGTTCCTTTTGCTCTGCCTTTTACATTCACTATAGCAAGTGGATACCTCTGAAAGTGAGCCTTGATAGTTTTGACTACTCCACTTATGATGTTGCTTTTCCCTGGCAGAGTAAGAAGGAAACATAATTACGCCCCAACATATCTTTCTTGCAATGCAAGAAATGTGCAATAGTCACTCAATGCAATAGAGAACAAGAGGAAGTAGTAATCACCTACGGAAAGTACCGGGCGGTTCTTCATTTTGAGAGCCTGCTTTCGTAGGATAAGCCTGTCCCTGTTAGAAAGCTGAACCCTAGAAGAAGGCAGCATCTCATTCTTTCCTTTTACTACACTTGAAGCTGCTGTTTGTATCTCGCTTTCTTTTAAGTTTACTGTTTGACCAACTGAGCAGTCAGCACCGGAAAGAGTATTGTCAAGCTTGACACTAGGAGTAAAATGCCTTCTTTCTGACTGCCAGATATGAAGAAATCAGCATGTGCAGAAGAAGCTAAAGGTGAGAAAATAAAGGCATGGCAACAAGATCTCAAACTCACCATAAACGAAACGTGAGACGGGGTTGAGTTTACAGCTCTATCGGTCGTAGCACTCAGTTGTCTCCCTTGTACATGCTCATCAGATGATTGAAATGATGACTCGGGATCGCATGTTGCAGTCTCGACTTCACTAACTGTTGGACTAACTTCGTTCTGAATGGCCTGCTGAGTTGAGATTCCATCAGAGGGCACATCCAGGCCATCCATTAAGCTCAAGAAGTTTGAATCACTTCCACGCTGCTCCATCGTCTGAAGTAACAGTTCATTACTACATTCACTTTCTTCAGCTTTTCCAGTTAAATATCAGGGATGGCATAAACCATTACCTCATCGTTCTCTTCAGAATGATCTAGAGTAACTACTTCAGACTGCTGATTAGGATTATCAGACTCCATGTTCGGGTCCTCTTTAACCTAGATTTCAAGCAGAAGATTTCAGACTCCTAGAGAGAGATATGCCTTATCTAACAGGTTTCTGTCTGCACAAGAAACGCACAAAAATATGCGCAAGAGAAGCTTTACCTTGTTCTCTTCGGAATGATCTAGAATAACTAGTTCAGACTGCTGATCAGGATAAGCAGACTCCACGTTCAGCTCTTCTTTAGCCTAGATTTCAAGCAGAAGATTTCAGACTCCTAGAGAAAGGTACATCATACAGGTTTCTGTCTGCATGAGAATGCACAAGAACATGCGCATGAAAAAGATTGATAAACAACAACCTCACATCTTGAACTGTCAAGTGAATCGAGACTATGTGCTTCTTCCATGTTTTTGAACTGTAACAATGACACCAAATATCAAATCTTCATGGCTAACAAAAACCTTCCATTACATAAGAGGAGCCCGCTGAAAGTAACAAGATAATAGCTCACCATGTTATCTTTCAAGTCTTCAATATTTCTGGTCAGCTTCAGAACATGAAGTTTCAGAGACTGCATGACAGAAACGTACATCAATGAGATTAAATATAAGATGTCAAGTACCTATGTGATTATTTTGACTGGCTGATCTATAGCAAACCTATATCTTTGGACTTAATCCTTGAGCAAAATTAGTAAGATGGGATCAGGATATCACACGAGATTTTTATTTTTACCTCACGACGCTGAGCTTCAAGGGAGCGCTTCATTGCTTCCCTTTTACTTAGGAGTGTCTGAGGCCTCAATGAAGCAGGTCGTTTATAGTTCTTCCCACGATATACAATGATCGCATGCCCCTTGCTAACTCTTTCCAAGGCCACTAGTATTCCCCCACTCTCAGCTTCCAAAGTCTTCGCTACTTGTTGAGCAGTCTCAAAGTCTCTCTCTTTGCATATTAGCTTGACAAGTTCCCTATATTTCCAGTGCAGATGCATGTTCTCAACCGTTCCATCAAATACCCCCCTTCTACCTGACAACGAGAGAAAAGTACTGGTAACCAACAACATGAAAAGGAGCAGCTTTAGAGAGCCAAGTTATTTGTATTCTCTTTACTTAAACTCACCCAACAGCAGGAAAGGCTTCATTCTCAAACCAACCTTCCTAAGCATGTATCTCTCTTCTTCACTGATACCCTCTATGTCCGCCTCAGGTTGTTTGGGTTCCTCTCCTCCCTCAAGCTCTGCTAGAAGTTCCTCTGCCTTTGCTTTCTTTTCTAATGTCTGTTAAATTTGTCAAAATGTAAAATAAAACTCCGTCCTTGAAATCAAGTCATGATAGCAACTTTACGAAAAAAACATACCACAGCTAATTTCACGCTAGTCTTTTTCATGGCTGCCTTGGTCGATTTTTTCTTCTGATGTTGAGGTACATAATTTCTCTGATCACTGGAAGCACCACTATCATCAGTCTCATTTTCAAGTTCTTTTGGAGTTTCACCAAGTCCTAGGGTACTCTGTACTATCTTTGGCCCATCACCATGGATTCCAGGCCTTCTTCTTCGCTCTGATATTGCAGAAGAAACAGCAGCTGGAAGGAAATCCTTCCCTCTATACAACACAATAAACTCCCTATCCCTTGAAAGAAGAACTCCTCCAGTCAACCACTGCCACAATACTTCCGATTAGAATAAGAATTCTCAGTAAGCTCCTTGTTTCTCTCATTTGGAATCTGCATTCCCTCAAGAAAGTCAACCTCACTAGCAGTTTGACTGACATATGACTAACCTTTAGCTCTTCAGCCATCAGCTCACTATTAGTGTTCTGCACTCCCCTCTTAACTGCAATTTTAGCGATCTCACATTTCTCCCATAGCTTGACTATTGCAGCAGCCAATCCTTGATGTTTTCTGTTCCTACCTAAACACAAAGAAAATAGTAAATACGACAGCTTTTAGCAAGCGATATGCAAAATGGACCCAAAACCAACCTAATGCGAAATGGCAAGGCAATGGTCGTCCAAGCCTTTTCAAGGTGGTCATTTCATCATTCGTTAGCTTAGCCTGGATGCCATAAGGAAGCAGACGGAATGGTCGACGGTAACCAGGAACAACAGCAGGCAGAAGATCAGCGTCTACAGGAAGTGGATCATACCCCCACCAGTCTGTAAACCGCGGGCCTAATCCCTCTAATAACCTGTCAGCTTCTTCTTCTAGCTGTGCCTCCCCTGGTAACTGAAACCTTACCCTCTCAGGTACACCAACACCTTGTACAATCTTCCGCTGAACCGTATTATTTGGTGCAGTTTTGCCGCCAGAGCTTCCATCCATTACAGGTGACAAGTTCTTGGTCTCTCCATCATCGTTTGATTCATTATCTTCTAAGAAGTACGGATACTTATAATTGGCACCTCTATACAAAACTATTTTACTTCCCGATCTCCAAACCACCAAGCCGCCAGTTTTCCTCTGCCCATCAAAGCATTATCACCAGCTTGTTGGTTACAGTGAAGAACAAGGACAAAGAGTTCGGAAAGGAACAAGCTTTCACAGGAAAAAAAAAACTAACCTCCAGCAAGTCATGAGTCCTCTTCATGTTCAATTTACACAAATCCTCACAAACAATCTTCACCACTTCAGCCTGCCTCCACCGCTCGTGAATCCCATTAACGATCCCTTCAGTAATCCCAGCTTTCCCGACTTTCAATTTCCTCTTCTCGGCAATCCCAATTGTCGTCAGCCGCCGCCGCTCGGACGGCGGCAAGTTGAGCTCGGCCAGAGTGGGTATCTTTCCCTTCCCTCTTTCCTCCTTCATCTTCTCCCATTTCTCCTTCCTGGCCACTCGCCTGAGCTCATGGTAGCGGATAATCGAATTGCCCGAGCCGGGGGTGGGAACCGGGTTCTCCGGGGTGCTCCAGCTAGGGTCCAGAGTGTGACCCACTCGGTGCTTGGGCAAGCCATTGGGCAGAGGGATGAAGATTTCGCCCGGGTTGGAACTCGAATTCTTTGTTTGCCGGTCCAAGCCGGAGGAGGATGAGTCGTCCTCGGAGAAGCCGAGCGACCGGAGCTTGTCGGCGATGCGCTGGATGGCGGTTTGAGGGAGGGTCCGGGACTGGGGAGACGGCAAGGAGCAGCGGACGAAGGTCTTGCTGGTGGGCTTATTAGTTGGGAGAAATGGGGTGGTGGGAATTGAGAAGATGGGAGAAGTGAGAGGTTTTAAGGGGAAAGAGGAAGAAAGGGGAAGCATTTCATGGGCGAAAGGAAGCAAAAACACAGAGAAATTGCGTAGAGGAAGGGGAAGCAGATGAAGATAGCCGTTTAAGCGTTAACAAAGTCCGGCACTTCGCCGATGCTCTATCTATCCTTCTCTCGCGTCATTTATGTTGGGATATTTCCTTAATCAGTTTCACCTCCGGGCCAAATCAGTCATCAGAGTATATGTAACGTTTATCTGCGCAAATGAAAGATGAGTCATGGCTGGAGTCTGGGTAATCATAAAATCGATACTGTTCTACAGTGTCACATGTATATATTAGGTTGATCATTGTGATACAGGTCTAATGAAACCATATCTATAGTTGTGAATCCGATCTCACTAAACAAGTCACCAATATGTCAATGAGCAACGAATAAAACCTCAATTGCATAATCGAGACTCTATAAACACGAAACCCGTATCATGTAATTGTAATAACAATTTTTCACTATATATCACATAAATAAATATTTGAAAGTTGCGACAAAGAATAAATCCGAGGTTGGATACTATAACCTTCATGCCAAGTATAGTAAAATCTGTTTGGGTTGAGCCTGTAAGCAAAGCAAGATTGCAGGAAAACCATGAACATTGTGTGAAGAGCTTATTCCTGATAGGAAACCCTATTGAACCTCAAACCATATAAGGATGAAGAAAGGACTGAAAAATTGGCCACATGCATACACAAATGATGAAATTCCATGCCATCAACTTGAGAAAGTACATCATCCAATTATTTACACCGTTCTGGTTGCTTTTCAGCTGAACACAAATGATGCAGCAAGCAGTTAGCTTGCTGATAAAAGGTTTTCCGTACAATGAATCAACAACATTTATTCACATTTCCATATTCAAATCATATCCCTTGGAAGCAGTAGTAGCGAGCATGCAGAATGGAGCTCAGAAATCACAGAATGTCAACAGATTTGTCCCTGTAAGTTGCAAGAGACCTGTATTTTTGGAGAAGCAAGCCAGCAAAACAAATAGCTCAATAAACCACCACAATTTTATTCATTTCCAATTTAGCTATAGACAACGGATCGATGTTACATTTGGGAGTGTTCTCTATTATGGTTCTGTTTCGTCATCCTTTCTCTTTTCGTATGTATATTACATTTCTTGTTGATTCATCTCTTTGTTTTGACTGGCAACTAAAGCATAACTGTGGTACCCAGAACTCACATTTTGGTTTTCAGGTATTCATCTACTGTGAGAGGCTTAGGACCACCAAACCAATCTATCAAGAATATGTCTTCAATCACCAGCTTGTAGACCTGGAAATCATGACCCTTAGGCCACCCTGCCAAGCATCAATAGCACAAACCAAAACGTAAGTAGACGATGCTTAGGAAAATGGTTTGCTGATCATTCTAGGAAGCTAAATTAGAAATAGAAGAGGAATAAAAATTCAGCAGATCTACTATATACCCTTCATTTCGGGATGCTTTGAGAACAAGGCATTTCGAGCCGATTCTGCTTCTTTAGACTTCTCATCAACAGATATCAACTGGCACAATGTAGGGAGGACAGTATCAATTTAGGCTACTACAAAACTTAACTACAAATGTTGGCAACAAACAGATTAAAGGCAGCAACTTTGACAATTGTAACTCATGAATACCTTTCCAGTGAGTGTAATTTTGGAACAAGTAGGGTTCTCAGGGTCAGCTTTGCCACAAGTTCCCAAAGGGTACTCGCTGATGGTGAATGATGACCTCTGGTCTTTTAAGGCATTTTGCGCAGTTGGATCAAGAGTTGTCAAATAGAAGTATGGCACTCCAGCACCTTTCCCAGGTTCTCCATCGCTAAACGAAACAACATTCCTGGAGAGCACAACAACAAAATCTCCCAGTGAGATACTGCAAGCAACTGCAGACTGGTACTTAGCAGCATCATGAACAAAGCCAAAGCAGTAGTCATCAGCCCTAAATTTACATACTTTCAAGCATCTAAGTGAAAGAAATTATGGTTGTGGTATAAGGTGAAAGCAGATATACGACTGCTGCCTCTACTAGGTTATGAACTTTTTCTTCGCACATTGGTTTAGGCATTCATTTGAGAGAATGGATATCATCATCTTGACCATCAAAATCACATCATTATCAGCCAATACAAAGGCAACAAGTCAGCTTGATGCTTCAGTTAGTTCCTAAGAAATGATTGGTTAACCGATGATTATCCCATCTTAATCAATAGAACTTTTGATCAACCAGTGTGGAGAAATCCAACAACATTTCAAGACAAAGAAACGAGAGGCAGGGAACTTACCCGAAGGGAGCTCCACCCAACTCAGCTGATAAAGTACTGCAGTAAAAAAGAAGAGGGAAATTTGTGAATCAATCATCAAATTCGCAGAAACCCAATTAATCAGAACCAATAAGAATAGGAGAGAGTAGAAGAAGCATATACTTAAGGACTCCCCAGGAGTTCTGGGAGACCAACCAACGAGCTGTTGCAGCAGCATTGTTCGGGTCGGGCTTCTTGACTGCTGCAAACGATCTCCTCCCCTGCACCGAACCCACCAACAGGGAGACTACAGACAAAACCCACAAACAGTTGGCAACACCTCTGATGTTCATTTTCTGATCTCTGACCATCGTTGACAAGCCCAGAAGAAGAAGAGAAATATATCAAAGAAAGCGATAAAGAAGGAAGGGAGATGGTGACCCAGAAGCTAACAATCGGGTTTCTATTTATAGTGGATCAAGTAATAAAGATGGCATCTTTGTTAGGAAATTTGTATTATTTCGCTGATGAAGACACCAAAATTGGCCTCTTCGGTTGTAAAACGCTTGAAGTAATCTGCTTAGCTTGCAAGTTGCAATGTCGCCTAGTAGGAAGCAAACGAAAGGTCTCGTGACTGTTGTTATCATATGCGTCAAGGTAGCGAACCAGGCAGGAGAAGAGTCGGGGTCTGGAATAAATCATGCGGTCGTTGACCAGAAGAGCGAAACTACCAACGGAGCAGGAAGACGGGTGTATTGTAGATAGGATGAACTGTGATGTAGGAGATTGTGTCCGGTGGCTGGACCTGCGAGGGCATGGGCGAGCATGCTGCTCTTTCGTATCCGTTTCTGTCGGGATTGATTGTCTGATTGATCCTTGTGTCGGACTTTGGTTTTACTTGTTCGGATCAACGATCTCATCTCTTGCTTTTGGATTTTGGGCTCACGAGGATCGGCATTGATGGGCTGCTGCTGACTCAATCTACCGTGTTTTGGGTACATGGGAGGCGTGCAGCCAAGAAGAACTTGTATATGCCTAAAATCAGGCCGGTTTAGTGGTTTAGGTGGCGGATCGGTAAGTCGGGTTAAGGGTTGAGATTCGATGAACGGTTAAGATAAAAGTAATTAGAAATAATTATGTGAATGTATGTGTAATTGTTAATCTTGATGGATGTTGTGTTATGTGTATATCCTTTCTTTTTTGTGTGTATTTATTCAGTATTTTTAATATAACAAAATAGTTAACAATATCAGTTATGTTTTGTATCAAAAGTTGAAAATATCATAAATTAAGAAGCGCTATAAAACATAGGTCTCAGTGGACCTATCTTTGATATCATGGCTATATCTCAGCTTGATTGTTCTATACATATATTTCTCTGCTCATAATAATTTATATGATATGAATATTTAATGAAAAATATTACATAAATTCGGAATAGATACTAATATAATTTTGCTTTACCGTAAGAATCAAAATTCAATAACACGACAATCTTTCTGGGGAAAAATGGTGAAAATTGTTAACTTAACTTACATTCTTCATTAATTTGAATATGAATATTGAGATATTCGTTCCTTCCTATTATTTATTTTAGTTTTTAATGTAAAAAGCCCAATATATTGGGTTAGCTGACTACAAATTAGAAGCCCAATTACATCACGGCCCAACGTCCTTCTACGGGCCTATCAGTCATCGACGTGGCGGGAACATATGGACACCGACAAGTCAAAGGCCACCGCAGACGGACAAGACATCCGAAAACCTCTGGCCTTCCCAATGCGAAGAAGAAGAACAACGCAGCTGCCTTTCTCTGACCAGTGACAGCCGATAAAAAAGAAAAACAAACACCCAACTCCGCTGCTGCAAATTCGGGCATCTAAAAAGAAATCAAGAGCCCAATCTCCCCTAACCATGGGGCTCTACTCCTTCACCTTGGCCGGCGGTGGCTACATCCTAATCGGCGCTTGGGAATCCCTCCGCCCAATATCCGCCGCTGACCCATCGTCCAAATCAGAAACTTTGAGAACCGCGAATTCAAACCCAGATGCCGGTTCTTCTTGCACTTCTCCATTGACGTACGCCGCCGTCTGCCTCTTCTCCTTCCTCTTCATGGCCGACTCACTGATCTCCCTCTTCAGTGCCGTTGACTCCAACGACGGAATCGGCTCCGCCCTCCAGTTACAAATCCTCCCGATCGCCGCTCTCTTCTTCCTCTACTCGATTCTGGGTTTAGCAACCGATTTCTCCATAACCAAGATTCGGTTTCCTTCCAAGCTCCTCAATCTAATCGCCCTCTTCGGCTTCGTCGAGGAATTCCTGCTCTACTACCTGCAAAAGAAGGACAAGACCGGGATTGAGAACAGGTACTTCGACCTCCTCCTCGTTCCCATCGCGATTTGCATCTTTTCAACTCTTCTCGAATTGAAACAATCTGGGTCAGAATCAGAATCGAGTTGCTACCCGAGATTGGGCCGTGGGTTCGGGTTGATTCTGCACGGGACGTGGTTTGTGCAAATGGGGATTTCCTTTTACTCCAATTTGATTGTTCAGGGATGCCACTTGAGAGCCAAGAGTAGAGGGAATTACACCATAGCTTGTAAAGGCCATCCTGAGTATCACAGGGCTAATGGGATTGCTACTCTTCAGTTTAACTGCCATCTAGCGTTGATTGTGGTCTTGGCTTCTGCTTTGTACTCGAGTATAATGAAGAAGATGGGATATTACAGTGGTGATTTAGAGAGAAGAACCTATAAGCCTCTAGGTGTTGCAGAAATGGTGCAGATGGAAAGTGGTGGTGGAACGTTTACTCTGGAGTCTGATGACGATGAAATTAGAGAAGAGGAGAATGGGAACAAGGAGTTGAGAGTAGGAGCTAATGGTTATGGTTCTCATGACTAAAGGTGAATGATATATAATTCTCTTTGTTCCCTTTTTTCCTGTATACCTCACAGCAAAAGGAATTCATTTTTCTACTTCTTCCTGTTGTTCTGTAGATGGATCTCAGTTTTAGAGAGATGATATGAATGAACACCCTTTTGGGGTGCATTAACATGATTCTCATTACTTCCCTTTTTCATATTCACAATCATTAGAGGTGTTCAGCCTTTGTCTTCCCTTTTATGATCAATCATCATGGCCCATGGTGTATGGCTGTATGATGGTTTCAGGGCTTGGAAATTCTTAGAAATGCTCTGTTGATGGCTTCCTTTTTGTTTGTTCATTGCATGGGTTGTAAAGATCATGGGGGGTGGGGAATGATTATTGGCATCTTTTCTGCTAGAGAGAATCCATTGTTGGTTAAGGAAGTCACTTTTCTGTTCTTTTCAATCATTTGGGTGTGATGAATAATAAACCAGAGAGTAGGAAAGTGACTTGCAGGTGGACTGTCACTGCACAAGATCAATCACTCCTCTAAATCCTCTTATCAAATCAAAATGACGTGGTATATTGCAGTACTCATCATTTTGGGGGGAAAGTGGAGATGATTGAGAATGAGAGGGGGAATGTTTTCAACCTGGAACAAGCCAAATGTTTGCTTGTAACTTACTTCTGGTCAATTTTCTCTCCCTTGTTCTTTTCCCCTTCCTGATATCATCACTGCCTTTTGGCCTATTGTTACTCGGTAGATTGTGTAACTTTTCTTCTTAATGTAGTCACGTGCTGAATGCCTGAATGATCCATGAAAGTTGGTTGAATTTTAGATTCAGTGACAGACAAATTGCTAACTGCCTAACTGGGATTGAATGAATTTCTTAATCTGGATCTGGTCCCTGTGCTGGTCCCCCATGGCATCCAGAATGCAACCATCATCTACTGCCCAATTGGGCAGCTTTGGTGGTGCTGACATTGTTGTGTTGTTTAACTTGATTATGGTGTAATACTTTCATACGCAGATTCCTTTTAGGGAGAGGACATGAAAGAAAGGTGGTTCATTACTATATTAGAATGACAAACATCATCATTACATATGCTGGGTGTAAAAGAAGAGGCTTGTCTCTTCCAATTTTTTTTTTTCTTTTTACATTTTCCAATTCCATGACATATTATCTTTATCTGAACGGTTAATCTATTATTGCCTATTGGGGCCAAAGGTTTGCTCAATCACCATGAATCATACTATTTATTATCATAGGATTGAGCAAAGAGGGTGTCCATGAAATTTGAAAAATGAGATGATAAAGGTGGAAACACCCTGTAACACCTTTTGTCGTCAAAGTAGATAACATTTATTGCGTTTTGAGTGTAGATCTTGTGATCGTAAAAACATTCGAAGACACATTATAGTATAGAAGTGATGATTTGTTTATCAAAACTTTTTGAGAGGACCTAAGAGTTACTACTATGAAAAACAAGTTGGTAGATTCTCATTTGGTCGGCTTGGGATATGAGGTATACGAAGGTACTTCAACATATATTGACTTTTCCATCACGATTCAACTGATACAATTTTGTTTAACTTTCCAACTAGATTTTTGAGTATATATGAGGTACAATTTCTAGTTTTCCTATTTGAGTTTTGTTTACGTCAAGGCGGGTTACTTGCCTCCTCTTTCTTGGCAAGTTCGTCTCCCTCTCACATATGTTGGTGTGATTTGATCCATTGGCAGAATGAATATTTTCTTTACTTTGCAAAGTCAAATATCATATGTATGAGTACTCCAGTTATTGTAACTCATTTTTTCTCCATCTTTTTAGCTTTTGTATAATATTACGAGAGGTACTACCACTCATGATTTGTTAATTAAGATATAGTGCTACACTCCTTAATTTTTTAATATGTTAAGAAAAATGTATACAGTATACTTCCTTGATTTTCAGAATAAATGGATCACTTTCATTGTCAAAAAGTAAACATACACATATTAGACTATTTCCCAATCCAAATTCAGACCTTATACAGAGCCCTGAAGCCATGAACATCATCCCGGCTCAGCTTCTTCGTCACACCGTCGCCCACCGCCGGGTACATAATCGCCGTCGGCACCGAGCTGTGCATCAGCCCGAGAATGTGCCCTATCTCATGCAAAGCCACCGTCTCGACGTCAAAAGCCTTCTGGACCGAGCCCACGGCCCAAGTCTCCTCCGAATCGAAGTGCAGGAGCCCAGACTTCGGCGGGCTTGAGTGGGCCAGCGAACCGCCCGGGCCATCGAACGAGCCCGTGTCCCCGTGGTACCCGCTGAAGAACCCGATTTTGATATCCGCCGATTCCGCGTGATCATCCTCCGTCCCCACGAACGCGAACCGCCCCCGGGAGTGCGATGCCCAATTCTTAAACGCACGCGCCACCGGATCCCTCGCCATCTCCGGCGTCCCCGGGAGGAACCCGTACGTCAGGTTCCGCTTCCCCTCCGGCCACGTCGGGTTCCCGGGGAAGAAATTGTACCGCGCGGTGGTTCGGAAGCGGCTGTGGTGGTGGTGAGTAACTTTCGCCGGCGCCGCCATCCAGTTGGTGCCGTTGAGCACGTCGGGGACGCCGCAGCGCGGGGTTCTCATCATGGCCGCCGTCGGCGCGTCGAGCCGGCCGGTGGGGTCCAGCTTGAAGTTGGATTGGTAGGTCTTGAGCGCGGACTCGAGGAGTACGTCGAAGTAGTGGTCGTCGTCGATGTCGTCGGCGGAGAGGTAGCCGTAGCGGCGGAGGTAGGTTTTGACGCCGGCGATGGCCGGGTGGCGGTCGCCGATTTTGGGGGCTTCGGTGAAGTGGTCGAGGAAAGAGGTGGCCGTGGAGTGGGCGTTTGATGAGGAGAAGAGGGTTTGAAGGAGGAGGAGAAGGGGAAGAAGGAGAAGAAAGAAGGAAGTGGACGCCATGGATGGAGATTATCGGGATTGAGCTAGTGAAGGAAGGAAGAAGAGAGGTTTGAAGGAAATTTAATATAAAATTGGTGTGCGCATATATAATATAGATAATATTGTCTAGAATGATAGGTGGGAATTGATTGGGCGGGAAGGGCTACGGAGGAGGATGATTTTGGGGATTTGATTTGATGAGGTGGCCGGCCGCCGGCCATTCTCTTCTTTGTCTTGTTGGAAAGTTGCCGGAGCGGAGAATGTATGTTGATGAGCTTTTGTACAAGAAACAAAATCTTAAGGGTCGTTTGGATGGATCAATTGTAAAACGAGACAATTTGACCAATTGTTTCATTTTACAAAAAGAGTCATTTAAAACGAGTCAATTCAGATTACCTGCCCCCACCCCAGACAATTGTAATTGGCTCAAAATGAGTCAATTCAGAATTCCCCAGCCCAAATTGCTTCATCCAAATTTTCTGCTGCCAAACGGATCAATCTAGCACAATTGACTCAAAACGAGACAATTGTGTCAGATTGATCCATTAGAATTCCTCATCCAAACGACCCCTTACTATTTGTAGCTAAGATGATATATTTGCTACTCCGGCGCCACACCGTCCAATCTCCATATACAAGATCCTTTTGGGCAGCTCATTAGTTTACTAGCTAATAGTTTGCGTATGGTGAAAATTTTGGCAAAACGATTATTCAACCTTCAAGAATGGTTTGTGTATGAGTGAAAAAGATATTTACGTTGTAACGAGATACTCTTGTAATTTAAAAAATGAATTATCCAACCCCAATAATAATCATATAAAATCATTCAAATGATAAAATATTGGATATAATTTGACTTTAGAAGCATAAAATTCCTTGGATCTGCCACGGAAAATCACTATAAAGGGTGATAAGTAACATCAACCTTTTCTCTCCACTTGTGTACGTATATACGTACCCATTTATTTATTTGAGTGTATGCCAGCCTACGTACGTGTACGTACCGGCCTCAACGTATAAATACAGTACTGTTGGATCGTAATTCGTAAGATCGATCATTAATTACGTAGCTTACCCACCAAAGTAAGCATGCATGGCATGGATCAAACGTTATACAAAGCCCTGATCCCTTGAATATCATCCGCATTCAAACCCTTCACAGCTCCAACACGAATAATGGAGAACATAATCGCCTCCTCGACGTCGCTATGGTCGAGCCCCAAGAGATGGCCGATCTCATGCAGCGCCACCGTCTCCCAGTCCATCGCCCGGGGGTTCCTGATCCCCCAACTCTCGTCCGCATCGTAGTGAAACCTCCCGTCCTCCGGCGCAAACGCGTGAGCCACCGACCTACCCACGCCGTCGAAAGGAAACCCGTCCCCGTGTTCCCCGCTGTAGAACCCCACCCTGATGTCCACGGTGTCGTCTCCGGGGTCCCCACCGACCCTCCGGAACTCGAACTGCGTGTTCTCGGCCCACGTCTGGAAAGCACGCGCCACCGGCGCCACCGCTTCCTCCGGTGTCCCGGGGAGGATCTGGTAGGAGAGCCTCGTCTTCGAAGCTCTCCACCTGGGGTTCCCCCGGAAGAACGAGTAGTGAGACACGGCGTGCAGCCGGCCAGTACTACCGTGACGTCGTCGGGTTTGCATGTAGTTGGTGCCGTTGACGATGTCAGCCACGCCGCAGCGTGGGGTCATCATGGAGGCGACTGTGGCGGAGTCCATGGCGCCGGTGACGTTGAGGTGGTAGTTGGCCTGGTAAGTCTTGAGGGCGTTCTCGAGATGGTCGTCGAAGTAGTCGTTGGAAGAAGGGGAGGTTTGGTTGGTGTAGTCGAGGTATCCGAACTTGTGGAGGTAGGCTTTGAGCTTGGGGATGTCTTTGAGCTTGTCTCCCTTGTGGCAGCCTTTGAGGTGCTGGAGAAAGGCGACTCGAGATGACGGTGATGATGTTGAGTTGTGTAGGACGTGAGCGTGGGATAGTAGAGGGAGGAGGAGGAGGCAAGCTATTAGGGTTAGTGCAAATGAGGGTGTTTTGGGTTCCATACTGGAAGCTATGGCTGCGTTAGGGTTTTACGTTTGGAAGGGTGATGTATGTTTTTTGCGGTTTGATTTTCAAGTGATGCTGAACTTTTTGGCGAATGGTGCATTTGTAGTCCTCCATGGCTCCATTGATTGGAGAACAACAAGAATTTGATGACCTTCTTCTCTTCTTCCACATTTGTCTACAGACGACTTGGCTGAAAACTAGCAAGGACGGATAGCTCAGGTTTGGCGTCCTTCACGGGCGGAACTCGGAGGAAGACTTGGTGGACTTATGGAGGGTGGTGCAAATTACGAGATCAAACTATAAGAAAAGTTGAGGGATGACAATTGTCACTTCGAGGATTCACACTTGCTATACTTTTCGCTACTATAACAACTTTGAATTTTAATTAAATTCATATTCTCGTATGTATCAAGATTTAATTGAAGGATAAATCTATAATGTGAAAGAGTAAAGAATACACATATATACATGGTTTATTAACATAATATGTGGTAGCTACATCCATGAATAGGGGAGATCAAATTCACACTTTCACTATATTTAATTGCAGTCGATGACAAATAATCCGACTTAAAATTATAGCAACATTTTGGATATCAAATAAAAGTTATGTTCATAATAATAATAATTTTCTCTTTATCATCTCTATTAATATGTTACAATTGCGGATACACGAACAATTACACAAATGAAATATTATAACGATAAATCGCAAAAGGAAATACTCATATATACGAATTTTCAATATGGGGAGAGAAAGAAGAAAATTCCTAGCTAGAAAACGGTCTTTTACATTTATCAAAGAATGGTCGTCCCATATATATATATGGTACGGTCTACTGCAACTAGGCGATGCGTAAGTGTGTGGCTTGCATGCATGAGAGTGTATAACACGTCCAAACTAAGTCCGCACATGCAATTAAACGCAAGGACAAATTATGAAACTAAAGATTCCTCTGTGGAAAACTATGGCCGGCTAGACCCCGGCGAGTTACTACATCAAGTCAATGTCCCAATTCGCCGCACCTACGGATGAAGGGAGGCCAGTATCAAAACTAGCTAGGGCATCCCGATCGCCGGAGATCGTGGATGCCGGCCGCCTTATAGCCATAAGCCTTTCATGGCTGTGGTCTATAAATTCTCCTTCTTCTTGTTCGAAATTAAACACAAATCAAAATCATGAACAAGGCTAAGGCGATTCACCAAGCAGCAGCCACTATAATATTGTCGGTGGTGGCCATCTCCTTAATTACTCATCACCATGGCGGCAGCATTCGAAGTATCTGGTCATATTTGTGACGACGACCTGTTTACGTGCGACCAAGGACGTTGCTGTAGTCAGTACGGATATTGTCAAAGCTGTCCCACAGACGACCATCCTGATAATTATTTTCGCAACAATAACGTAACGAAGCCGGTTGCAGCTGCCGGAGCTCATCATGGAAAATATGCACGGTTACGAATTTTACCCTACCCGATTAGGTAGGATTCGGACGGATATCCACGGTTATGAATTTTTTTGCTGTAAAAAATAATAATATGAATAATCAAAATATTTTGTTTTAAAAAATTATTATTTTTCTGATATTCTAACAACACAAAATATTTTTTTCAAATTAAGTTCAATATAATATTTTTAATAACTTAAGAGCATTAAAAAATTTATAATTTTGCGGACAAAATATTCATTTTTTTTATCATAAAGTATCATTAATATTGAATAATTTAATTAATCTAATTTAAAATTAAGGAACTAACAAACCAAAATATGGAATTTGAAGGGAAGAGATAGTGTACAAAATCCATTACTATAAATCCACTGCAAACCCCATCATCCACCCTTTATAACTATTTTTCTTAATCAGATCCTATAATAGTCATTTTTTTTTCAAAACTTATAATATTTTGCATAGGAATAAAGCATTTATTATGATCTACACAATAACATTCATTTTGTTGTATTTTCAGAAGAAAAAAATTATCTCGTCAAAATACTTCTTGATTATAGTTTAGGATTTTGCTACGGTGACATGCATGTCACCGTGACATGGACTTTTCGGTCGACCTAATCTTAAAGGCGGTCGACCGAATTGACTAATTTGGGCAGCACGAGAAAGCATTGCAGCCGACCTAATCCTAAAGGCGGTCGACTTCAATTCATAGCATAATTGATGAGTCCTTGTTATCATTATTTATGACTAGTTATGATGGTTTAAAGCGTAATTTAGACGAGCAAAAGAACCACACAAATCGGCATACATAAGCAAAAAAAGACACGGGGCATAGGTTGACTTTCTTGTATTCGGTCGACCTCGTACCGGATTAGGTCGACCTCGACACCAACACTTGATCTTCATTTTACGTCAAACGATTGGATAAATTGATAGAACACTTATCGTCTATCTAGTTGACCTCTTTCTTTATCTGGTCGACCATGTTGTTAATGACTGCCATCAAGTGGTCGACCTATATACCTTTACGGTCGACCATGTTGTTTCTGACGCCAACGAAATGGCCGACCGAGGTTTATTCTGGTCAACCAAAAATAACAACTTAAACTAAGAACGGTCGACCAGGTGGTCTTTGAGGTCGACCGCAATGCTTTCTTGTGCTACCCAAATTAGTCAATTCGGTCGACCGCCTTCAGGATTAGGTCGACCGAAAAGTCCATGTCACGGTGACATGCATGTCACGGTGACATACCCTATAGTTTATTATTATTATCAGATTTATCATATCATCATGACATGATAGTAATAAGATGATCCCAAGTGATACACGATATCTTGTGTAGATGAGTAGTAGACTGCAATTCGAGTAGCTCATGAAAATAAGAAAAGAATAATATAGGCTTTGTGTCGACCACTAGTTCCGGTATATGCATGACGTCAGGAAAATTGGGTTAGATCGTCTTCTTTGGTTATTGTTTTTTCATATCATGTCTTCTAACATGGTATCAAAATCTGCAAATATGAATAACTCTGATCATATATATTCCGACACAATTGAACTTGATCAAGAACTTTGTGTTGTAGAAGTTTTGATTTTGAATCTCGTATTGAAGGTCCCCACATTGACTCTCGAGTACTTCCGCATGCAAGAGTTGGACAAATTCCAATACGACTAGTAGCTAGGACTCGAGATTGATCAGGTTTTACTTAAATACATCCAGCTAGCAATCCTCCGCTCCAAACCCTAAACATAAATACATCTATCCATATGATGATCTCATTCCTCAATTACCTTACATACAAAAGCTAGCTAACTAGCTAGGTATAGCAATTATGGTTTGTCAAATCATACCGGTCTAAAAGTCGGTGGCATGAAACTTTTGGTACTATAATGTAATTTAACAGATGGCATACATATATAATACGGTTGTTAAAATCAGATGGAGAGTTATTATTATGACGACCAGAAGAAGAATAGGGCAACTCACCAAGCAGCTGCTGCCGCCATTGTAATAGTACTGTCGGTGATGATGGCCATCTTCACAATGGCGGCAGCACAGAACAGCGGCGGAGCCAGGAAATTGAACAAGGGGTGTCTTTATCATATCATAAAAAATTACCTATACAATAGAAAAGTCAACTTTAAATTAAACAAAAAGTCAACAACGCAATACTCTAAATTCACACAATTACATCAAAATAGTTTCACGTACACCGGTTACAACGTCAAACAAATAAGTTCAGTACATACTTCCATTCATCAAATATTACAAATTAGAACTCAGAAGTACCTTGGAATTGATTTTGTGAAACAAACAAGTGAACTTCAATTGGTACTTCTTCACTTTCAACTTTGTTTAAACAAATGACAAGAAATTTCTCTGTTGTAGAGCTACAAAAAAAAAAGCGAGTTTAAACAAAAGACAACAATTTATTACTATAAATAAAGACGAAAGTGCATTACATAACAAAACTCACTCGATCGAAATGATAAGAAATTCTTCCTGCAACTGAATGGTCATTAGTTGGAATTTGTATATACCCTACTCGAAAAAAAATTCTCCAAACCCAAGGGGGTGCAAAAGCACCCTCCTCTCCAAGTGGCTCCGCCACTGCACAGGAAGGCTCTGATCATAAGTGCGACGGTACGTGGCAGTGCGACAGTCCATGGCGTTGCTGTAGTAGTTTCGGATATTGTGGAAGCGTGTACGAGGTTTATTAATTGTTGTTACCAGCCGAGCAACTGTCGCTTTTCTGCCGCCGACGCTCATCTTCGTAATCATTCTCGCAATAATAATAATAATAATAATAATAATAATAATAATAATAATAATAATAATAGTGTCACAAATCACGTCGTCGCTGGAAACCTTACAAAGCTGCAGGCGGTAGCAGCCCCCGGTGATCATCATGACAACTATGCCAAGGATGTTGCTGCCGGCCGGAACTAGCTGATTAGCTATATATATACGGGTAATTATCACAAAAGATCACAAACCTTTGCACTTTGTACAAAACAGTCACAAACCTTTAATTTGTAAAAAAAATGGTCACAAACCTTGGAACAAATATCAAAAAGGTAATTCCGTCACCTTCCATCCAAAAAAACCGTTAGTTCTGTATAGTTAGTATGTCACCTCACAAAAAATATTAATACAAAATTCAATAACTAACTCATTTGACTCGGATCAAACCAAACCCAAAATTATTAAAAAGAGAGTCGAACCGTTCACTTCCCCTGCTCAACAAGCACATTGTCGTCTACGGGCTCCCTTGCTCGGCGCTCGATTCACAGTCGTCTCCCAACTCCCCTCCGAACTGTACCCATTCCGACCTCCCTTGCTCAATACTTGAATCGCCACCGTCTTCCAACACACTCCCTTCTTTATGAAGTGGCAGGTCTCCCACCCTCACAGTTGAGACTTGACGCATTGTCCCATTCAGTTTATCACTTTTAAATTCCCATTCTTCCTCTCTCTATGCATGTCTCCACTTCGTGACCTCTCGCTCCTTTGTTCTTCCTTTTCCTTTTTTTCCCCCAGAAAACACAAGGAATTACCTTTCTTTCTCACGCATTGGAAGAGGAAAGTCGAGTTATGGATCGCCTGTGTGGTGGGAGAAAGCTGTTAACCCAATCTGTCTCTCATCTGTCCCCAAAATTGTCGATCGGTGGCAGATCTGTGAGCGTCGTCTTTTAGATTTTGCGATTTGTGGCCGCCAAATGTTTTTGGTAGTCCGCGCAGGGGGATTGGGGGTAGTCGGGGCAACGGCGGGGAAGGGGCGTCAGTGCGGGCGGCGCTCGCCATTGAGACAACTCCTTGAGAAAATCGGGATCGGAGGTGGGGGGCGGTGAAGGGGATTGACGTCCTTCTGGTTTGATTTTTATGACAGGTGCGGGATCGACTTCCTTCTCTCTGCCGAGGCTACGACGATGTTGGACTGACACGGGTGAATGGCTACCTTGCTGGACGGAGATGGCGGAGAGTGGAAGGGGCGCAGAGGAAAAGTGAATGTTCGATTCTCTTTTTATTAATTCCGGGTTTGGTTTGATCCGAGTCAAAAGAGTTAGTTATTGAATTTTGTATTAATACTTTAAATGACGTGGCATGCTGATTGTACAGAACTAACGGTTTTTTTGGATGGAACGTGACGGAATTACCTTTTTTGTATTTGCTCCAAGGTTTGTGACCGTTTTTTTACAAATCAAAGGTTTGTGACCGTTTTGTACAAAGTGCAAAAATTCGTGACCTTTTGTGATAATTACCAATATATATACATATAATACCAATGGAAACCAAGAGAATGCTTCAATCATATGTGCAAGAATTGATGATGATGATGATGATGATATAGTACAATCTATAATAATAATAATAATAATAATAATAATAATAATAATAATGCTATCAGCTTGTTCGTTGCTTATATATATATATATATATATATATATGCATTTTCTATTTCCGCATTAACAAAACAATTAATGAAAATAAAAAAGATGGTCATAATTATTAATTAATACACATTTATTTTTATATTTTTGGTAAACACATGACGCATAAATGGTGTCCTTGCCTGCACCTTATATTAATCGGGATTGAGCAATATTGTTCCATAGAGTAATACATGATCCAAAATCTAAGTTTTGGATCGAAAGGATTAAACAAAGAGAAGGCGGAGTTTACATGATTACCTTTATTAAGAAATCAGCGGGTTTTTTTTTTTGCATTCCCGGTAAATATGGAAGATTTTATAACCTCCCAGTATTGTTGAAGAAGGTGACGGAATTGGTGAACCGGACTGTAGTAGTGATGCTCAATCACCTGTTTAATTAGTTGTATGTAAGTTCAAAATGACGAGATAAACTAATTAACGGCCTAAGATTGAATATGAGATTTGGTTTTCTCAATTAGTTGATTTAGAGATTTTAAACACTAGAAATTGATTAGAGAAATTAACGTATTAAGAGCCTTGGTTTGCCAGGGTAACATTTGATACTTGGAGAAATTTTGATGTTGTGCAATTAAACACTCTAATGGTTGGAGCTTATTTGAGTGTTTTTATATATTATTTATATTAGGGTATATTCTGTCCGATATATATAAAATTGATCACATTCCTTCGAATACCTTACGTACATCAATTAGCCAAGCTAGATAGCAATCATGGTTTGTCAAATTGTACCTTATAGATGTGGAGTACTTATCACATACTTCACCCTGAGAGTAGTCAGAAGAAAAGACAACTTCTTTTCTCATGGATAAGAATTTTTCCCGTTGAACTTCTCCAATAATTTCCATAGTCGGAATTGTAAGTTTCTTGTAAGGAGTAGTTTGAGCCTTTGATATGAATTATTATTATTATTATTGTTAGGTGTATATGAGAAAATGGTGTATGATTGATAGCCCAAAATCATAAATCTTATATCGGTAATTATAAGAGGTTCAAGTATAAATCTTGTATATGCTCATTCTTTTACTATATTAATTTAAGTGCAAACAAATTATGAATTAATACAAAAGCAATCGACATTATGCTTAATCAATTCATAGTTTCATATGTCATGCTGACAAATGATATGATATCCAGTAAATACATCCAAAAAGCTATAGAAAATCACTGCTAAATAGAGTGATAATAAGTAACATCATCCTTTTCCTCTTGATTTTTGCACGTATATATAGACACATCTTCTACGTACAAAACCATTTATTTATAGGAGTATATCCCAGACCCAGCGTATTACCCTCAACGTATATTTGTATAACTATATTATTCGATCGTAATAAGATCGGTTACTACATTTAATTAGCTACCCGCTATATAAAACCCTAATCCCTTCAATGTCATCCCCATGCAAACCCTTAACCTGACCAACGCCGATACCGGAGAACATAACCGCCTCCCGGACGTCGCTGTGGCCGAGCCCCAAGAGATGGCCGATCTCATGCAACGCCACCGTCTCCAAGTCAAACGCCCCAGGGTTCCTGATCCCCCACCTCTCGTCCCCGTCGTAGTGAAACCTCCCGTTCTCCGGCGCAAACGCGTGAGCCAACACGCCACCTTCTCCGTCGAAATCCGCCCCGTCCCCGTGGGCCCTACGGTGGAACCCCACCGTGATGTCCACGGTGCTCCCGGGGTCCCCTCCGGTCCTCTGGAACTCAAATCGCGTGTTCTCGGCCCAGGTCTGGAAAGCACGCGATATTGGACCCACCGCTGCATCTGGGGTCCCCGGGAGGATGAAGTAGGAGAGCCTCGTCTTCGAGGCTCTCCACCTGGGTCTCCCTTCAAAGAAAGAGAAGTGAGCCACCGCGTGCAGCCTGTGGCTGTGACCGCGGCGTCGGTTCTGCATGTAGTTGGTCCCGTTGATGATGTCAGCCACGCCACAGCGCGGGGACATCATCGAGGCCACGGTGGCGGAGTCGAGAGCCCCCGTGGCGTTGAGGTGGTAGTTGGCCTGGTAAGTCTTGAGGGCTTTCTCGAGGCGGTGGTCGAAGTAGCGGTCGGTGGAGTGGTTGGAAGGGGAGGTTTGGTTGGTGTAGTCGAGGTATCCGAACTTGTGGAGGTAGGATTTGAGCTTGGGGATGTCTTTGAGCTTGTCGCCCCTGTGGCAGCCTTTGAGGTGCTGGAGGAAGGCAAATGGAGATGGAGATGGTGGTGATGTTGAGTTGTGATGGCCGTGAGCGTGGGAAAGTAGTGGGAGAAGGAGGAGGCAAAGGGCTAGTGCGAATGAGGCTGATGATTTGGGCTCCATGGCTTGGCTAGCAAGTAAGTATTTGGGGTTTGATTTTGAAGTGATGCTAAACTGTTTGATGTATGGTGCATTTATAGTACTCGTCGGGAAGCTAGCAAGAACAATTTGATACCTACCTTGAATCTCTTCTTCCCCACTTGTGAGACGACTTGACTTAAAACGTAATCGAGAGTTAACTAAAAGAATAATTTGATACCCATACCTTCTCTTCTCGAAGAATAACAATGCCCAAGAGCCAAGATTTAAGATGAATATTTCAAGTTCAGCGTGTTGAATGGGCAGGGGGAGATGGAGACCTCTGTCGGCTTAAGGAGGGTAGCCAAAAATGACGAGATCAATATAATTAAGAGTAATTTATACGTATATAATTTGTTTTCTAATTTTTTTTTTCTGAATTTATTATATATTTTACATATACTTTTATAATAAATGTACATTTATTATAACTTACATACTTTTTCTTACATTTTGATATACTTCTACTTACATTTATTATAAATTAACTGTATAGTGGATGGATATATAATATTGGTGAGAGCATATAACAATTAACAATACCATGTCAAAAAAAGTCTACACATGCAAGAACAAATGAATATGGACCAATTCCGCGTCTTCTACGTACCTCTCCCGCCTGTGGAAATTTAGCTTAGGTAGACCCTGAGACTCGAGCACTGCAGGTCTTCGGGTTGTCATTTTTGCTTTCCTAATTAGTCCTAAATAGCTACATAATTAAGAGATTAACTATTTCAATTGCGAGGGAACTTAGCTCTCTTCGAGGTAAATTCCCGTCAGCCTGGTTGGCTCTTTACAACGAGAGGTGATTCAAGGCTTTCGTGATAGGATCAATATTCGTTTGAATAAATAAATTTAGTAGTGAAATTGTGTTTCGATCACATTGAATGAAGAAGTTTAATTGATTCCATGCTTTGTGTTTGAGTGTAGGTATCAAAATGTAATTTGTGACGTAAGTATTTGGATAGATTCTTGTATTTTATAGATTAGGTAGCAAATAATAATTTGATTAGTTAGGTATACAAACGGGAAATATTATAGTGTTCTGCTTGCCATATTTCTTCTTCTAATCCAAATATCTTTTTTGCCAAAACCTATGAAGTACTCTAATCCGAAATTTAGCATGGTATCAAAGTCTCCATAAGAGCTCGTTTATTCTAATTGGACTTTTGTTTTAGTTTATAATTATATAATTTATCTTTTTAACCTATTAACAACAAATGATTTGTAATGTTATGAATAACATGTTCTTTCGTAATTACAGTATCCTAGATATGATTCACAGAGATTAACGACATTTTTTGTTTTTTGTTTTTTCAAACTCAAACTACAACAAGTGAATTTATAATATTTTTCCAAGATATTAGCCACTACAAAAAAAAAAGAGTTTTGCCGAGGGTTGTGTACCATGGGTGCATTAAACCCCTGCTAGTTTTTTCGGAACTTACTGTCTCAAGGGTTTGTTTCAGGGGTTCATAAACCCCTGCTACTAATTTAACTAATATCTCCACAAATCGGGAAACTCTCCACGGCGACAACAAACTACCCGTCACCTCTCTATCGAACAAAAGCCCCAATTTTCAGCTCCTCCGCCAAATGAAAACAAAAATTTCTCTCTCTCGCTCACTCCCGTGGAATCAGTGGCGATTCTCCGACCTCTCTCTCTCTCTCGAGATTCGGTGACGCTCGCTCACTCTCGTGGAATCAGTGGCAATTCTCCCACCGCTCTCTCTCGATCTGGCGAAAGGCGGTGGAAATTCTCTGATTCTTCGACTCTATGATACGGTTCTTTCTCACTCTCTCGCACTGTCTGTCTCTGTCTCTCGCTCTCTGTCTCTCTCTGTCTCGAGCCCGCGTGAGCTCTCTCTATGATGATTGATAAATGTTGGTTTCTTCGTTTGCTACTTTGTCTCCATCGCTAGGAAATAGGATCGATGAAGTTGGCAAGACGGATGTTAGATTTAGCAGCTTGAATTTGAATTCCAAGTTCTTTTCTCGTTCTTTTGATGTTTTCCTTTTTAGATTCGCTTTATTATCTAGTTCTTCGTTCAATTGTTGTTATGCTTTTGGCTCCTTCCTAATTACTTGCTACGGATCTAGTGGTGTTAGGAGAAAATGGAGGAATTCTCCTTAATTCGTTTCTAAATTTGTATTGTTGTTGTTGGAAAGGTATGAGAGTGCTGATACTTTGTGTGACTAATGAATTGGAGTCATCAATTGATAGTGGTCTCAAATTCTTCCTAGCGGTATTGAGTTTGAAATGTTGAAGTTGTTATCTGGGGAAGAGTAATTATCATTGTCTTCTGGTTTCGTTTTATTCTTCATAACACAGCCTTTTGTCTTTTATATTCATGCAGGGGTGATAGATTGACGCTTAATATCAAGTATATATGGATGAATTTTGTTGATTAGCTGTGGCTGAGAACTACTCAAATTCGGTGCTTGACTAGAACATAACAAATACTCCAGCATTTCCCTTTTGAACCTTGGTAAGTGTTTCAGCTCTTGTATTGGGGTGATTAATTGGTTTATGATTGTCCGTTTTCTATTGGTTCTTAAGAGGTCATGATCAAGTTTCAGATTAAAGTTGTAAATTTAATAATTTATAAATACTTATAAGTACTTTGGTGTTGAATGGAACTGGTTTCTACAAATGGTTAAGATATGATACTTATAAATACTTAAAGTATATGCATAGCTAATAGCTTGCTGCTGATTGCATCATTTGTGGGTAGACTTGCAAATTGCAATGGATAATGATGTTAGTTGCAAGCATGATGAGCAGATGGTTTATATTGGCCAACGTTATAAGTCAGATGAGCTTTTGGTTTCTAGTCATCATTCATCAGCATTTCACTTATGTTTGTTGAACCCTAAACGGTTAAGTACGGTATTCAGATTCTGCATGTTGTATCGCTAATCGTTATGCAGTCTATGCTACTTGTTTGACATTTTTGAACCTTGATAATTAATCTCTTTTGTAGATTATTGATCCTGCAGAGGCTATTCTTTTAATTTATCAGGTGCAAGACTTTGTGTTTGGCATCTGATTGTTTAAAATTATGTAAGTGGAACAGCTTTTTAGATGCTGTAACACCAAAGGCTATTTTCCAGCTCTTGAATCAGGTAATTCTTTTGACATGTGATTTATCAGATGCTGTAATCATTAGTGAAACCTGTAATGTATCTCTCAATGGGCTTGATTAGTTAATCATTGGGTAAACACAATCTCTCAAGTAGTATAGCATATTGGGATTATGAATTTGTATTCACATAGGTGGTTAGCTTCTCTGTAATCCTCTTGGTGTTTTTCTGCATAATTGTCGTTTCAACTAGTTGAACATTGTGCCATTATTGTAGTTTTACATTTCTGATATTTGTTAATTCGATTATGCAATATTGGTATATATGATTTACCCTTCTTGGTGGATACAGTGACATAATTTACTTTTCATCAAACTATTGAAGCTCTTTCAGTTGTTCCATAACCCGAGCTGGCATTGAGGTTTTTCAGTCTATTATTACTTCTTTGATAAATGGTGGAAAATTTATAGATGAACGCGTTGTTCACTCCATTCTTCCTGGTTTCTTATTTATGTAAATTTTTCGTTATAACCAGGCAGCTAATGACTGTGAGCTCGAGCCAATTGCGGTAATCAATTACTCTCTCGATCAGTCCCTTCAACTTAATTCTCTGAATCAACAATTCATTGAGATTGGTTCCTTAGTCCCCTTACCGCTGAAGATTTTTTTTCTCTTGCAAATCAGGATTCGAAGGCTCAGGTGACTGCTATACATCTAATTGATGGAACTCCCCAGAGGATGCTAGTATTCGGAATTGAGAACAGGGATACATTAACGCACCAGGCCTCTGGAGTAAGAACCCTCAACTCTTTCCTTCTCAGTAACTTGTTTTATTATACTAACAAACCCCGTGAATAACTTGGCTCTTCTTTCTTTTTGCATGTATTCTGCAAAGCTTTTGAAGAAGCCTGACCAATGTTGAGCAGTTTATGCCTGCTCCCACCTCTTTTGGGTCGATGACCAGGCCTGGAATCAAGGATGGAGAGAGGTCCTTTTCAGAATCTGTATTTCATAGGACTTAATATTCAACTGAACATCTCTAACTCTGTTTGGCTTGTAATTTGTAATCTCAGAGTCATGTTGTGCCTAAAGCGGGACTTGAGGATTGCAAATGCAGCCTTGACCCCAGCTTTGGAGTTGACATCGTCGTTGGTCAGGCTAATCTTTCCTGTGTTGCTGCAGGTACCTCTACTTTTTCGAGAAGGGCAATCCGCAGATCACAAGCAATATGATCCAGGATCTGGTTGAACTAATAACCGAAGAGATGCAAAGTGACTCTGTTACTGCAGATCCAGCTTCCGATGCTTTCTTCGCCAGCACACTCCAGTACATCCGGTCCCAGAAACAGAAAGGTGTTAGTATAGGTGAGAAATTCGAACCAATTCTTGTCTGATTTCTCACATAGAAAAAGGGTATTCGTTTGGTCTCATTTTCTTAAATTGGGTTATTGAAATGTGTATTGTAGCCTGAGTGCAACATCATTCTCAAAGTTTGTATTACAAATTATTTACATAGACGATTCTTGGTGCAACTCCAGCAAGTGGAGATTTTGAGTACATTAAGAATGCTCTCAAGTATATGTTTTTGATGAGTAGTCTTCTTTTTATATTTCTTGGAACCAATTCAATTTCTAGTTGCAGTTTGATGTATCTCAGGGAAAGGAGGGTGTGATTATGAATTTCATAAAGAGCTCCAGGTATCAAGGTATCAGGTGAGGAAGCGCATAGAGCTTCTGTCCAGAACTTGTAAAAGAGGGAAGATATCTCATGGGTATTTTCTTTTGGCTTTGAAGAGTAGACCATTAGGTTCTTTCCTTTGGTTTTGAAGAGTAGATCACTAGGTTCTTTTACTGCTACCATGTTTCTTTGGATGATTCTTGGATATTTATGGTAATTAACATTTAGCTATGTAAATAATATTATATATTGAATCATGAATCATGGTATGTATGATGTAATATATATACAAAAGTTTGCCAGCAACAAGTTTGGTTGTGAGTTTTCCTATAGTAACCAGAGTATTTGTAACCAACTTATAGAATCCTGTGTTAGGGTCTTCTTAGTGACCATACTGAGTTGGTTGCAAATCAATTAGTCACGAATAAAGCAAGGGTTTTAACCCTTTCTAGTGTTTGCAACAATTTTGAATTCTTACAGGTCTCTCTTTAGTGACCATAATAAGCTCGTTGCAAAATTAATTAGTCACGAATTAAGCAAGGGTTTGAACCCTTGCTAGTTTTAGCAACAAATTTTCCAAGGGTTCAAACCCATGATACAGACATATCTCTATTGGATTTTACATTTCAGTGTAGCAAGGGTTGTAACCCTTGGTATATATAGCAGGAGTTAAAACCCCTGCTACAACCCTTAGAGGGGACTTCCACCGTGGGTTGCTAAAAACCCTTGCTACGTGTAGCAGGGGCAGCATAGGTGAGGGTTCGTCCATGGATTGGGAAAACCCCTGCTACAACTTGTAGCAGGGGTTATAACCCTTGCTATAGGTAAAAAAACCCTTGCCATAGCCCTGTTTTTTTGTAGTGAGCGTTTGGGTCCACCAACTAGGCGATGCGTAAGTGTATGTCGCATGCATAATATAATAGTGGTGGAAGTGCATAACACGTCCAAACACATGCAAATGCAAGAACAAACTTTCTCCAGCCGCCTGTGGAAAACTATGACTAGCTAGGCCCGGCGAGTAAACTAAAAGACGAAAATAGAAAAACTAGCTTGGACTTAACGATGGATAGTTCAGGTTCAGCCGGCGGCTTATAGAGGGTAGCCAAAATTGACAACATCAATATAAGAAGAGTTTTACTAATTAGCAATGATTCAGTTCAAACCGGACCGAACCAAACCTTAAGAAACGTTGTCCAAAAGTTAAAAAAAAAATAATAGGACCAAAGATCAGACCGACATTGCATTTGGTCTAATGTCGTCTTGTCCAAATATCAATCTTGCTTGTTTTCCTTCAAAATTGATAAAATTCATAGGACGATGAACCATATCACATTATATATATTTGGTCGGTTTGATCTGTCTCGATGTCCGTTTGGTCTGGTGCGGTCTGCTTTGAAACAAACGGTTGCATATCCTACCATATTGGTTTGGCTTTGGTTAAGTTTTGTTGGCCAAAAAAGAAAAGATGACCAAAATTTTTATCTGCTTTTTAGTCGGGTGAAAATTGTAGCTATAAAAGTTTATTTTGTCATTAAAAAAAATACATTCATCTATCTTTCAAGCATTTAATATTTATAAGATATATTTAATAATTATTAAAACTGTGATGATAAAATTAGTACCCCGAGCATATTAGGCTGCGACAACCGCACTCTTACAAAAAGATTTTTGTGTCAAGGAATATTGATTGGTCGATCAGCCAAATAACAAAAGAATACAGCACATGTTTGTGTTTGTTAGAGCTCAAATTCCACCTTATTAATTAAAAGAGAATTGTTAGCTAGGCTTCTTCAATAAACTTTTTCCCATTAATTAAAGGAGCCGAGTTTATCTTCTAAAAACTACTTGTGGGTGTCAAAGTTGTAATCTTTCTTCGTGCCTTTACGGTACCATTGCCGCATTAATGCAACGGGCCAAAATACAAGACGAACCAAAACTACGGTACCCTTATGATGTTTATTAACTCAAAAGAATCGATCACTACGCACAACGCCGGCAAAATCCGGCCGGCCGAATCCCCGGCCTAGCTAGCTAGAGTCCTATAAATTCTCCCATGCAACCTACTCTACTATATAAGGCCATACAACTCTCAGAAACCAAAACCACAAGAAGAAAAAAGGGACGAAAGAAAGAAAGATCAAGAGTTATATATAATAGTAGTGATATAATACAGATCGATCTATTCATCGCATGGAGCATCGTAAGAAGGTGGCGGCCGTTGCTGTTGTTGCAGCGGCGGTATTGCTGGCCGCGTCGGCGGTGGCAGATGCGTACTGCAACGGCGCCGGGCAGTGCGGGAAGTACGGTTGCTGTAGTAAGGGCGGAGTTTGTGGAGACGGCCTGGAGCAGTGTTGTCCCAACTGGTGCGACTTTGATTGCGACAGAGTCTCTCGCCCCGACTGTCCTCCCCCCGAGGCCTATCCCAACTTTTTTACCAATACCACGACTAATTATGTCGCCGCCGGAAACGTTACGGCCGCCGCCGGTTATAACTCAGCTGGCAAGGTTGTTGCCGCCGGGAACTAGCTAGCTAGCGGCGCTATATGGTGCATGCATGGCCAGCTGGTAGTTGATCACGAGGTAGGTAGCTAGCTGGAGTCCGAGAGTTGCATGGAATAAGACAAATAATGATGATGTGTATGGAATAAAATAATCGGCTAGCTGTTGAAGACGTACGTACGTAATTGGACTTCAGTTCATACTCTGTATACGAATTTCCATATTCTGTAATGGAAAAATGAAATGAAATAAAATAAAATCATAAAAATAAGGTCTACGTATGTTTCGAGATTGTATGTTGTCTGGTTACAATTGCATGCTGGTGTACAATTTCCATTTCCGGTATTGATTCCTTTGATTGAGGTAATCAATCTCATCATTCGTCGTAACTTAAGTTTGATTATTGACATCCTACTAAATGGGTATGTGGAGGAAGAGAGAGACCATTTTAAGATTTAACCCTAAATTTTTTAAGTTGAAAAGCATCGATTATTAAAACATATAAATTGCAATTGGAGGAATGATCATGGAGGAGAATGTTTGTAAAAGCAACGCGATCTAATTTTCTATATAGACAACACTTCCATGAAAATAAAAATAAAAACAGGGGATTTCACCTTAATTAGGTACTCCCTGGTTGGAAACCCGCCATACAAATTAAATGTTGTTAATATTAAAGCTATGAATCCCAAAAGTGGTTCAAACATTGAAATATCACTTGAAGTAAGGATTCGTTTGCTTCAAGGATTTGCACCATGGATTTGGTATAAAAAAACCAACTATCATGGATTTACACACAATCCGTTGTTTGTTTTGTAAAAAATTGTTTAGATAAATCTGTGGGTCCCACAGATTTGGGTTTTTTTTTGCTCCAAATCCATGGGCCCCACGGTTTTACAAATCTCATTTCATACCCTGGGATTTGGAGACAAACTAAAAAACCATGCTCTCAAATTACTACTCTATCTCCATTATTTTTCATTATTCCTGGAAAATTGGCGTTCGCCACCGAAGAAGGGCAGGTGCTTCCGTCGGCTGAACTTTAACTTTGCCGCCGTCAACCTTAAACGGCGGACCTAACACCCAGGTAAGCAGGTCTCTGGTTCTTTTGCAAACTCCATCTGGTTCTTCGAGCAACCCTAGAGATGGATGACTCCCAACATCCACTTTCGTGTACTCGGAAGCATTATGATTTTGTGCTATTTTGGTTCATTTGTAGCACCCTTAGGTTATGATTTTCTGTACCTTTTCAGTTATGATTTGCTGAACAAGGGTAATAAGGTAATTGAACATTTTCAGTTATAAATCTGAAATCATCAAATCCATGATAAAAATAGCTCAACAAACAAAGGATTTACTCAAATCCATAATGCCCAAAATCCCTAATAATCCCAATGTTTTTAATTAGCAAATCCATGACAAAACCCTCGTTATAAAATCCTTGAAGCAAACAATCCCTAAATAATCCATTCAATCCAATGTATTATCATCATCCATTTCTAATATCAACTCCACAATTGTCGGGGGTTGTATAAGGCTCCTACTAGGGTGATCACACATGTTTGGTCACTAATATAAAAGAACTTCAATAACATAACTTTCTTCCTTCCAAGTTACTCCCTTTCTTCTGACGAAGTTGAGAATTTAGGATTGTCGATGAACCTCTATCAGAAGTGTTCAATCTGATAGACTAGACATATTATTTGTAAATTACAACGAGATTGCATGAAAGTCTAATCCACCTTTAAACGAGGCATTTTCAGACATATGGCTCATTATCATCAATATCCAATATTTACATTACACTCCTAATATCAAACTTCCCTCCCTCCGTCCCTCATGGATCCCTAAAAAAACACCACCTAACATCTGAAAAGAAAACTGAACCCAAAACCCTAAAATCAAACAAACACTTTAAGCATGCATCAGCTCATCATGTACATCCCGTACTACTACTACGACCACTCTCCACCACCTCCATCTCCACCTCATCACCACTCCTACTACCACTGTAAAAAAACTTACAGAGCACCAAATACAACACCAAACTCCCGGAGCTCAAAATGGCCAGCAACCAATAATACTTATCCAACCTCGCTTCCCTCATATCGTCGCTAAACCAGCTCTCCTCATTCCTCCACCGCGTCGAAACCTCAACCAAACATATCAGCAGAGCACTCATGAAACTCCCCACACCAAAAACACTCGTGTACAACGCAATCCCCAGAGTCCTCATCTTCACCGGAACTTCCCCGTAGAAGAACTCCTGCATCCCCACCACCGTGAAAATATCCGAAATCCCCAACAAAATGTACTGCGGCAACAGCCAGAATATGTTCATTTCAACTACTTCCCCTGTTTTCGCTCCCCTGCTTTTTTCCAGCCTTTTTTCTTCCACCAACGCCGCGATTACCATCGCGACGATCGACAGGAACATCCCGATCCCCATCCGCTGGGTGACGCTGATCCCCTTTTCTGACCGGGTGATGAGGCGGGCGAAGGGGATGAGGAGCTTGTCGTAGAGTGGCATGAGGAGGATGATGGAGACGGTGATGGAGCTCTGGAGAGTTGCTGGTGGGATCATGAATTTGGTTTTACCTGTGCCGATGGTTCGGGACATGGTCATGCCTTGCTTGGTGAAGAAGGTGGCGGGCTGTTGGAAGATGACGGCGAATGTCAGCAGCGTTGCCCAGATTGGAAGGAGTCGGAGTATTGTTTTTGCGGTTTGGACCCAATTGCGGTCGGTTTTGGTTGATGGTGGTTGCTGCTGTTGCTTCTCTGTTCCTGGCTTCAGGGTGATGTGCTTGTCGGTCTGGAGAGGCTTCGCTTGCATCCTGCGTGGCCAAAAAAAGAAGGCTGAAAGTTAGGCATTGAGATGTGTAAAGAGTAAAGACTAAAGAGTGGTAAAGTGAGAAAGGTCTCAAATACACGGTTTGGGTTGGGTGATGGTTAGGTTGATTGGTTACATGTGAATGTTGGATTACAAGTCAATACAAGTGAGTGACCCGATCGGTTATGGATTAGTTGATTTTTGAGTTGTGACGGTTTACATGTTAATTAGGTTACACAATTTATTGGTCAACGTATCAGGTTTCAGTCTAATTGAAATATGGGTTAGATAGGATAAGGGTCGTTTTACTTTTCTGGTTAAGCTGCTTACGAGGTGGGTGCGAGAAAGTGTTGGTCAGGTTGAACCAAACTTTAATAGTTTAAGATATTTTCAGATACGATGAACTAAGGTATAGGAGTAACCGAATTGGTGGACTATATCGACACTTAGAACAAACTGAGGATCTAAATTAGATAAAAAGAAAATGCATTTGTGTCCGATAAATATAACATTGATAGGACCTACCTCGATTCAAACCATCGATTAAGGCGATATAGTATGATGTAGAGTGGTGGGTTCAAACTGTTTGCTACCCCCTAACTAAACATGATAGATTTTATTAAGATTTCAGACAAAATCATGAAGTTTAATGGGTCAATCAGGTTAGTTACGGATTCATTAGAGCAACAATAGGTAAGAAGTTTCTAAAATTGAAAACAGAGGAACTCATAGAGAACTTACTCCATCTCAGCAGCTTCAGTCTTCTCATCAGACAACCTGATCCTGCAAACCTTAACCTTACAAACAACATCCTTAACCTTTCTCAAGATCTCAAGAAATGACTTCTTGGAGATGGCATCTTCCTCGTCCTCTCTATACCTATAAATGCTTCCTCCGAGGCAGAACAACGCCATGGAAGCAACCATTGCTAAGGTTGGGATTGCGAAGCCCAAGACCCAACCAATGGTGTCCTGAATGTAGGACATAACAATCACCCCCATCAAGCTCCCGGCGCATACGCCGAAGTACCACCATTGGAAGAACAAGCTCTTCAGGTTGGGCTTCTTGTCGTCCATGGTGCAGGGGAGTTCGTCTTCACTGTCCAATTGCTCTGCTCCGAAGGCTTGGAGAGATGGGTTGTAGCCTCCTTGGCCGAGGGAGATTAGGCAGAGTGAGCCGAAGAGGAAGGAGTAGCCAATGCTGTTTGAATCGTACTGTCCCCATGTTAGTGCTGTAGATGTCAATGCCCCAAGTCCCTTCAGAAATTAAACCCCACATTAGCCTTTTCTTCATGCTTTAATTAGAGGAACAATTTACGTGTTTAAGTTTTTTTTTTTTGGTAAATTACGTGTTTAAGTATTTAGTACAAGTAGTTCGTATCCGAAAAAGAAGTACCTTTTACATATAGATTTTTGTATTCCTCATTAGGATTAAGTGTGGTAAGACAATGAATGGCTGAAATTCTAGAAGATAGGATGAGAGAGTGTAGTAATTCGTCGACATAACAAATCTATCAAACTATCTAAACTTCAAATGATTTTTGTATGTGAAATTTTCTTTATTGATCATTGGTATTAAACTCGTTGATGATACACTAAACTTATTGAATTATATGTAGATTTTGTGTGAGACATAAGATTTTCTTAATTCGTTACTAATATTAAGCTCGTTGATCTAGAAAATAATGAAGGTCTATTGAAATAACTCAACTACACCAAAATCATGAAAAAATAGAGCATAATAATTCAGCGACTTAACAAACTCGTCATTCCATGTAAACTTCAAATCTTATATGATTGATCGTTTTTTTTTTTTTTTCACTCGCTTTGATTCATGAAGTTTGAAAAACTCCCAACACATTTCTAGGAATCCAAATCATCCGGTATTCAATTTCCGGGCTTTCCAACAAAGTGGAGGATTTGGTCTAAACTACATAACCTCCCAACCACAAGATTTTAGCTTAATGGTGCTTAATCAACACGATGCTTAACCGCCTTCCTCTAATAGCGCATGAGTCCAAGGCAAACAAAGCAAAAGGGGGTAAAAAAAAAACAGGGGAAGGGTGCAAAAAAACAGGGAGGTGAAGAAACAGAGAGAAATGGGGACTTACCACAATGTAAAGAACGCAGGAAGCTAAGATGGTAGAGCAACGACCCCAATAAGACTCGGCCAGCGACGCCACAAGAAGTGGCATCATGGAAGTGAACCCGCACCAGTTATTCACCGTCTTTGCCGCCGCCGAGTTGCTCATGTTCACTACATCGGTCAAGTAGGTCACAAGGTTCGACGCCACTCCTTTGAACGCAAACCGCTCCATCCCAGCAATCACTGTAAAACCATTGAAGTAATCAGAAAAACAGAGCAACCCATGATTCCAAAAATTGAGTTAAAACAGAGTCTGGTGGATTGATTGATTGATTGATTGACTTACCGATGAGAAGGCAACATGCTTTATTGAGCCCTGGTTTGCCTCTCTTCTCCCCAGCCATGGAAGGAGAACCCAGTTGGATTTTCACCTCAGAAGTCTGAGGGAGGTTCCGGAGCTACGAAATTGGGGCAGTAGAGGACAAAAATGAATGCTCCACCGTTAAATTGGCAAAGCTGGCGGGACTCTGCTTTTGATAGTAAAAGGAAGTAACTGTTTTCTTTGGGTTTTTTGGTTGTGGTTTGCTGTTGAGATTGTGGGCTTATAATCACGAGGAAAGTGCAATGCTTTTCTGATACGTTTATTTTTAGGAGATTAGATTTGAATATGGTATCTAGTACTCAGTATCAAAGTTTGGTTTATGAATGATCAAGTACCAAAAGTATTCAGTTGGAATGTGCACCTAAACATCCAAAAATCGTATCAGAAAATTGTAACGATAAGGGTGAATGGTTTTAGTAGAATCATGTCGAAAAAATCACAACAGGGTAAAATGTTATCAGTCTCATCATTAGTATAAATGAGTTTAACCAATCTAATCGTGTACATATATGATACGATATCGCAAATATTGAAATTTAAACGTATGGATGTACTTATGAAGAAAATTATTTTCTTACAGCTTCCTCATTATGAAATAATAGGGTGTTGTCAAGCGTTACCGTGACGATTTTGAAGTGGTCGGATTCGAACTCTAGTCAATTCTCAGCTTATCATTTTTCTCCTTCTTTTGACTGTAGGAGCGTGCAACTATATTGTATTCTAGGATGTATTGAATATGTGTTATGAGATTTTTTCATCTATTCTCCGGTTGATTCGGTTTTGTGTTGGACTATTTTCGTTTGAGGTTTTGTAAAACTGTTCTATAAAGTACCTTCTTTAACATCCTAATCTATAGTTAAGTTTTTTTTTTTTTATTTATTAAACTATGGTGCATAACTTTATTATGAAATCCATATTCTCCCCACATAGTTCTTTTATAACGTTGTGGATTAAACAAACAATTAGATTATAAATAAAATTATCTTCATAAACTCACATTTCAGGTAAAAACAGTCTATTACTAAAAACATATCACCCCACTTCTTGGAATAGTCCAATTGTAAATTACTTTCCACGAATTAAAAAAGGAAAATCATCTCATAAAGTGGAGATCGATCATTGATGAAAAGATGATGGTGGAAATTGTTTTCGTACGTGTAACCCAAATAGAAAGACATCAATATGGGTACTCAAAGCTGAGATATAGTAGATAGAAAAGCATTGTAATGGGCAAAACAAATTAAAGAAACGTCATAGAAAGAAAAAAAAGGAAAAAAAATGAAAGCAACAGACGTTATACAAACGTTTCGTGGGAGAGGGTGCAAAAACACTAGAAATTAAAGAAATCAAAGATATGGGGATGGAGTCATACTCATCAGACACTCACTGAAGAAAGCATGATCCACAATTAACCATCCATCTTTTCATCTCTCAGTCTCGATTGCCACCACCACAAGTTCACAACCGCAACCATTACCAACACACTAGCTAGCTATATCCCCTTCTTTAGAGTTTCCCTCAACAGAATGAATGGAGTGGCCAAATAAAGCAAAACCCACCACTTAAGAAAAGCAGTACTCTTCCTCTTTATATCTATAGCTTAGCTATGTAACGTACGGGACTTGGTTACTACTAAGTCCACAGTGCTGAATGCATGAATTGATATCATCGGATTGGTTTTTTGGGATATTAGTCGTTGGATCCGTATGTTAGTGTTGTGACTTGTGATGAAGTGGTTTATGACATGGCATAAGAGCTGGCTTGACCAAGTGGTTGTGTGTTCGAATCTCCACGACTCCCAATATTAACAGTTGATTAAAGCACAAGATATGGTGGGCCTGTGCAAACTTCAAGCCCATGAGTTGGTTTTCGTTTGAGGGGGCGTGTTAGAGAGTACTATAAGATCCAGCATAACATTCTCCCAACAACTCGAGTTATTGGGAGCAACTGGTTCTTGACATGGTTGCAGAGCCTTCTGTGACCGAGAGGTCTTGTGTTCGATTCCCGGTTGCCCCCATTTGTTAACCACATGGTATTCTTGTCTTCAAACCTGTGCAAACTTCAAGCCCTTGTGAGTGGCTTTCGTTTGAGGGGGCGTGTTAGTGTTGTGACCTGTGGTATATGATCCACGATTGAACCTCTCCCAACAACTCGAGTTATTGAGACCAACTAGTTCTTGACACCGTATACGTGATGTTATTTGCAAATTTGTGATTATATAGATACAACATTTGAGATTATAAAGAAGGTTGTCCGATCCGATATTATATTGATAGAGACTACATGTATGCGGCACAAGCTTACATCACGAAATCCACAAATATGACATTATTTTTGAAATTGCTATGGTGTGTAACACATTAATCCAGGGGCGTCCCTTAGCGCATGAATGAATTATCAATTAACAAACCTTAAATCAAAATTTTGGACAGAAAACTTGTGTATAATTTTATTCTAGTGATGGTAGTATTTGAATTCGAGATTATTTAATGTTTTTAGAGATTTTGGTCTATCGTTAAATACCCTTCATAAAATTTGTGCAATATGCCAATGCATGAGTCCAATGCAATACAATGGATGTAAAGTGTACTTATAGGGTTTCTCCATGTATATAAGCCGACACTTATTTAAAATACACCATTGATTCCTCCCATCCTCCGCTAGCGGGCGAGATTGTTTACAAACGTAGATTGCTTCTATTGGACCAGGGGTCGATCGAAGCACTATTGTGAGACAACGGTGATAACTTTGTAAAATACTGGGATATGCGTTGGTTTATGTATAATATTATAACGATGAACTGTAAGTCCGTAACTCACCGTCGCAGAATTTTGCTTGTAACTTCACACATGAGAATACAATGTAAAATGTTGAAAAATATGTTTTATTTGTTAGTTGATTGATTCGGAATAATACTATCTGTCATAAACCAGTTGGTACCAATAACTCGAGTTGTTGGGAGAAGGTTATGCTAGATTTTATACCACGTTCTTTCACGCCCCCTCAAACGAAAGTCAACTCATGGGCTTGAAGTTTGCACAGACCCTCCATACATTGTGCTTTAATCAACTGTTAATATTGGGGGTCGTGGAGATTCGAACGAACACACGACCACTTGGCCAAACCAGTTCTGATACCATGTCATTAACCAGTTGGTCCCAATAACTCGAATTGTTGAGAGAAGGTTATACTAGATCTTATACCACACTCTTTCACCATCGTCACAAATATACAGGTGAAAATACCTAATACATAACTCTAAGTTGAGAACAACTACGAACCCTATCCAACTCCGAGCCAAGCCATATTAAATCAAAGCGTGAAACAAATTAAGGGTCAAAAACTCTTATCATATTGCATGGCCCCATAATCCAACTCCTTCAACAGTACTGGGCTTGTGCTTACAGGTTCACCTGAGCTTTTAAGTACAGGATGAAGTATTGAAAGTGTGCATGTCGGCGAAACCGAGGGTTAATTTTCCCCCGACCGTGAGGGAAAGAAGACACGAACTTTTGTCTAGCCAAATGGATACGAGTCATCCATCCACCCATGATATAGTGGCGCAGGATGTTGTATACACAACACAAGTCAGCGGTTTTCGAGTCAGCTTGTTGTGCATTATACATTGTGCTCTCTGCTACAAATTTTCCACACGACAAGTCGTTTGTGTGCATGCGGGCAGACAATGCTGGACACGTGGCTTGTTGCTGCTCCAATACGTGGCATGCAATTCTGGCAGTCTTTTTTTGTTGTTTCAGCATGGCCATGATGACCGATCATCGTCAACTCTCGTCTGTCTATATGGTCCTGGTCCAAGTCGAAGTGGTTAGGGTTTCTTGGCTTCCTTTTTATCTGTTTTCTTTTTCTCTTGTCTTTCTCCGCGTCAGTAGCTTTGGTGGGTTTGACAGCTATCAGTATGTGTGCCTACGTGGAATTTACAGAATTTTGAGTTAATGTTTACTGTTTATAGAACTTGACTAGTTAGTGAGCAGTGACCACGTACATGCACCCTTTTGTTATAAGATTTTGGCATAATTGTTTTAGGGTTTTCTAATGAGCACTAGAAGGGATGATTGGTGGGGTGTATTAATTGTTGCCATGACTTGGATCGTAAAGCTAGGAGGTCAATGAGAAAATGATATAAAATTAATACTTGGAGTATTTTTCTAATAACTGAGTTGATGTGATTTACTTGGAGATTTGTGTTCATCTGTCTTTGTAATAATATCTCGCATTTTGCATAAATAAATTGATATATATATATATATATATATATATATATATATACTATATGATTAGGATTTTTTTAATATATTGCATTTTGCATAAATAAGTTGTTGCGAGCTCGAGAAATGGTTGTCATCATACCAAATCGAAAAATGCGAGTTTAAGTATTAATAACTAAGAAATGTATAACTATTAATAACTAAGAAAATAAAGGATAAATGGAAGTTCTAATCCAAATAGGCTAACGACGTGTTATGAACTTGCATCAATTATTACCTGTAGTCCTGTACATCTCTTTTATGCTCGTGTCTTTTAGTCAGTAGAGACAAGAGAGAAGTCAAAAAAAGACCGACGTTATTGGAGGTCTTTTGCTTTGCTTTTCCTCGTACGTACATTCCCTATGAGCTACACGGAATTCCATCTATGCATTAACCTCTTCGTTAGCTAATCAAACAAAAGCCATAATGGAAAGATTAATAAATAATTGGAGGAGGAGTGCCTTTAGCCCTTTAGTGATAAGTGTACTTAAGGAGAGCTGTTACTTTGGGGTTACTTGTTATTAGTAATTCAGTAGCTAGCTACAACCTTAATTAATTGTTTACTGTAAGGCTGCATGTAGCCTCTAGCTAGCTATCAAAATTTGTATGTTTTCCACATAATTAAATAGGACTGTTATATATAGTGTTATTCGTTATCAGCGTATAATGGAATATAATAGATATGATAACTTGCATATATAAAACATACTCCATTTTTTGATTAAACACAGATATGATGTTTAGTAAAAGGAAAATATAAGAATGATTATATATTATATATTATATAAAAAGAAGCAAAAGGCAAGATATTTTGAATAAAAGAAGAAAGATAGTGGGATATATAATATCAGTTTTTGCTTTAAATAATGCTCGCAACGGAGTGGAGTGGTCACCTTAATACTCAACCTATCTCACATCAAATGTAAAAAGAGCGACAATATAAGTAGATTAATTGAGTTCAATTCACTGAAAAATGATGTCTTTCACGTATTTGAAGTATTATCGTGTGGAAATATGAGTCAAAATAGGAGAAAGAAAAATCCATATTGAGACAAATTGAGATAGCATGGGTCAAGAAGGGAGAGTGATGGGGCAGGACGGAAGTAGTACTCATGTATTGCCTCACGTTATCACGGGTGGAATTAGCATGTGTCGAGTCCGGTAATACCTGACAAAACATGTTCAAATTGCCATCATCGTATTTAAACTACTCTTATGAGCTCATTGACGGTTAACGAGGGTTTAGGTATATATTACCGTCTATAATAATGTATCTCCTAGTATTCAAATTTGCTTCTCTTTCAACACTACTCAAGTAATTTAATTAGTTGAACCGATTCATGGAATGGTATAATAATTTGATTAGCTTTCAATTTAATTCGACCGCAAAATCTTATGTTCAAGTCCTTATAATTTTCAATATAATAATTAATTTAAACATGCAGTCTAATAACATGAATTAATTACGTTCAAGCGCGACATGCAGTACGCCCCTCCATCACATAACAGAGCTGCAGAGAGGTACTAATTAATTATATACCTCTCATCAAGAAAAGAAGGAAAAAGAAATGAACATGGTGCAGCAGAAGAGATGGCAAAACGTACTCTTTAATTTCGTTACAGGCAGCATTAGTACTACACACGGTTGCACCATGCCGTTTCAAGGCTCGATACGTCGAGAAGCAAGAAGGAGAAAACCCTGCTACCAGCCAGCCAAGCCCTAAAGCCAAAAAGAAAAACGAAAACGAAAACAAAATATATTATCGAAACGTAAAACTATTTCCAGTTTAATTTGTGCGTGTATTTTAGGTTCTCGTCTTCTCTAGCGCATGGCCGGCCATTAGGATTCTTCTTCTTTTATATTATTATTATTCTTAAGAACATACATTCGATTCGAGGGGGCACATGTCACATGATGATGAGGAGGCTGTCGTGTCTGGTCTCTCGCTCTACTTGTAATGCAATGGTGACCACATATACTTAACAACAACACTATGTTGTCATGCTCACCAACTTTTTACCTGCAGGTTTAATTGTGTGCCACAAGAATATGCTAGCTAATTTATATATAATCAGATGTTATAAATTGATCTGCACTGTGATTCCCTTACTATATAATATATTCTAGTGGGTTGGTGCTGAGATGGACTTCCACCTAGCTAGCTAGTAATAATTCCTTCTTAGTCTCTTCACAATGGAGTATATATATATATTGTATTAAAGTATGATACACATTAGCCTAGCCTAAGCCAAGCCAAAACTGTATACAGGTTCAATACTTCAGTTATCCCAAATGAGAATTCAGCGTTTTGTTTTGTGTGTTCTGGATATATAGTTGAGTACGTTGACCATATTGATCGTTAACCGTGTGCGGTGTGCCAGTAAGTAGAACTCTAGGTCTTTTTAGGTACACGGAGGTTAAAAGATAATCTCTCATGCCAAAGAATGGCCCAGAAACCTAAATAGGCAGCCTGAAAAGTTTGTCTCGCTATCGACATATGCTTGGAGTTAACCTACCATAGTTGCAGCAACATGAGCCTTCGAATCTCTAGTTCTGCGGAATAGAGATATAAGCGTTAGGAGAGAGAATGAAAGAAGAGGAAGGGAAGGTTTTTATTATTCTTTCAATTTTTTTTTTTAAATTGACTTGACATTAAGTTAACTGTCCAGTCAACAATTTCGTTTGCAACATCATCAAAAAGTTTATAGAGTTAACGGGGACTAACGGCCGGTGCTAACGAGTAAAGTTAGTGACGAATAAGAAAGTAAATTAATTCGAGTGACAAACATGAAATTTTTGTATAATTTGAGTGCCCAATCGTGTAATTTAGCCAATCAAATCCATTTACTATCTCTAGTTGGGTTTTTAATTCCAAGAGACCCAATTATTCTCCTCCTAGAAAAACCAACTTTAATCTAGGAGATGGATCACTTCGATATCAATGGACATACAGATACTGGGCATGTAGTAGGCCTGTAGGGGAAGTAAAAAGTTGTTATGGAAAACAGCCCAACTATTGAAACGCATAACTCGAAACCAAAGCCCAAATCTGGCAATTTTTGGAATAGTTTCTCAGAGGGGAAGTTGCAAGGTGACACAACGTCAAGAGGCTCAGAGGTGGTAATCTCTCCCCTCGAAAATTCAGCAGAGCTAAGAGGGGGAAAGAGCTATCAACACACTGCTCTAAGAAAGACGCCAGAGTGCGGGAATCAGTAGAGTTGAACCCAAACAAACTCTTCTTTGTACGCAACAGAGGCATCACACGAGGATTCGCAAGTGTAGACCACAACGGTAGCCCAGTCGAGAGAGTCCCTCCCATTATCAACGCCAAAGTAATACAGCAAAGTAGACAAGATCTGGAACCCAGAAACAAAGTGATAAAAATAACAAGTGATTAAGTGATGAACAAGAGAGTATCACGCGGCAAGAGCAAGACATGAGAATGACTAGTTAACCAACTATGAGCTACAGATGGTCAAGTCCTGGCGCACCTGAAATTCAAAGATCATACGGCCACCACAGTGCTTGCAACTGGGAATATCAGCCTTGGGTAGACGACCACTGAACATCGGCCAGAGGGGTTTTGCAGTCGAACTCCTGCAATACCTGTGGCATTTCAATCCACATATATCAGACTTTTCCCTCCTTTTTTCATCGTAGTGCAAATTATGTACACAGTTAACACTAGAAAGCCATTCACGATAACTCGGAAACAAAGAAATAATGAGAATATAAAGTTCAAATTACAATGCTAGGGTTCAAGTCAAATTAAGTGTAAGAGTATGGCAAATCAAGAAAGTACACAAACACAGCTCTGGCTAAGGCTTAATGCAAGAATCAAATGTTAAATTCAACTCAACGGTATCAAGGATAGGTAGTACACTTATGACTTCTAAATTCTAATCACACGTCTAGTCATTGTTTATAGGTAGAATCAACTTCAAAGGAGCAAGTCATACTTGCAGAGTATCCTGGAATTATGGATGATGATTATAGAACAAGCGTTCTGACACCATTACAAAAGTTCCAGAGACAAAACAAGGAAACTGGGTCCTATTACTCGGATAGATACATATGGAAGAATGGAACCATGCTACAGTTAAGGAGGTTCAGACATTGGGCATCTAGAAATCAGATTATGGAACTCTAGTTCTCGCTTCAAATGATAAAATCGTAATACCTCAGCACTTGATCGGGAGCTCTGGATCTGCGCTCTTCAAAAATTGCAAACGTCCTCTTATCAATATCCATCTGCTCATAAAAAATAAAGTCACCCCACAGGTATAATACAAGGATCAACATATCTCACTCGAAAAGGGAAGAAATTGAAACCTTAAACCCGTCGATTATGGAATCCATTGAGTCATCCGCTTTGCCCTTGGATACAAGTGACAGGGCATTGTTCTGAGAATCATCAGTCACCTTTGCCCCAAATTCACCTTCATCCTCATCTACTATTTCATACTCTGGCCACAGCTTTTTGGTAAGAACTGTGTAACATAAAATGAAAACTGTTATTATGATTTATGAGAGAAGCTCACCAGACTGGACAAAGATAAAGCTCAATATTGGCACCAAGATGCTTCATGATTTCCTTTGGCATCTCTAACCCTTGGGTTAGTTTGACTCGTGAAATGTTGGTCGATTGTGAATAATATATCAGTTAAAAATGGTTACTTCGAATTCCAAAGGTCAACTAGCAATGAACACAATTCATTCTGTGTACACCACAGGAAGATCATTTATGAATAGAGAGCGCGATAAAAACGTTATGTGTTTCCCAAAAGTGCTTGAAACTACGAAATCTTTGAGTATACATGAGTTCGCATAGCCTCCCAGAGTTAAGTGATAAAAACTAGCCTTTAGTTTTGATGGTTCCACCATTACTAGAGCCAGCGTTGGATAGTTGTAGAGAATTGTCCACTTGCCGACACTCATATTTATGAACAGACTTCCAATCCTTCCGCTGTACGGATGTCGAGTAAAAACATAGTCACCAATAGAGCATCTAGCTGTTTAGCAAGGTTTTAAAATTACTTTAAATATCTAATTACCTGATGTCTTTCAGAGCAATAGTGTACTTTCTTGCATCGACCACAAAGTTTATCCCCTTTCCAAGTACCACAACGATCACAGAGAACAGCTGAATCAATTCAAATAAGGGCAAGGAGCATACATCAGAACACAATAAGAGCCGTGATCCACACAAAAACAGTTTTGCCCACGCTTAAGAGATACTAAAGAGAGTAAACTTCTAGGTCAAGAAATGAAATACCTCCAGGTGAAGAAGGTCTATCAGTACCATCATTTTTCGAGTGCTCACTCGAGTAAAAAGGATTAGACAGAGGCAATTGGCAGCGGAAAACCTTCACACTTCGGAAAAACATCGTGTCACCAGACAAATATATACTTCAATTCTATGTATTTCATTAAAAAGAATGTGAATGTATGTAACATGGACAAATGATGGGTTATGAAATTAAGTACCTTCGGGATGGCTGCTCGGGCTTGTGCTTCCATTGCTCATGTTGATCACGGAGAAGACAAGACATTTTCGAGCACATAAACACAAATAACGTTCTGTGATACGTGGATTCCTTCTCTGTTATCGGTGCATAGACCTACTCAGTCAATCACAGATACTATACAGTCACAAGGAAGAACAGAAAAAAACAACCATCGCAAAATGAAGTGTTCCAATTTTACAAAACCATATGAAGGTGAGCATAAGCAACTAACCTGAAGCACAAATCTAAGAGGCTTTCCACATATATCACAGACACAATGCCTCCCGGTGGGTAAATTAACAGGGTCCAGCCACGCCTGTGACAAAAATTAACCATTCCATTTTCCACTTGAGCACTTAAAAATCCTAACTTTCTAGTTTCTAGCAGAATATCAGCGAGATAGAGAATTAGGTTAAGGATGACCAACGTACCGGCGCACCCCCAGCTTTGCTAGGGAATGACTGCCGGAGTAGAGACCAAGGATGCTCAGGCTTCTCTAGAAACCCAAGCATGACTGGTTCTAGGTCGTCGTCCTCGTCTTCATCGTCTTCCTCTTCGACGTCCACTGCTTTGCGATTTTCTTCCACGACAGCAGCGTCTTCTTCACTGTCACTGTCGAGGGAAGAAATTCGAAGTCCCTTGAGCTCTTCCATGCTATCTCCTTCGGCACTAGCGCCTTCCATTCGTCCGTCAAATGTGCCAAATCCGGAACTCAACAGTTAAAATATTGAAATCTGAGAACCGGAAACTTCGAAATTCTCCTACAGAAAAGCTTCGACGGCAGTGACTGGATTCGCGCGAGGGATGAAGATTGAAGGAGGAGGGAACTTGCTCTGCTGTTGCGGACGGCGGTGACTGGCTTTGCGCGAGGGAAAGCAAAGAAGGTGGAACGCCGTGAAAACTAGTGAAATGGGCTTGCAAGTTGATGGGCTCCTACTTATTTCGGGCATAGTAATTACTATGTACTTGGGTATGATTAGTTAATATTTTGGGTTAATACCCTAGTTTGGCCCGAAGTTTAGCGTAAGTGACAATTCTGGCCTCATTTTTTAAATAAGACGTTTATGGCCTACTTTTGAAACTATTAGACAAATTTGGCCCGAAACTTGTGTTGACTGTTAATATTAACGGTCAAACATTTATTCCGTCAATGACTCAGCATCTAGTGCTGAGATGGCATCCACATCACTTATTAATTAAAATAAAAAACAACTTTAAATAAATGAAATCCTAAAAAACCTTACTTCTTATCTTCTTCGAGAGAGCCCTCTCTTTTCTCCAACCCTCACTCCTTTTCCTTCACCACCATTTGCCAGAACCTTCTCGTCTTCCTCTCCTCCTATAATCAACCTTCTATCTACATCGTATTTGCTAATCATAGTTCAATTCTGCAAAACCCTTTTCTCTAATCCTTTTAATCAATCGAATTTGCAATCTACGATGGCGGACGAAGCTAAAGCAAAGGGCAACGCGGTGTTCTCCGTCGGCGATTACACCACCGCCATCAAGCACTTCTCCGACGCCATCGCCCTCACTCCCACCAACCATGTACTCTATTCCAATCGATCGGCGGCATACGCCTCCATCCAGAAGTATGCCGACGCCAAGAAGACCGTCGAGCTCAAGCCCGACTGGTCCAAGGGCTACTCCAGCCCAGCGCCGCTCATCTCGGCTTGACCTAGTATCAAGACGCTATTGTTGCGTAAGGGCTCGATTTCGACCCCAACAACGATGCCTTGAAATACGGATTGGCAGATGCAGAGTCCGACGCCGCCGCCGCTGCCGCTTCGTCTTCTAGGTCTATAGCTACTCCTCATATGCGGAAAGGGCCTAGGATTCGCACGCGATTCGGGTTCTGTTCGTCTTTTCTTTAGACGAACGAATTGGTGGCTGTTCGTCTTCTCCCTCAGACCAATCTGGAGGAAACGCGAAATTCACCCTCCAATCACCCTTGGATTCGTGGTCGGTGATGAGAAATGGGTTGGCGGTTAAAGACGGCAACGAGTTCCAAGTAGGAGGGTGGGGAGGAAGAGGAGTGGAAGTGGTGGTGGTTGTCGTCGATGCCAACGGCAGAAGAAGATTAGGATTGTGATATTTATTGCGAAGAGAGAGCAGAGGAAGAGGAGATGGAGGGAGTTGGGAGGGGATTGGGTTTGTTATCTAATTGAGATTGGGGTTCTTGTGGCATTTGCTATCCACGATGGCATAGAAGAGGGGGAGCTCTGCTTCCGATCCATGGTGGCGGCGGATGAGAGGGAAGGGTCGATGGAGGAGGGAGTTTAGATTAGGGTTTTTATGTTTATTTTTCATGTTTTTAAGTACTAAAAAAATGAATTGAAATAAAAATGACATGCAGCCACATCATTGCCACTTCAGCATAGGATGCTGAATCATTTAACGGAATAAATATTTGACCGTTAATGTTAACAGTCAACACAAGTTTTGGGCCAAAACTGTCCAATAATTTCAAAAGTAGGCCACAAATGTCTTATTTGAAAAATGGGGCCAGATGTGTCACTTACGCTAAACTTCGGGCCAAACTAGGGTATTAACCCTAATATTTTTGGCTAGTTGGAATTTCCTGCTGATTTTTTGGACTGCTAAATGTCGCCCTAACTTATGCAATCGTCCTAACTTAATACATAAGATTTTACTGTTATACTCTTTTATTTTTGTTGACATTAGTAGCATTCACTGCTTTGCCGTTGTCGGTACTCGTTGCAGCTATACCGACTGCCGCCACCACTGCCCACTTCCGAAAATTGTGAAAAATGACGACCAACATCTTTCCTAATAACTACTAGAAAAGCTTGATTACCATTTCACCTTCTATGTAGCATTAATGGTTCTCTATGGCTGCAGGCAATAATTTCAACTTTTACTAACTGTGGTGGTATAGATAGAAAAGGAGCAGGGATGCGCTTTTATAGAGGACCACAACGGTGGCAGGACAGGGGGTCGTTTGGTTGTTTTTGTTGGCGGCAAAGTCGTTTGGAGGGCAGTTGATAGAGAGTTGTTTTGGAGTGCAGGGGGTCGCGCCGGCAAGGGGTCGTTTAATTGCTTTCTACGCCGATACCGTTTAATTGCTTTCCTATGACCAAAATAGTAGATTAGGGGTTTTAAAGCTTGTTTGTTTATTTTTATTTGGTTAATGAAGGATAATTTAGTAATTATATATTTTAAGTTAGGGCGATAACAATAAAATTAGGGCGATGTTTAGCCATTCAATATTTTTTTTGGTAACTTCTATTTTTTATCTAAATTTTTATAAATTTTTTTATACTATTCAAACTTATTGAAATACTAAGAATTAATCAAATGCGAACTTTCGATTAATAATTTTGTTAGTAATATTGACTTGACAATAGGGATGACAATGTGGTCGGATCGGTGGCAGATAGTGCATATTCGTTACCCTACCCAAAGTAGTTCGAATTTTACCCAAACCCACATAAAGAAACGGGAAGAAAATCAAAACCATGCTCATACCCATTCGTGTTTCGGGTATCCAGGATTATCCATGGATAATAATTTCTCTATATAACTGCAACCAATGTATTAACATTCACTCGTATTCTCACATTACGTAAGAGGAAAAGTACGACAATAATTCATTAAAATGAAGAAAAATAATTAAAATGACACAATTTCATAAAAATATTATATTTATATGCTAAATATAAAATATGTTAGAGAAAGATAAGAATTATTTTTAGACAAAATACATATGCATGTGTATAATCGGGCGGGTTTGGGTTGGATAGTGAGAAACTCATGCCCGCCCATTACCTGCAATATTCGGGTTTGGGTTTTACCCATAGCCACTAAAAGTCATTCGGGTTCGGGTTTTACCCTACCTGATTAGGTCGGATTCTGGCGGATATCCACGGTTACGATTACTTTTGCCATCTCTACTTGGCATTATGATACTGACTTGGAAGAGATACATGTAGGTCAACATTCCAAAATTTTAGAATTTTAACTAAGAAAAGAGTAACAAAATTATTAACGATAACGTAAAAATGACTAATATTTTTATGCATTATGAAAGGTTTGGCTAATTAATAGAATTTTAATAGGTTTGGATAATATAAAAGAATCTGAAAAAGGTTTGGATAAAAAATAGAAATTACCCTATTTTTTCAAATTTATAATAGTGTAGTCTGAGATAAATCTAAATTTTACTTAATTAGTCAAACCGAGAGCTTATTGTTATGCTGGATGGTCAAGATTATTAACTAGCGGTCAATCCGCCACATCGCTATCCAATCGCCATATTTTAATTTAAAATATTTATATTTTTCACAAGTTATCAATTTTAATTTAGTTTGACTAAAATGGAAAAAAAAAATTAAGCGATGTTTTATATCTCCCAGCTCAACATTGTCCCCTCCATGTTTTAAGTGAGAAATTTAAAGCTTGGGTTCAAACAAATTTACGTTCTTTATCTAAACTAAACATCATAAGAAATTTGTGTGGGATACAAAATAATGTAAAATTTTTAACGAGGAAAGAACAAATCAATGTCTGTGAGTCTGTTTAGCTAGTTCAATTCTTCTAATGAGCTGGGAAGAACTTGTTAAGGCAGCAGGGCAAGGAATAGAACTCGTCACTCCTTATATCCGAGCTGCACTGAATGAACTTGTCCCACCATTTCATCCCACTGTCTTTCCTCGTCTCCTCGTCGGTGGTCCCGCCGGTGAGAGTGCAGTCCAGGAACAAGGCGATCAAGGCAGCTACTGTTGTGTGAGACATGAAGATGATCACCACTATATCATGGAACTGTCACAGAAAGAACACAAAAAAGGTCAGTCTCTAATCTGGATTTTATGGGTCTAGCTAGCTAGCACGTACTGATATCGTTGGACGACTAATATCACTGGGCGGTGGGCATACTTACCCATCTGGAACCAGAGTGAGGATGAGTAGTGATTTGAAAGTACTCTCTGAAGTATTGTGGGATGGAAATGCCCATGAAGAAGGAGAAACCCAGGATGAACTTTGTTCTGAAACTATTGAGGTTGCAGAATTGAAGTAAGCCAAGCCCTGCTGATGCTGCGTTCATTTTGCCATAATTATTTGTGAACGCTCAATAACCTAGGTTGAATTTTGAGTAAACAAGAAAGCTTGGGTTTTTTTTTTTGTACTTACAGACATAGCAGAAGAGGATGCAGTATGTGCCTGCCATGATTGGCATTGGTATGGATGCAAAAAAGGCTCCAAATTTGCCAAATATAGAGAAGAAAATCATGAATCCTGCTGATATCTGGATTACCCTTCTGCTCCCAACTTTAGTAAGAGCTAGCAACCCTGCATTTTCCCTTCATAACAACAACAAATTTCCCACTCAGAAAGACCCCATTGACAAAAAAGATCAAATCTACAAAGGTAAGTAGAAGTATGAGGTTGATTGTAGACTGCAATATAGTTACACTGATGCTGTAAAGCCAGTCACATTGCCAAATACTCCATTCAACAGGACTCCAAATCCCTGAAGAATTCAACAATAAGAACCCTATAGATAAAAACTAAGTGGAAGTTGGAGAAGGAAAGAAGGAAAAAAACTCACCAGCCATCCAGTGCCACGGCTGACAACTGAAGGAGGGACCGGCGTGGCACTACCATATCTAGCTGTTGCATAAAATGTACCAGTTGACTGCAATTCGGACACAAATTCGTTAGCTTTTTTCTGATGCAGAGGTGATAAACAGAGAAGGCTGTCTATCCAGCCTTTACCTCAAACAGAGAAACAAAGGAAGCAGCCATCATGGCGAAAGCTTCTCCGGCCTTAAATGTTGGGTTTCCCCATTGAAACGGGGAAGGAATGAAGACCCTGCCAAGGGAGAGTGTCAAAACACCATTACCAGAAACACAAACTTGAGTTGGTTTTGAGTTGTTACCAAGGAGCTGCAGAGACTAATCCAGATCGATCAGTGCGACAACTCAACTGGGTGACAACAGATTTGTGGTCATAGACTCCACTTGATGTCAAGAGCTGAGCAAACAGCCATACTATAGGAACCGAGAATAGCAGCCCGAATCGATCGCAAAGTGGCCTCTTAAACTTTACATAGTGTGGAAGATACTGCAATTATTTATTGTCACGAAAGCAGTAAATTGGCTTGTAAATGTGAAGGAAGGAGAACAAAGGGAATATTGAACTGAGATGGGAACAAGTTATAGTCTACCTGAGTGATGAACACCATTATGATGACTTGTGGAAGCCCAATCTCCACACATCTTGCCAACTACAAAAGAAGGTGAAGAATGAACTATAAATGTAAAGAGATTCAGACCCAATATTGCATGCATTATATCATGGAAAGAGATTTCAGAATTGCTTACAGCAGGGAAGCCAAGATAATAGAGTCCAAGCCCGACAAAAGTTACACATGGAGCCATAGAAAGGGGGCTAAAAAACCTGTGACAAAGATAATTAAGCCACGAGAAGAAAACATGGAAGCAAATTCTACAAGGGGAAAGAAGAGAGCAGAAGCAAAGCAGCCAAACCTGGCAGTGTTTCTCCAAAGACCCAAGAAACCCATGACTACTTGGAAGCAGCCAGTGACAATGAGAGAACCCTGAATTGCTCTCATTGTATGCAGAAACCTCTCATGAGGGTCTGGAATGGACTGGAATCGATCGGCAGTGACGATGGAGGTGATTGGTATGACATAGGCAAAGGAAGCCGATGCAATGGAAGGAAGCCTAGTGCCGAATAGAGTCTCTAAGAGCGTGGTCACTCCTGATATGAACAGCAATGTCTGTATCACCCTGACCTTCTCAAACTACATTGCAACCAAAAGAAGAACAGCCTGTCAACCTTTCGTTGACATCAAACGAAGAAGAAAGATCATTAACGAGAAACAAAATTGGTTCTGTTACATTTCCGCCTCCCATTTGAGGAACAATCATGGTGGGTATGAGGACAGTGATGCCAAGGGTGAGAAGATAGTGCTGGAATGCAAGCAGGATTGCTTCAGCTGCAAGTGTGTCAAGAGTACTACTATCAAAACGTACATAATTCTCTGGAATCAATTAAGCAATTGGACCGGGTAAACTTGTGAAACAAGAAAGAAAAAGGCGGGGAAGATATATGTACGCCATGGAGGAGGGCTGTTGATGCAGTATTGGACTCCAGGGAGTTGTTCCTTCACTGGGTGTGGCTGTAACTGCTCTGCCTTCTTGTTGTCATTAGCCATTGTTACTTTTGAGTACTGTCAATTGAGAATCACAAGGAAAATGGAGTTTAGATTACAGTACAGCTGGGAGAGGATCGAAGAACAACAAGAAGAGGCTAGGTAGAGGAAGATACGTTGTTGGTTTATTGCAGCCCATTGTTGGGTTTTGAATGGGGAAAAGACCGAAAAACGTCTCCCAGGGAAGGGATTGATGTCTCTTTATTCTTCCTATTTATATTCACAATTATGGGGCATTTAAAAAGTTAATTAAGACATTCAAATTGATTAGTGCAACGATAAATTAACCACTTTTAATAATCTGCTCACATACTTTGACGAGAGAAACGTCTCCGATGGTGATTGAAGGGCCGCAATTAATTGAAATGATACTTTTGGTGTTTGTTTCCAGGGATCCACTTCAGACTTCTTTCCTTTGAGCTCCGTTTATATTTCTCTCTTCATCTTGTAATTTGGGGCTAGTTGTTTAGTGGGGACTGGGAAGTGGAATCGTTTCCCCTTTCATGAAGCTAGGAAGATGAGAACGGAAATAAAAGAGATAATTGTTTAATTATAATTGTTATCCACGTGGCAGCAAGTAATTGGTCGGGAGCACTAACTCAGCCTTCCAACGTGGTGCTCCCGGACCACCAAAGAATTTCTCCTTTGACGATACACATAAGAGCTGCGAACCTTGATTCGAGAAAAACTTAGATGGGACGGGTGCAGCAACAAGGATGGGTGACGTGGTGCACCCGACCAATCCCGTCTCGACACGTGTCAATAATAGGCATTAAAAATTAGAACTTAAGAATCCCCTTTTATTTCTGTGTTTCCGTTTTTCTGTTCCCTTCCTAATGTCATTGATCCACGGGAAATTTCCAGTACCCAAACCGATAAACATCACCGTTGTAGAACCATTGTACACCGACGAGATTGAAATGTCTATTGATCGTCACAATATCGGTTGAAGTTTCCGTCTTCCGGTACACAGCTACCAGGTCAATGTTCGGGTTCGTTTTCATCTTAACCAGTATTGGCTCATCGGATTGAAAATCGACGACGGCGAGTTGAAGCGCCAGGCTCTGGTCAATCTGAGCTCGGAAGAGGTACGAAGATATCGCTCCTCTGATTCACTCCCGACATGACGCAACGGCAACGGAAAGCCTAGAGACCTAACTAAACGATTCCCTGCCGTCCGTTCCCGATTTCTCCGTAGAAACCATGGTAAATTGTTTCTGCCGTAGTTAGAAATCCCTATCGTCTGAATTGATCATCCCGATCTCACCGTAGTAAGAAACTCGCCGGCGAGAGGAGGAAAGCCTAGTCCCCTGCAACGGCCACACCGCAACACAGAGAAAGGGGGTTTTTTCGTTGAATTAGAAATGGGACTTCTTAAGTTCTAATTTTTAATGTCTATTATTGACACGTGTCGGGACAGGATTGGTCGGGTGCACCACGTCACCAATCCTTGCTGGTGCACCCGTCCCATCGAAGTTTTTCTCCCTTGATTCAGTGATGATAGAACATTGTCGTTTATGCTACTGAAGTTTCTGCTTGTTAGCCAGCTTGCTATTAGGGGAGCGGTTATGGTGTCAACTGCCAGAAAAGGGAGTATAGTTTAGGCTTTCTGTGACTTGTACCCTTACGATTTATCTTGCGTCAGTTATGTCCCGAAGTTTAAGGTTTACGTGTCAAAAAAGTCCTCCATCGTTTTGTTGACTGTTAGATATAACGGTTTGATCAAACGACCGTCAAAATTAGTTTGTCTAATTATGATGTGGCGCCAACATGTCACCTAGACAATGCAACATCTTCAACAATAATAATTTATAATTATTATAATATATATTTATTTCATTTCCTAATAATAATTTATTTATTTTTCAATTAATGAACATAAAACCCATCGTTCCTATCCAACCTCCGCCAAAGAATTACTTCTTCTTTTGTCAACATTGCTCGCCGGAAACTTTAGGCGTAAAGGGAGAGGGAAGCAGAAGAAGAAGGTGGTCACAAATGAATCAAAAAGATTGTATTGCTCTCTCAAACTTGCGTTCTTCTCTCTCGATTCCCAGAGGCGTCGCCACGGTGTGCAACCCCGACCAGCGACGTCACTGTAGCCCACCGACCCAAGGCATAACTATAGAGCGACCAAAGCTCCCAAGCCTTCAGATCTCGATCCGGCCTACCTCTGTTTTGCTCGTTTCTGTCCAGAAATCATACACCCAGAAGAAGCTCCCCAACCTTCAGATCTCGATCCTCCCTTTGTTTTGCTTGTTTCTGTCCAGAACTGATCATACACCCAGAAAAATAAATTGCAGTCAACGATGATAGGGAATGTACGGCGAAGGCGACGAAATTGCTCCCCAGATCCTCCAAGGCTGGATTGCAGTCCCGATGTCCCTTCTCATATCGACAAAAATCAAACCAATACCAGACTGAGATTTAACAAATGCCAGAATGCATGTAACAAATATCAAACCCAGAAAATAAATACCAATAGTAATTAAGCCAATACCAAACTGAGATGCTACTATAAGACATAAGTATGCATTGAACAAATACAAAAAAACGTAGAGGATAATTAAGCCAATACCAAACTTACATGGACATATTTATATACCAAACTTACATAGGTTATATGACAAGGAGGTCAATAGGTGGGCAACATGAAACGGATATTTGGGTATATCCGTTCCTTTTTTTAAGATTACGAGTACCCAAATATTCGTTTTATTTTTAACGGGATGGGACTTGCGATCAATGATTTCTACAACGGGTATCCACGGGTTACCCGTTAATACCCATTTGGATAATACGGGTACCCGTAATACACAAACTTCATTCTACTTCTTTTGGAAGTGGAGATTGTGGCAAAAGGAAAGGGAATGAGTTGTTTACATACACGGTAAAGGCAGGAGACAAAGACTCTTTTCTTTAGCAGCAGCCAATAGTCATTTTCAATGCAGTCAAAATCGCGTTTTAAAACTTAAAAACTTACGATTTTACGTTTTTAGGTCATCAAAACGCTTTCGTTTCCATATAAAGGCATAAGTATATAAAATCGGACTAAATTGCGCTTTAAATCTTAAAAGCTTACGCTTTTACGCTTCTAGTTCACCAAAACGCTTTACGTTTTTACGCTTTTAGTTCACTAAATGGGTATTCTTTTCATTAAATTAATTATAAAAAGTATATTTGAAAGTAAATCACCAACAATATGATGTATTTGAGATGAAAAGATATATACCAGGTACTTGGATGCATTCTCAATTTCAATAGAGTAATCTAATTCACCAGCTAGGCTCTCCCCGAATTCATTAGCATAGAGGAAAAAGTGGCTTATTGTCAAAATTTATGTTTATGAACTTATTATTAAGATACTATAAGTTGCTCTGCTTTAGGCATGAATTGCATGCATTTATTAACTTATCTAAATTTTGTGCATTCATATTTTACATAGTATATGTCCTACTTAATAGATTGTTAGTTATTTTTCAGTATGCGTCAAAAACTTATGTTTTTACGCTTTGATTCTACGCTTTACGATTTTACCCCTTTTCCGCTTCTAGGTAGAATTGTGCTTTTGACTGCATTGGTCATTTTGTTCATGGATGAACTCTATTACTCAAATATAAAAGTTGATGATGAAATGGAAATGGAAGGAGCAATAGGGATAAAACCGAGAGTTGTTGAAAGATACAGGGGAGGGTGCGAGATAGGGGAAGAGATTTATTATAAATAATTGTAACATAATAATGTATTAATTTGGAGTTGTTGCTCTCCACGTATAATCATGTTTCCCAATTAATTTGGAACAATGTAGAGGAAAGGTTGGTTGTTGCAACCAACGGATATGTACGGGTAGTTTGGGTACCTGTTATCCGTCCTATACGGATAACGAATACTCATTAACCCTTATGAGTTTGGAACATGGGATGGACTTTGCTTTTCAAACGAGATTCCATTTCAAACGGCCATTGCCCACCCCTAGAGGTCAAGGAGGACAAAGACTCCTCTTATAAGGATGGTGCAAAACTTCGACATGAGCTGAGACCGCCTGGGCCTCCTCGCACGAGACTGCTTCTCGGCCCAATAACGGTAAAACCACCTGGTCAGTGGTCATCTCATTTGAAAGACTAGTGGAATGGCTAATCCTAATAATTATGGTGAGTTAATCACCACCTACTCATCCCACTCCTTCTCCAAGTTTCGAGTCTGCCTATGAATGGGCTAAATTGCAAAATTGGTCACGGTAATTATTAAAAATATTTATATTTGATCACTAAAAATATTTAATTTCATTTGTGATCACTAAAATTAGTTAAACATTCCCAGTTTAGGCACTCTCCGTCTAATTATGTTAACTTTTTCTTATTTGGCAGTCAACTCTAAAAATTAACCATTAAATGTGTGCCGTGTCAATTAAAAAATAATAAATAAATAAATAAAAGTTAATTTTTTACATTTACACCTCATTTCTAACTATTAAAATGATACAATTTTTAAATAAAAATAATTCACTTTACCCACTAACACACAAATCACCAGTCTCCTCTGCTGACGCAATTCCGCCTCCACCACTCCACACTGCCTCCTCTTGACCACGCAACAGCTACGCTGCTTCCCGGTGGGACGATTCAGACGAGGGATTATTACTTCGATTCCTCCTCCAGGAGGAGGAAGAGCCTCGACCATTCTAATTCCATTAGAACGGCTGCGGCGGCCGTGGTGGCGGAGATGACGGTAGTCCAGAACCTTGTCATCCCATGGCTCAAATGATCGCCACAAGATTTTCCATTCATCTCCTCCTTATCCTTCTCACAGCTGGAGGAGTGGCACAGTAGTATCCTATTCATCTCCATTAAAACTCTTTATGGAATGAAATCCCTATGTCTGCGTGTGAAGACAGTAGTATCCTAGCGTCAATTCCGATCTAGGGCAAGTAAATTTCAGGTAATCGACACCCGTTCGTTCAATCCTCCGTCTCGGCCACGATTTTCCCTTCCACCCATGGACTATCATCGTTCCTTGCGGCGCCTCCGCCTTTGTTGCCATCGTTCCATTAGAGTATGTGTAGTACGAGTAGTATTGTGTTATACTATGAGTACTGTTATGTAATTGGGTCAGGGTTATATTCCTTATCATAGTCGTTGGGTTGGGAAATTGGGGATTGATGGAAATTTATGGATTTAGAAATGATTAGGGATAGAGATTTAGAATTTAGGGAAGAAGATACAGAATCGGCCTAGGGCTTAGAGGGATTGAAATCGAGAATTGAGATGATGGGGAGATTAGGGTTTAGGAGATTCTTTTCTTAATAATTTATTGATTGCTTGAATAGAAGAATAACAACGTACACATATAGGAAAAGAACAAGAAAACCCTAACAATTAACCTAATACGACTAAAAGAGTAATTATCCTAATATAATAATAATAATTATAGAAACTGAACAAAAGTTGGTTCTATCATCTCCTCCCCCTTTAGACCAACCCTGCCCTCAAGGTTGACCAAATAAAATAATGCTACTAATCCTATCGATATATAGAGCCCAAAGGATAATGAAAGCCATGTCCGCCCTTGCCTCTATAACTCCAGCGGCCTATGACCCGCTCCCGTCATCGCGGCTGAATCGTCGTGCAACTGTCTTGATTGGCGGCGTGTGGCGATCGTCGAAGTGCCTTGGCAGAGGCCAATACCCTTGTCATCATACTCACGTTCATCTTCATAGGAATCATTCCAGCTCCGTTCCAAGGGATACACCTGTCCTGGCTTTAACAACGCCGTCTCGCGGCCATGGTAGACACAATAATTAGTAGGGGTGGGAATCCGGTCCCGGTTTTCCGGTCAAACCGGAAAACTGCCAGTTTAAACCGTCCTGGTTGTAACCGGAAACCGGATTGCATCCAATCTGATCCCGTCTCCGGTCTGTCTGTTTGCCAACCCGGTCCAATCCGGTTAAAACCGGAAAGCCGGATTAAAATCTTCAAGCAAGCCCAGCCCACAATCCAATCCCCAGGCCCACACTCAGCAAATCCAGCCCGACCCAGAGCCCAACCCTAAACCTAATCCTACTCCCTCTTGCTCTCACCCACGTTTCCATACCAGCCGCTCACTCCTCCCCAGTCCCCTCTAATCTCCCTCGCCGAAAGAGGCGGGGAATCTTCTTTTCAGGTGAAAGGCTCAGGTTCGAGCAGGGAAGGCGGATGCTAGATGTGATAGGAGGGACGACGGAGGTTGGCCGTCTGTTTGCTGGAGAAGACGACGGGGACGGACAACGAGAATGGGGAAAGAATCGCTGAGGAACTGATGCAGGCTCAGAGGCCGGAGACTCGGGGTATAGGCGGCGAAACCCACCTTGGAGACTGGAGTCGCCGCAATTGGCCACCACCACGGCACCACCTCCTCTCTGTTCCCCAGCCAGCGCCGCCGCAATCTCCTCCGCATCAGCTCGTGCATGGAGGAAGAGGAGGTGTCGACCACGAGTCGTCAAAGAGAAGAAGAGGTAGATGGAAGAAACAAGAAAGAGAAAGAAGAATAGAGAGGAGAAGAGGTAGGTGGAAGAAAGATCGGTAAAGAAGAAGAGAGAAGGAATTTAAGTGGAGGAGGCAGAGACCCCTCTTCTCAATTTCATTGTTTTTCTTTTCTATTTTTTTTTCAAATTTTTTTCAAACGTCAACGTTTGGGAAGGGTCAATCTGGTTTCCGGTTTAAAACCGGATTTGACCCAGTCCGGTCACGGTTGAAACCGGATGCCATCCAACACTACAAGAAAAAAGGCTTTTTGCAACGAACATATTTGGTCGCTAAAAATTTAAAATTGGTTATTAAAACATTTTCACAACCAAAAAGTTTTGGTAGCAGAAGTGGTCGCTATAGCCGCGTTACGAATTCCTACAGCAACCAAAATTATGATTGGTAGCGAAAAATAAAGCTATTGCAACCAATTTTGTCAATGGTAAAAAATCTTGATTTTTTTGCGACCATCTTAATTTGGTTGTCATTGTTCACAATATTGGTTGAGGAATGTCGATGATTGGTCGCCATAAATACTAATGACAACCAATTTATTTGACTATTAGTAACCAACAATATCATTATAACAACCAATATTTTTGGTTGTGAAAGTTTAACACAACCATAAAATTTGGTTGTGAAAAACACATATACCAACCAATTATATCATTTTATACTACTAATTATTTTTGTTATAGAATTTTTAGACAACAATAAAATTTGGTTGTAAATAATTCCTATGCCAACCAATAGTATTATTTTAGGTGACTAATTTTTGTGGTGATGAAAGTTTAACACAACCATATAATTTGGTTGCGAACAACGCAAGAGCCTAACAAATAAATAATTTCATATAAATAGTGTTGTCCGTGAAAGATTCTCGGTCATGTCACATGTGATCCATTTAATTAGAAAAATTAAATTGAATTATAATAAAATACCATATTTTATATATAACAAAGTTGGTACATAATATTATAAGCCACAAATTACAAATATATTGGGACTGAAACCTTCAAAGCCTCTCAATTCCATACAATGCACATTATCTCAAGGATAAAGGGATGAGCTAATCTCTAAGATCTCCAACACTTGAAATTTGAACCATACTGAGAATCAGAAATCTTATAGAGAATCATAAATCGAATCCTACCTAAAGTTACCTTTTGAGAATCGACGAGGAAGAATGATTGAACGAGTGACCAAACTTTTTCCTTGCTCCAGAACCACTTCCTCTGGAGACTGGAGCAGCCGGATCGGAATTGGTAGCTGAGTGTGGCTGAACAAAGCAATCGGGGGAATTGAGATGCTATCAGAAACAGAGATGCGTCTAAATTCTAAGATGCAAATGAAAATGTGACTAGGGCCCTTGAAAAGCAAGGAAATGAGGTTGAATCATCAAAAACACATAATTGAACCCAATTAAGACTAAACTGAATCCTGAATCCTATTTGGTAACTGCAAGGTTCTACCAAACAATTTGCTAAGAAGACACACCATTTCTAGAATTATTAGCATTCATGGGATTACAAAGTACAGTTCGCTGCAACCAAGAAAGTTCTTTCACGATGCTAACAAACGTCTTTCTGCATTCATTTTCACCCTCAACATAATGTTTTTACCACACTGTACCATTTTGGGACCAACACATATCAATTTACCTCATTAGATGAAGCTTATTCTAAACCATAGAAAGAACATTAAATTGAATGTTATCTATTTTCATATTTTCAACATTTTGGTAATGATAAAGGATTGAATAGTTTAAGTATATAACTAACCTGGCCTAAAGTTGGAATTGATATGATGCTCAACATACCATCTTGCAAGTCCTTTGGAAACTTGTCTTGTACCAAAGAAGAGTCTGCCAAAAGAGCAGGGGTTTGAGGAGAAGAAGAAAAGGACGAGTAGAAGTTGGGCTCTCGATAGAAAGGGATGGAGGGGAGAGAGAGAGGAAAATAGAGTACAGTTGGAGAGCAGAGTGTGTTATTCATTTGAGCAATTAAACACGGCAGGTTCCAAATTTTAAGGGTAGTAAATACAGTACCTTAATTTTTATTTAACATCAATACAATCACAACCAAATTAATTAGTTGCAGGAAACTTTTTATTGCATTTGCAACCAAATTATTTTGTTGGGAAAAGTAAAGATGATTTTGCTACCAAAATTATTTGGTTGGAAATAGTAAAATTCTTTTAGCTACCAAATTATTTGGTTTCCTCAGGTTTTATTTGGTTATCAATACTTTGATTTTAATAGAAGACTAATTTATTAATATTTTAGTTACCAAAATATAATTGGTGGTATATAGTTGCCTTTTCGCAACCAATTTTAATTTGGTTGTAAGGTTTTGGCTGCAAAAACTAGTTTTTGTTGTAGTGCAATCCTGTCTCCAGTTATGGTATTTGCCAAAACGGTCTTAAAAAACCGGGTCAATCCGGTCCGATTTTGACCGGACCGGATCGTTTCCCACCCCTAATAATTACCATGCCTGGTTCACGTTGTTGAATCGTGATCCAAATCATATTGGTCCATCAAATCGAACCATTGTCGGTTCGAGTTTGGTTCACCTCGCTGGACTAGTCTTGTCAACCTTGGTTGTGCAGATTTGATTGAGGGATTTGACCCATAACCAATCGGCTCATATCATATGGACTCCCAATTGGCCTTTTTGATTTATTTGACAACATAACCCAGCCCGGCCCAGTGCCACATTCGACCGAGAAATCCTGGCCCTCCAACTTCCTTTGACGCGTAGCGTAGAAGTCGGTGCCTTGTTGATCGCCGAAGTTGTCGTTGAGCTGCCCGTCGGGATCTGAGTTGATGTTATTTCCACGGCAAAAACTTACCGACGGAAATCCAACTTTGAGTGGTTGTCTGCCAAGCTGTGGAATCGCGGCTGTCGGAATGATAAAGCCATCCAGGACGACAGCCTTCATCATCTCCTTGTCCGCTAGCGGAGGCGGTGCTGGTGTGATCGGCTTGGCTGGGGGAGTGATTGACATATCTATCGTCGTGGTAGCCGGCGTGGAAGCCGTTCAAGCGCTTCAACCCGCTGTTTAAGGGCTTGATACTTGGCAGCGTCGGATTGCGAGATCAGCAATCAACGCTTGGAGTTCTGCAAACTGTTGAGTGATGACTTTAGCGAGGGTGTCCTCAATTGACGCCATTGCTTACGAAAGGGCCTCTAAGGTATTTATGGCCATTGGTCGGCGAACGGTCGTTGCGGTGGACTCCAAAAGCTTGATGCGGAGATGAGGTCGCGTTGTGGAAGGCCTTTGCTTACAATAAACAATTCCCTACCAAGAACGCTCTGCTGGTGCAAAAAAATAAGGAATAATAATTCATTTTCCTTGTGGACAGTAATCCCTTAGTGGAGATGTGTGATTGTTGTGTTCTAGGCTTTGGGAGTTGGACTTGTGAGTGGTGGATGGAGGGTAGTGTGAGGTGGATTGTGATGTAGGGGAAGGGTGAGTAACGGGGCTCTGATATCAAATGATAGAAAATTATTTTTATGGATCTATCGATTGAGTTGGGAAATTGGGGATTGATAGAAATTGGGATTTGGGGATTGATGGAAATTGGGAAGCTGGATATGGTTATTGGATCTGGATGGTTGCACGTGAGTTCATATTGCAATTTGGATGGAATTGCTTTGGTCGTTGGATATAAAGTAATTTGATTTCTTGGGACTAATTGGTATTCCTGTTTTGATTGTTTGGTAATGGTGGAGATGAAAAGGTTTCCTGCTGGGAGTTGTTCAAGTTCGTTTCTGTTTGGTATACAACCATAGGTTTCGTCTCTTTGGTTTTGATTTTGAAGGTGTTGTTCGGAACATTTTAGTTTGAGATATTGTTCGGAATATCTCAATTTCATAAATGTTGTTCGGAACAATTTTGGTTTTATTTCTGTTTCGATGATGCTATTCAGAGCATCCTGATCGCCATGTTGTTGTTCGGAGCACGTGGTTCTGGTTCCGTTTCGATGATGTTGTTTGGAGTATCTTGATATATGTGTTACTGTTCGGAGTATACATGGTTTTGTTTCCGTGACAACAAAATTTACAGGTCACTGCTCATTCTTATGTAGTATCTTCCTTCTTGATCGTCACTTGGTTTGTCGCTTCCTTCTATGCGGACTTGTGGCGAGTGAACAGTTATTTTGTTGGCACTTGGTTCGACGGACTTGACGACTTTGGCAAGAACTTTCGTTTTCTCCAGCTTATCACCATCGACGTTTCACGAGGCATTGGACATGGTCTTTATCGACATCGGAATATTTGGCGGAGCAATCATGTTTTTCATTGTTTTTTGTTGTCACATTGTTCGTAGTAATTTGTGTCGTTTTTGTTTCGGCCTTCAAATTGTTGGTAATTAATTACCATCAATTTGGGGAGGGTATTAGAGTATGTGTAGTACGAGTAGTATTGTGTTATACTACGAGTACTCTTATGTAATTGGTCAAGATTATATTCCTTATCGTAGTCGTATTAATGGTAAGGTTATTATAAAAGTCAGTCTCTGTAATCTATACCCTATATGGTTTAAGTAATAATAACAACACTTTCCACCTAATTCTGATTTATCAACACGTTCGTCATCCTTGCGTGCCTCCACTGGCGGTGTTCCTCGCCGGCGCGAGCCCTCTTTTATCGATTCACCTCGACGGCCGGCGGGGCATACGTTTACACATGAAAAACCAGCATCTGCCGGGATATGTTCGAAACGATGGAGTTAGATTTAGCGTCGAGACTCCGACACTCCGTCGCTACCTTCCCACGCACAAAATTACTTATATATAACCGGCTTTGGTAGGAGGATATATCCCGTCCGGCTACAACTATTTCCCGATGACCAATATAAAGATTTATTATTATTATTTTAATTATTTTAAAATTCAGGAGATACACGGTGAAAATTTTAATCTTTTTCATTTTTATAATTAGAAATGAGGTGGAAAATGGAAAAATAAAATTTTATTTATTTTATTATTTTTTAATTGCCACGTCACACATTTAACGGTCAACTTTTAGAGTTGACCACCACATAAGTAAAAGTGAACGGAATTGGACGGAGAGTGACCAAACTTGAAATGTTTAACTAATTTTAGTGATTACGAATGAAATTAAGTAATTTTAGTGACCATACATGAATGTTTTTAGTAATTACAGTGACCAATTTTGCAATTTACCCCTCATGAATCACGAGCGTATGGATCAATTGAGATAGGGTGTTGCGAGCCACATGCACGTCCATCCAAACAAAACCCTTCGATTCCCTCGATACAATGAACAAAGCTGGGCTAACTGCTGAACTTCTCCCCTTCTTGCCGGCGCATCGGATTCTCCTAGTCCTATATATGTGTATATATATAGAAAACTAAAGCTTATTATAACGTCCCTACAGCTTCTCTCTCGCATCGGACACGGAAAACCCGTCCGGCCATATGCATCTCACTTCCTCAATGACTACTAATGGTGGTGGTAAGGATGTTAATACTATACGAGTGAAGGCTACGGTTAACAGGGAGAAGAACTCGGTTCAATTCATCGAAGGCGATGCAGAACTCGTCGACGTACTGCTGAGCTATCTGACGATGCCCATTGCCACCATCATCAGCCTCTCCCGCAAGCATATGCATCCACCGGTGATAAGGTTCGCTGCCTTGGACAACCTGTACCGCAGCGTCGAGAGCCTCGAGTTGAATCACTTCAGAACCCCGAGATGCAAGAATATGCTGCTCCGCCCACGAAACGGCGCCGCTGCTTACTGCCAGTATCTCAAGCTCAACATCGAGCTGGATGACCCCGATGATGAAAAGCAACCCTCCTGCTGCTGCTTCTTTCGTTGCGATCCGTTGGAGAAATACTACTGCACGAACACACTATTCACCTACGACGAATATGGTGCTTGTGGGTGCTGTAGGGAAACGACTCGCAAGGTTCCTTTGTCGATCGTGCAGAAGGATGGTCTGTTCGTGAAACGACTATGTAAGCTCACAATAACCGACGATTTACAAGTGAAACCGGCTTCCACCGCAGAAACCATTTCGCTCCTTTCCGAGCTCAGCTTCGGTGATGCCAACGTCCTCGATGAGTTATCTTTCGATTTCGGCGTCAGCGAGGCCTTGGATCTGTTAAAGCTGTGTTTGGCGTCCAAGACGCCTCTCTCGGATCTTCTTCTTAATAAGCCCAAAGGAGCATACAAAGAGTTGAGCAGTACCGGAAGCTTTGGCTCTCTTGCTCATCATCCGCGAGTTGAAGCTACACCAGCAGCAAATCATGTGAACGCTAGTACTGACTCGGGACCCTGTATCAAGCTCGTGTACAGCAAAACCAAGAAGAGGGTTCTGTACGCGGAAGCTGGTGAAGATTTTGTCGACTTGCTCTTCAGCTTTCTCATCGTTCCCCTTGGCCATATGTTCAAGCAAACGGCCGAGGCCGTCGACGTTCATGACAGTAGTACTTCTGGTTTCTTGATCCCGTGCATGAAAAACCTGTACAAGAGCGTGCAGGATCTTGTAGCCAAGGACTATCTCGTGGCTGGCAGAGATGGGGTGTTGTTGCGCCCTGTGCTTGCTGCCCGTTAAGGCTACCCAAACCATCCGCTAGGCCTTGAAGAAGTCTCATATTTTGTTAGGCATGCTAATAACAAATACTGGGCTTCTGTTCATCCCGTGGAAGGAAGAAGCTGCGACGTCCAGCCAACACTCGCTATCAGAGACCCTAAATTGTCGACGAATGTGAGGGAAGTAGGAGCAGTGGCTGCGGGCTACGTGTCGCCGTCAATGTACACCATCACCGATGAACTCAACGTATCGTCTATATCACCAGCGGCAACCCTGGCTGTGTTGCGCAAACACAACGTATCATTCTCTGAACTTGAGGATCGCACTGTACGTGTGGGTACACAAGAGGTATCGTGCTTACTCTCGAGATATCGTTATCTGATAACTACAATACTGTGTTTGATTAATTAATATGAAGGAATAGAAAAAGTTGTATTGTCTTCAGAGGAGACAAAACACCTAAGTTATGTATTTATGTATTTTTGTGCTCATTAACGTCATTTTATACTTATTCGCCTAATATGTACTATACTTGTTCGCTTACGGGTATAAGTTATTTATGTAAATCAAAATTCATACTTTTTCCTCTAATAATGTGTATTTGCTATATTTTATAGAATTAAAATTATATTCTCAATTAATTTGTAGAAATGGGCTGCATTGATCATAATCTGCACAATGAAATTAATTTTGATATATTTTAAAGTTTAAATTTTGATTTTACAATGACTGTGTGGTTGGGTCTCTCCCGACCCGCACCCATGCAGACACCCAAAAAAAAATAACAATATGGGTGAATAAAAATCATGTTACGTAACTAAATAATATTGGTTGTGTGAATAATCTATACTTTTACGTGAATAACGCCTATATAACATGATAAACTCAAATTTATGTGAATAAATGAAAAAAAAATACATGAATTAGATATTTTGTGTCTAGAAAACTTTATTCGTCTTATAAACATTAGTTTTAATCAAAATTTCTACCTTTTGGCAGGCATATCGTCTCTTGGTGGCATCTCTCACTTCAGACTCTCCTCTAACCGCTGTTTTCTTTGGACAACTGAATGATTGCCCATTAGCTTCATCGGGTGTTCCTGGTCTCGGAATGAAATCATCTTGAAAAGAACGAGCTTGAGTGATATTGTCCTTTCTATCCAACATTTTTTTCTTTTTGCAGTTATCTCTTGTTGTCGTGTGACATCTTTCTCGTTCTCTTAGAACATGAAACTATATGTTGCTATCCTATTGCCTTTTTAAGAGTTTTTTGTGTTCAATGTCTGACATTCTGCTTTATTCTCCTCTTGATCTTCCATTCCTGAAGGCTATGCCCTGTTAGTTAGTATTAAAACACTAAACGTATACGAAGAGAAAGAAGAAAACTCAACACGCGATTTATGTGGTTTTCCCGATGTCGTGACTAGTCCACGGGAAAGCTAAAACTCTCCAAGCTATACGTCTTATTAGGTTTTCTTGATCCTTTACACTAGAGTCCCTATACATACATACATACACACATACATACATACATACATACATACATACATACATACATGCATGCATACATACATATAGTGGCGTCTTCAGTGCACTCACTTTTTTGGGTGTATTCAGTGCACTCGCTTTATAATCGTCATTTTAAACATGAGATTTATGTCAAAATGATGTCAATCATCACTTATGATGTGATGAACAATAACGCACATGAATTTGCACAAAAACCATGAAAGATATGCTTTAATTTGAAGGATTTAGAGTTTAAAGATCTAGGGTTAGGGACTTAGGGTTAGGATTTACAGTTTGGGTTTTAGGGATAGAACTCAAAATTGGAGGTCTAGGGCTTAGGGTAATCCGCTAATTAGTTGTTATCATATGTTATATCATCATATTATACTAATTCTACAAATTAAAATTCAAAATCCGACTCATTAAGACTAGTTTTTGAGTTGGGTGCATTGAACGCACTCATTTTTGTGAGTGCGGCGAAGTAGTCACCATATATATATATATATATATATATATATATATATGGTTGCGTCTTCGGTGCACTCACTTTTTTGGGTATTCAGTGCACTCGCTTCATAACCGTCATTTTAAACATGCAATTTATGTTAAAATGATGTCAATCATCACTTATGATGTGATCAACAATAACACACATGAATTTCCACAAAAAATCATTAAAGATTTATTTTAATTTGAAGGATTAGAGTTTAGAGATTTAGGATTAGGGTTAGGATTTATAATTTGGGATTTATAATTTTACTTAATTAGTAAAATTAACTGGATGGTCAAGATTATTAACTAGCGGTCTATCCGCCATGTCGCTATCCAATCGGCATATTTTGATTTAAAATATTTATATTTTTCATAAGTTATCAATCCATGTCGCTATCCAATCGGCATATTTTGATTTAAAATATTTATATTTTTCACAAGTTATCAATTTTCATATTTAGTTTGACTAAAATGAAAAAATATAATTTTAAGCGATGTTTTATATCTCCTAGCTCCACCTTGTCCCCTCCATGTTTTGAGTGGGAAATATAAAGCTTGGGTTCCAACAAATTTACGTTGTTTATCTAAACTCAATATCATAAGAAATTTTGTGTGGGATACAAAATAATGTAAATTTTTAACGAGGAAAGAACAAATCAATGTCTGTGAGTCTGTCTAGCTAGTTCATGCTTCTAATGAGCTGGGAAGAGCTTGTTAAGGCAGCAGGGCAAGGAATAGAACTCGTCACTCCTTATATCCGAGCTGCACTGAATGAACTTGTCCCACCATTTCATCCCACTGTCTTTCCTCGTATCCTCGCCGGTGGTCTCGCCGGTGAGAGTGCAGTCCAAGAACAAGGCGATCAAGGCAGCTACTGTTGTGTGGGACATGAAGATGATCACCACTATATCATGGAACTGTCACAAAAAGAACACAAAAATAGGTCGATCTCTACTCCTGATTTTGTGGGTCCAGCACGTACTGATATCGTTGGGTCAAGTCCTCGTGATATCAATCGCGTAATGAGCGATTAATATTGCAGGGCGATTTAACATGATCATCCCAATTTGAATGTGCAAGGTGGGGCATGGTGGGCATACTTACCCATCTGGAACCAGAGCGAGGATGAGAAGTGAGTTGGAAGTACTCTTTGAAGTATTGTGGGATGGAGATGCCCATGAAGAAGGAGAAGCCCAGGATGAATTTTGTTCTGAAACTGTTGAGGTTGCAGTATTGAAGAAAGCCAAGCCCTGATGATGCTGTGATCAGGTTGATATAGAATTTGTCAAAGCTTAGTAGCCTAGGTTGAGTGTTGAGCAAACAAGAAAGATAGGGTTTTTTGTACTTACAGACATAGCAGAAGAGGATGCAGTATGTGCCTGCCATGATTGGCATGGTTATGGATGCAAAAAAGGCTCCAAATTTACCAAATACAGAGAAGAAAATCATGAATCCTGCTGATATCTGGATTACCCTTCTGCTCCCAACTTTAGTAAGAGCTAGCAACCCTGCATTTTCCCTTCATAACAACAACAAATTTCCCACTCAGAAAGACCCCATTGACAAAAAGAGATCAAATCTACAAAGGTAAGTAGAAGTATGAGGTTGATTGTAGACTGCAATATAGTTACACTGATGCTGTAAAGCCAGTCACATTGCCAAATACTCCATTCAGCAGGACTCCAAATCCCTGAAGAATCCCAACAATAATAAGAACCCTATAAATCAGTACTAAGTGGAAGTTGGAGAAGGAAAGAAGGAAAAAAAACTCACCAGCCATCCAGTGCCACGGCTGACAACTGAAGGAGGGACCGGTGGGCACTACCATATCTAGCTGTTGCATAAAATGTACCAGTTGACTACAATTCGAACACAAATTCGTTAGCTTTTTTCTGATGCAGAGGTGATAAACAGAGAAGGCTGTCTATCCAGCCTTTACCTCAGACAGAGAAACAAAGGAAGCAGCCATCATGGCGAAAGCTTCTCCGGCCTTAAATGTTGGGCTTCCCCATTGAAATGGTGAAGGAATGAAGACCCTGCCAAAGAAGAGTGTCAAACACCATTACCAGAAACACAAAATATAGTTGGTTTTGAGAGTTACCAAGGAGCTGCAGAGACGAATCCAGATCGATGCGTGCGACAACTCAACTGGGTGACAACAGATTTGTGGTCATAGACTCCACTCGATGTCAAGAGCTGAGCAAACATCCATACTATAGGGACCGAGAATAGCAGCCCGGATCGATCACAGAGTGGCCTCTTAAACTTCACATAGTGTGGAAGATACTGCAATTATTTATTGTCACGAAAGCAGTAAATTGGCTTGTAAATGTGAAGGAAGGAGAACAAAGGGAATATTGACCTGAGATGGGAACAAGTTATAGTCTACCTGAGTGATGAACACCACTATGATGACTTGTGGAAGCCCAATCTCCACACATCTTGCCAACTACAATAGAAGGTGAAGAATGAACTACAAATGTAAAGAGATTCAGACCCAATATTGCATGCATTATATCATGGAAATAGATTCAGGATTGCTTACAGCAGGGAAACCAAGATAATAGAGTCCAAGCCCAGCAAATGTTACACATGGAGCAATAGAAAGTGGGCTGAGAAATCTGTGATAAAGATAATCAAGCCATGAGATAGAAACACATGGAAGTAAATTCTACAAGGGGGAAAGAAGAGAGGAAGGAAGGAAGCAAGTAACCTGGCAGTGTTTCTCCATATACCCAAGAACCCCATGACTACTTGGAAGCAGCCAGTGATGATGAGAGAACCCTGGATTGCTCTCATTGTATGCAGAAACCTCTCATGATGGTTTGTAATGGACCGGAATCGATCGGCAGTGACGATGGAGGTGATTGGTATGACATAGGCAAAGGAAGCAGATGCAATGGATGGAAGCCGGGTACCGAATAGTGTCTCCAAGAGAGTGGTCACTCCTGATATGAACAGCAATGTCTGTATCACTCTCACCTTCTCAAACTACATTGCAACACAAGGGAAAAAAACAGTCTCAGTCCCTCATTAACATCAAACGAGAAAGAAAGATGATTAATGTGAGAGAGTTACATTCCCGCCGCCCATTTGAGGAACAATCATGGTGGGTATCAGGACAGTGAGGCCAAGTGTGAGAAGATAGTGCTGGAATGCAAGCACAATTGCTTCAGCTGCAAGTTATATCAAGATTGTCAACATATACGCACGGTTTGGACAATTTGGATTAAGGAAACTTGGGAGACAAGAAAGGAAAAGGGAGGGGGAGATGTATACGCCATGGAGGAGGGCTGTTGATGCAGTATTGGACTCCTAGTAGTTGTTCCTTCACCGGATGTGGCTGTAACTGCTCTGGCTTCTTGTTGTCATTAGCCATTTTTCGACCTTTGGATACACTCAGCTCGAGAATCACAGGGGAAGGAGAAATTTAGAGGCTACAGTAAAGCTAGGATAGACGTCAGACGATGAAGAAGAAGAAGCTAGCTAGAGGAAGAGACGTTGGTTGGTTCTTTGCTGCAAGCACATCGTTGCTGGGTTTTGAATGGGGAAAAGGATGAAAACGTCTCCTTCAAGGCATTCATTTCTTATCTCTTCCTATTTAAAGTCACAATTATGGGGGGTTTAAGAAGTTAATTAAAACGTTCAAACTGATTAGTGCAAAGACAAGTTATGCATTTTCAATTATTTGTTCAAATTGACTAGCATGCAAAGCTAGATCACTCGGCATTGCTCTGCTGATAGGAAATGCTCACGTAGGAAGACAAATAGTCTTTTTTTTTTATTCGTGTTGTTAACTAATAAGTCTACGAAATTCTTCCTTAATAATTATTAATTAATATACTACGTAAAACTTATGGAAGGAATTTATCGAATTATTTTGTAAATAATTTTATTTCAACAAAATTACAAAATAGGTGGGTGACATACTGACATTTTAAATATAATAGGTTTCATATTGTCCTGAAGCATTGGCCAAAAATCTAACTCTTTATGATTTATCAAACAATGTATTTTTAGTTGTAAAAATAAAATATTATTATTAGAAATCACATAATCTTAATGCATGCATTTTTAAAATAAAAAATTTCCAGTTGACTCCTAAAATGAATAAAAAGAACAGATCATCCCCTCCTCTACGTTTGTCTAAATTCTAACTAATAATTGCAATTTTCTTTCACATGCAATGCAAAAAGGTATCGTATCTATCACAAATCATAATTTCTGTTGACATAACTAACATGTTTTTCCCTTCACAATGTGGAAATGAAGTACTAGTGTACTACTAGAAATTAGAACTTCAAACAATAGAAAAGGACTTCACAACTGCTTGGAAAATCAACCCAAAATGGGTAAATCTGGTTTCTTTTCTGAAAGAAAACAGTATACATAGATAATGACGGTTTATAGTATTAAATTTATAATTAATTTGCTAATTAGTAATTAGTTTTTTTTGGTCGAATAATTAGTAATTAGTTCATTACACACAGAGACACCCGTTAATTATAATTCCCATCAGACTTTTTTGTTCTTCAGCCATTGCCAGTCACAGAAAATTCACCAATGGCGATTGTCGTCCGCAGCGCTTGACTTAGAAGACTCGGACGTCCGACACTTTCCCTTCGGACTTTTCACCGTCTAATCCTCCATGGATGAACACCACCCCTAGATCATTAATCCACCGGCAGACACTCCATTACTCAGATCTCTGTTGCTCTCCTCCTCCCATCTGTTTCCCGGAGTGAGATTTTTTACACAGACATGCCGTTGTCTTCTTACATTGGTTCTCGCCGGGGAGGAGGGAGCGGGGGCCGGCCCCAGTCATCGTCGATTCTACCGACCTCTGCGTCTTCTGCTTCTCCAGCCAAGTCGAAGCTGCCATCGAGAAAACCTAGAAAGCGCGGGGTTGTGATCAACTTCCTCTTCACCAACTTCTTCACAATCTCGCTCTCGATCTCGCTCCTCTTCCTCTTCTTCACCATCGTCCACTTCGGCCTCCCCAAGCCCCTCTTCTCCACGACGTTCAAATCGCGGGCGAGTCCCGTCCGGCAGCAGCGGAAAGCGACGGGCGGCGGCGTCAGGAGGAAGCCGGTTGAGAACGATGTGAGTAAAGGTGCTACTGTGGATTTGACTACCAAAGCTTTGTACGATAAGATCGAATTCGAGGATAAGGACGGCGGGCCCTGGAAGCAAGGGTGGAGAGTGAGCTATAAAGGGGATGAGTGGGATAGTGAGAAATTGAAGGTTTTCGTGGTGCCTCATTCGCATAATGATCCTGGTTGGAAGCTCACTGTGGATGAGTATTATGAGAAGCAGTCCAGGCATATACTCGACACCATTGTTGACACACTTTCGAAGGTGATCATTTTGATTTCCCCCTTATTGTTCTCTTGGTATCCAATTATTGGTTCACTTTGATGAGCATTAGATCTTCTGAAACTGCTACGTTAGGTGGAGGTTATTTAAGTGCTGGTTACGTGTGAGAAACTAGTTTCTGGTAAGGGGACTTTAGACAGCTTGAGAGTTCACTTGACTATGGTAGTTAAACAGGTGCCAAATGCATGACAATTTCTGGTGTTCACCTTATGGGGGTGAAGTGCATTGTTGGTGACCTAAACCTATATGTATATTGGGCGTTTCTTGTAATTAGCTTTGTTTCTCTTTGCTGTTTATGATGAGTTTGTGTTTGGGTGAGTGATTCGGAATCATTTTGTTATTGGATTGATTTGGGTTGGGACTTGTAGGACCCTCGGAGGAAGTTCATATGGGAAGAGATGTCTTATCTGGAGAAATGGTGGAGAGATTCATCTGAGGAAAAAAGAGCATCTTTAACCGAACTGGTTAAGAATGGCCAGTTAGAAATTGTAGGGGGTGGTTGGGTGATGAATGATGAGGTACATGATTGAAATAACTGGGGATTGACATCCCTCTTCACTTTTTTTCCAGCAAGTAAGGTGATTGTTTCCCTTTCTTGATAATGGGTATTTGGCTTCTTTGTGTGATGCAGGCGAATTCCCATTTCTTCTCAATAATTGAGCAGGTATGTGCTAATGCCCCATGTTACCTTGAGATACTTCTGCGTATGGGTTAAGAAATGAACTTTGAGTTTATATTTCGTGCAGCAATGCATTTGGTACTTGCTCTTTAGTTTTATTCTTTGCATTGTGAAAAGGAGTAGCATTATAGGTTCAACAATAAGCACCAGTGAATGTTTCTTTCATAGAGAACCCTACAATGCTTTCTTGAATCCCTTTCCCATTCCTCATCTTAGCAATGGTCAACTTACTGCTGTTCTTTCCTCGTAAGTTAAATAAAGTGATGTTAGCTGGTCATAAGAATCAACCTGTACTGACTCTTGCATTAATTTTCCAGAAAGATACAGTGCTTTGATATGACTAATTTCCTTTATTTTTCTGCTGGTGCATGACTTTGGACTTTGTTTGTTTGTATTCCACTAAGTGGTTGCTGTGTGCTCGATAGCTGTTGGTGTTCTTTTTCAGTCTGGATTGTCATTGGTATACTTGTACTTTTGTGCATGAAAATGTTCTGGTACATCAATATCTGCTTCATATGTATTTTGTATTCATAAAAAAAAATCGGTGTTATCGTGCAGATGTTTGCAAATCAGGATTGTGTTCATACCTTATGCTTGAATGATATGAAACTATATTAACTGATTAGCTCCTTGAATTTTTTGCAACAGATTACTGAAGGAAATATGTGGTTGAATGATACTATTGGTGTTATTCCTAAGAATTCTTGGGCAATTGATCCCTTTGGATACTCGTCTACTATGGCATATCTCCTTCGTCGTATGGGGTTTGAGAATATGTTGATTCAGAGGACCCATTATGAGCTCAAGAAGGAACTTGCTCTGCACAAAAATCTGGAGTTTGTATGGCGACAGAGCTGGGATGCAAGCGAAACAACTGATATCTTTGTGCATATGATGCCTTTCTACTCTTATGATATCCCGCATACTTGTGGCCCTGAACCTGCAATCTGTTGTCAGTTTGACTTTGCCCGAGTCCACGGCTTTTTCTATGAGTTATGCCCATGGCTCCAGAATCCAGAAGAGACCACTCCAGAAAACGTGCACGAAAGGGCTACATTGCTGCTAGATCAATACAGGAAGAAGTCAGTATTATACAGAACCAATACTCTGCTGATTCCTCTTGGTGATGATTTCCGATACATAAGCAATGAAGAAGCAGAGGCCCAATTTCGTAATTACCAAATGTTGTTCGACCACATCAACTCCAACCCTAGTCTGAATGCTGAGGCAAAATTTGGTACTCTGGAGGATTACTTCCAAACTCTTCGAGATGAGTCCGACAGAATCAACTACTCACTTCCTGGAGAAGTTGGATCTAGTCAAGTTGGAGGGTTTCCTTCTCTATCAGGTGACTTCTTTACTTATGCTGATAGGGAGAAGGATTACTGGAGTGGCTACTATGTTTCACGGCCTTTCTTCAAGGCTGTTGATCGTGTTCTAGAGCAAACATTACGCGCTACTGAAATGATGGTGGCTTTGTTCGTCGGTCATTGTCAAAGACAGCAGTGTGACAAGTTGGTCACAGGGTTTAGCTACAAGTTGACAGCTGCCAGAAGGAACTTAGCTCTGTTTCAACATCACGATGGGGTAACCGGTACAGCTAGGGATCATGTCGTTCATGACTATGGAACACGGATGCATACCTCTTTACAAGACCTGCAGATTTTCATGTCGAAAGCTATTGAAGTGCTTCTCGGAATGCACATTGAGAAGCTTGATCAGAATCCGGCTAAGTTTGAATCAGAACAAGTGAGGGCCAAGTACAATGCTCAACCAGTGCGTAAATCCTTGAGTCCTCGCGAGGGAACTGCCCAGTCGGTGGTTCTCTTTAACCCCACGGAGCAAACAAGAGAAGAGGTTGTGATGGTTGTTGTGAATAGACCAGAAGTCACCGTTCTGGACTCCAACTGGACTTGTGTTCCAAGTCAAGTCTCTCCTGAGATGCGGCATGATGGAAGTAATGTGTTCAGTGGCCGCCACCGTCTTCACTGGAAAGCTTCTGTTCCAGCAATGGGCCTCGAAACATACTATATCGCTAATGGCTTCGTGGGATGTGAAAAAGCTCGACCAGCAAAACTCAGGTACTATTCTACTTCTTCCAGTTCCTTCTCTTGCCCCTCACCGTATGCTTGTTCGAAGACGGAAGCTGAGTTTGCTGAAATCCAAAACCGAAAACAAGTTCTCACCTTCGACGTCAAGCATGGGTTGCTGCAGAAGGTACAACATAAGAACGGCTCCACCTATTTAGTTGGAGAAGAAATAGCAATGTACACTAGCTACGGCAGTGGGGCCTACTTATTTAGACCCATCGGAGATGCTCAATCCATCATTCAGAACGGTGGGATTACAGTCATTACCGAAGGCCCACTAATGCAGGAGCTTTTCTCGTACCCATACACAGCGTATCATCGGCATCCCGTCTCCCACAGTACACGTGTCTACAACGGAGGTGGTGATACTGTACAAGAGTTCGCTGTAGAGACTGAGTATCATGTTGAGCTTCTTGGCGACGAGTTCAATGACCGCGAATTGATTGTCCGGTACAAAACGGATGTTGATAATGGGAAGGTATTCTACTCGGACTTGAATGGGTTTCAGATGAGCCGCAGGGAAACTTATGACAAGATTCCACTGCAAGGAAACTACTATCCCATGCCCTCGCTTGCCTTCATTCAAGGATCCAAGGGTCACAGATTCTCCGTTCATTCCAGACAGTCTCTAGGTGTGGCAGGTCTTAAAGACGGATGGTTGGAGATTATGCTTGACCGTCGGTTGTTGCGAGATGATGGCCGTGGGCTCGGGCAGGGGGTGACAGATAACCGGCCAATGAATGTTGTATTTCACTTGCTCTTCGAGTCCAATGTTTCAACCACATCAAACCCAGTCAGCATCCCGCTTCCTTTGAGCCCATCTCTTCTATCACACCGCATTAATTCACACTTGAACTACCCTTTATTTGCCTTCATCTCCAAGGGATCAGAGGAATTATCTCTTCAGACGCACGGCAGATCATTCTCTCCTCTATCTGCTTCACTGCCGTGCGACTTACACATTGTGAACTTCAAAGTTGCTCGGCCAGCATTGTTTTCCCATGAACTCGGCGGAGATCCAAGGCCTGTCAGAGATCCGAGGTTCATTCTGATCTTTCAGAGGTGGCATTGGGATGATTCCTACTGCCGCAGAGGCGGCTCGTTGCAGTGCACGAGGATGGCCGATGAACCGGTCAATCTTTTCAACATCTTCGAGGGGTTCTCAGTGTCAAAGGCTGAAGCGACATCTTTGAATCTCCTTCATGATGATGTCGAGATGCTCGGGTATAGTGATCAGGCTGGACAGGTTACTCGGGATGGTCGTGTTGCCATCTCACCTATGGAGATTCAAGCTTACAAGTTAGAGTTGCGGCCCAACCTGTAGAGCAAGAAAAGGATGTCCTGAGTATAACTGTTCTTTCAGTGCACCATTTCCGAACATGATCATCGGAGCTTCAGAGGCCTCATGTATACTCCAACATCGCAGGCAAGCGAGCGACAGGTGCTGTATGGTGAAGGGTAAGTATGTCTCATTTTCTCGGAAGGACGCGATGTCCATGAAAGCAGCACGTCAAGTTAGATTGGAGGTTGAATGATCAGGATTGATTCTCTCTTGTGCGGAAGGGGAAAATAGTACTCCTTTTCTCTCGTTTGTACACAATAGCTCGAAGAAAATTTTGAGGTATCAATTTGGGGAGACCTAACTTGTACTTTGTGTGTCTCCCTTCCAGAACTATAGGTTACCAGTTTTGTGTGCTTAATAGGGCAAGTTATGAATTTCTTTTGCTTTCTCCCTCGCATATCGTTCCTCTTCTTGTACATTAGATAGACTTTGAACTCCGAGTTCTTACGAAAATTCATGCATACATTGAGATGATTTTGCGAGGAAATTTTAGCTCGAGATTTGCTTTAGCAAGGTGAACCTTTCTCCTTTTCACCACTTTAAGATTACTAACAAAATCAGTCACTGTACTTGATCTAAGATGATACTTGTAGACGAAGAAAGGACTGTTATGCTACTTTGTAACTGATACAAGACGGGAAAACTGAAACCAAATTAATACACCAATCGTAACCTAGCTAGCGACTAAACAATAGTTAGTGGCTAACTTAAGTCAAGTTAAACGACTAATGATTTTACCCGGAGCATCAAACCTTCTGCCTCTGTTTGCTTTTCTGTATCTTTAAAGATCATAATGTAATGAATCACTCCTCATCCCAACAAGAGAAAACACGAGTCAAGAAAAGGGTTTCCTGTTTTCAATCTATAGTTTCGGTCCACGACATAGCTGAAAGATTGCGTCAACAAGATCCACCATTAGCCTTTCGAGAGTGAGCCAAAGTAGAAACCATAACCCGAATCAGCTGCTACTGTCTGTTTTACAAGATGATCTCCTCTTGGACACTGACATTAATCGCCTTGTTTGGAAGAACTATGCAGCTCGTCACCACTACTTCATCTTCCACAGTCACAGCTTCTCCTGCAATTTCGAAAGTATCATCACATGTATTTCGAACTGGATTCATCCATCAAAAGAAAATAGACAAAGAAGGGAGACCAAGCAGAGAGAATACCAAGGAGTGATATTCCAAGCTTCGAATTATAATTTCCATCACCCTGAACTCTTGCCCATCTTCCCAAAGACGATTTCCAGCCCACAATAGAATTAATGACAACTGCATTTTCCTGTCAGATTGTGTGTACATCACTTATAGTTAAGTCATCTGTTCGATAAAGAGTTTCGTGTGTTAATCAAGCATTCATGGTTTCAGAAACGGTACCTTAAGCTCAACATCATCCAAGATTATCGAATTTATCAGCCGCACTCCTGCTCCTACTCGAACATTTGCTGAAATAGAGACATTCGGACCAATCTATACAAATGACCAACCCAACAAATGAGACGTTAATCCTGTGACTAACTGAAGAAGAATTAAGCAAGAGAATTTGTACAAATAAGCAATCTAGAGCAGTAGTAACCAAGAGAAGTTAATTTAGTACCTCACTAGATTTTACTCAGAAATAATGGATCTGCACAACAATACCTTTGCTGTAGGATGCACTTTTGCAGATGGATGAACATACACTTCGCCTACAGTTTTGGCCTTCTTTGTTCCATCTCCACTAGCCAAAAGACCCGGAGCTGTAGCACGAAATCGGGAGAGATACAATGCCGAACATTTCAAGGAAATCCTGCAACATTTTAGACAACGATCAGAAACCTGTACTGTTAGGTCCACGCCCCAAAGGGCTATAGTTAAAAGGTATGATAAAGTCTATGATCGCCCTTACCCAGGAGCTTTTATTTGTTCCCAGAAATCTGTTGTTTCATATGTATACAATTGTTTCTTTCCAGCTAGGGGAGACAATATATCTTGATCCAACCTTACGAAGCCCTTTGGAACACTGATTCTGATAATCATTTGTAGATGTCGGATTCAAAAAGCAATGAGCATTTGTTCCTTGCAAGTTACAATAAGGATGAGGCTGATGATAAGATAACCAAACCTTGTGGAAGAGTATAAAGACTCAAAGCTGGTGTCACGGAGGGGATTGGCTGTCATTAACAACATTGCAGGTCAAAAGTTAGGAGCTGTAAAAGTTCAAAATTGCCTACCAAGCTAAACAATTAATCCAATATCCAATCACTATAAAAACCACCTCTGTCTTCTCGGTTTGCGAACACACTTTCAATTGCAGTAAAGATATCCGGTGTAAATACATAGACACCGCAGTTTATCAGATCGCTGACCTGCATTCATATGGTATAGGAAAATTAACTCAACCAAGAAATAAAACACTATGCATAATGCAAACTACAGCAAGCACATACAAATGTCTCAGGTTTCTCTGTATAATGCAACAGCTCTTTCGTATTCGGATCTGCAACAAGTTCACCAAATTGATTTGCTGATTCAGCAGAAACCTTGATCACAAGTAGCGTTCCCATCCCACCATATTTTCTATGAGCCTCTGAAAATTTCCAAAAATTGGAAAGAAAGGGTTACTGAAAGAATAGTATACTAAAGGGATCAAGCTTCTCAGTAGCAGTTAGCCAACTGTTGAGAATTACATAAAATGACAGGATCACCGGAATAAATATTACTTACCAAGCATGTCTGGCAATGGAAAGCTGCAGCAAACATCACAATTCAGGAGAAAGATATGCGACTGTCAAACAAAGCAGATATACAATGCAAAAAATCCTCTTTTAGAGATATATATTCTTTACATTCGCATTAGAGAAGAAGAGGTGAACTGATGAAAGAACTCAAACTGGACTATCTTCCATGATAACGTCTCTAAAATAATAAAGACCCCCAGCTGAACCATGTGGCTTGTCTTCTTTCAAGTACCTGGGGTGATGAAATGAACCAAACCCCAATAAGCAAAAGGACATCAGAAGAAATCCACATTTTACTTTTCACAATGCTACAACTTGGGAACACAAGAAGGGAGCTTGTAGGCTTTACCTCACTGGAACTTGGAGTTCATTGGAGATGGAAGAAACATACAGAGTGAATTCCTTCTCCTCATAGTATCCAATAAGCAGAATTCGAGCCAAGTTCCTAATCTAAAAACCAACAGCAATGAGAACCCAGATAGTCAATTTCCCTCACGAGAGGAGGGCACAAGGGAAAGAAGCCTGATTTACCCTTTTGCAAGCAGAAATGGGATGATGAACCATAGGGTGCCCAGCCAAGGGGAAGAGTGGCTCTGGAACGTTGAATGAGAGTGGTCTAAACCGTGTACCTACCAAAAACGAGAACCGCCCAAAAAAGATTCAAGATTTGATACTCTTGACTATGAATTTCGATTGAACAAGTAAGAATTCGATTCTTTGAACTAAGAAACAAGAGAAAAGGGATGTTCTTCATTTCAGATTCCAATACCTATGGTAGGTCCTCCAACCATGATAACTGCTACTACCATCTCCTCTGAACCTTCCATCCCGCAAATCGCAGAAGCAGGACAGGAAAGCCAGCACCAGCAAAATCACTTCTCCGAGACTCTGACTCTGCTGAGACTTGGAAGTCGCCGTCGGGCATAAATTACGGTGCCTGGGTAGCAACAGACTCGGGCCGGACTTGGCGGTCCAACCTCAAACGGACAGAACCCGAGCCGGCCCGACCGGTCGTACAGGTGTGTAGTGTTAACGATTAGAAAAAGCGCGTGAGCGTGACAAACCAAAAACCTACTCAGCAAAATCTCTCCACTGCGGCGTCTCAACTGCTTCACCTAACCATCGAAGATACTACTCTCTCTGTCGCCGTTCAGTTCCGGCGCTCCCTTCCGGCGACTACTCTCTCTGCTGCATCCACCTCCCGCCGTGTCTAGCCTCTGCGCTGTTGAAGCCCCTCACCCCCTTTACTCCGGCGCTCTGCGGCTGCTGCTTTCTTAGTTTTTCTCCTCTCCGGCGTAAGTTAATTTTTGTTCCTTTTCCGGCTTTCTTCTTCTCTCTCCTCTCTCCAGCTGAAGTTCGTCAGCCTCTGTCTCCCCGACTTATCTTCTGCTAATGGCAATGCACATGTATCGTGTATCCGATTATGCCCATTTCCCGGAGTTGAATTCGCAGTAAAATTAGGACGACAATTTGAGTTACAGTCGACAGCTTTTATTATAGGAAAAAGCTTAAGTTCGTATGAATCTGCTTATCTTGACAGTGATACCAAATGCGTATAACGCAGACTGATCAATCCAATTCCATGTATTGATGCTCTCCCAATTCTGTTGACAAACAAAACAACTTTTCCTTTCTCATCGTTACGTTACTGAGCTGCTTTCTTGGAAGTAGTCCCGAGCTCTACAGTCTTGGAAGCTCAGTACCTTAAGGGTAGCTGCGCTTTTAAAAGATCGTCATTTCTTAAACCTTGTGGAGTTCAGTTTCAAGTGTGTTTGCTATTTGGCAGAATTTGGAGCTAGGGGATATGAGTGCTGCTACTTTCAACTCTGTTTCCTGTAGCAGAGGATGCTGGTGGAAGGTTAGTAATGTTGTCTTTGCCCCAATACGAATTCCCTTTCTGTTTTCTTTTCCGTCTAGTCAAATGAGAGGCAAATGTACATTTTGATAATCGTACTGTTTAAGGATTCAGTTCTTCCACTTAAATGACTAACTTGGTATGTAAAAGGAACTGAAGACAGAATGCTTAAAACATCTGACATTGCTTCTCTCTCCGCGTATAAATGGATGTTAGGGAGATGGGAAAATTTGGACGACCAGCAAGCCTAATGGAGATTACCGGCTCAATGTGAAAAGGCACTCGGTAGTTTCCCCAAAAGGGTTGAGTATTTCATGTTCGAAGCTGGAGAAAGAAGTCCGTGTAGCTCTTCTAGGTGCTAGTGGATATACCGGTGCTGAGGTTTGTGTTTCTTTTTTCCTCATTTTGGATAGACTTAGGATGGTTTGTTGTAAATTGGAAGGGTTATCTGTTGGAATAAATATTAGGTTTAATTTGTGTCCAATCTGTTGAGCTGGCTGTAAACTGGAGCAAATTCTTTCCTATATGTCTATGTTTGGTAAGAATTACTGACAAGTGAAACTTGCTTCGTTGTTTTGTTGTTTCCGTGGGGCAGATAATCCGACTTCTTGCGAATCATCCTTCCTTCGGGATTGGTCTGATGACTGCTGATAGAAATGCTGGGAAATCAATTGAATCAGTGTTCCCTCACTTGGTTACCCAAAAGGTGCAAGTATATCTTGATTCTGAGTAACTATGAATGAGGATAAGGGAAATTAACACTTGTTCTGATAACCTTGCAGGATTTGCCGACTTTGATTTCCACTAGTGATGCAGACTTTTCAGATGTGGATGCTGTATTTTGTTGTTTACCTCATGGAACTACACAGGTACATCTTTATTTCAATTAGGCATTTGATCCACTAAACGAGTCCTTCCCACGGAAGGGGCCAATATTAAATTGAACCTTATCTTCAGTCACATAATGTCCTTTCTTTTGATTTGCTGCTACAGGAAATTATTAAAGGCCTTCCACATGGACTGAAAATTGTTGATCTTTCTGCTGTATGGTTTGTTGCACTCGACATGTTGTTTTTCCTTTTCATGTTACAGTTCAAAGGCAATAAAGTCCTTGCTTGGTGGATTTAGTATTTGTTATTGATAAATTTCAGGACTTTCGACTGCGAGATATTTCAGAGTATGAACAATGGTATGGCCAAGCACATAAAGCACCAGATTTGCAGGTACGATCCATTTTTTGCACAAGTCATATGAGAGGGAGGTGCTCCTTCTTCCTGTCCACGATCTATGTGACTTTAACATATTCTAGTGTGTGTACTGTCTGAAACATTAAAGGGATTCTAATAGAGTTATCCTTGTCGAATGACGAAATACTAGGTAACAAATTTTATTGTTCGAAGAAGAAGTTATTATGCAGCTGAATCAAAAGATTAATGTTCAGTTTGAAGTTCTATTCGTACCCTTGATAAGGAAATTGTACTCTCTCTTAATTATATAAATAACTTGCTGGTGTGTTCTTGACCTGAATGTAGGAAGAAGCTGTATACGGTTTGACAGAAATGTTCAGAGAACAAATAAAAGCTGCACGATTGGTTGCTAATCCAGGGTGTTATCCAACATCAATTCAGCTTCCTCTTGTACCTTTGATCAAGGTTTGTGTTCTTATGTCCACAGAATAAAATAAAAAAGGAAAAGTGACTGGGAGGAGAGCCAATTATTTTCATTTTTGATGATTGGGTCAAAGCTATCATGTTTGTATATTCATTTCCGACCAAGCTCTAATCATTTCTTTGATTGATGTAGGCTAAACTCATCCGAGATCAGAACATCATCATCGACGCAAAATCTGGAGTCAGTGGGGCAGGTTTAAAATTTTATTATCTTGACGTGTATTTCTGCTTCTAATGTTGCAGCGTGCATGGCCTCTTTAGTAACTTATTTGCTATGGTACGTTTTCTCAGGACGTGGTGCCAAAGTGAGTAACCTCTACACAGAATTATCTGAAGGCATAATGTCTTATGGTGTTACAAAACATCGACATGGTAAGTCTCTAGGCCCGAAAATGGAGATTGAAAACTTGTGCTCCATGATACAAATAAGTTGCTTAGAGCTACTAATTCATACTTAATGAATCTTGAATTGTTATCTGATTGAGCATTTAATTTTCTTCTACCTTTTGCCTATAGTTCCGGAAATTGAACAGGGTTTATCTGACGCTTCTGGGGTTAAAGTAACAGTCAGTTTCACCCCACACTTGATGCCAATGGTAACGAACTGATCTGAATGTATTACTTCAACCAATCACACTATTGTTCTCAAGAAAAGAATCTTAAACAACTTCCCATAACTTTTCCAGAGTCGCGGAATGCAATCAACTATATACGTTGAGATGGCTCCAGGCACCACTGTCGATGACTTATACGAGCAATTGAAGTTGTCGTACGAGGTATCCATATTGTTCTCCGTTGTGATTGTGCATGACTTCATTACAAATCTGATAACCGTTCTTACTTCCTTTGTTTTGCAGAAGGAAGAATTTGTGAGAGTTCTAGAGAAAGGAGTGGTTCCTCGAACTCACGATGTCCGTGGTTCTAACTACTGTTACATGAATGTGTTCCCTGATCGAATCCCTAACAGAGCAATCATTATATCAGTTGTATGTATCATCAGTCTCACTCCTTCACTCTCACTCTTTTCATACATTTCCGAAGTTTCTCAGTACGACGCTAGGCCTGACCCTGCTGCTATTTTAACCCCCGAATCGCTTGGTGCTGCTGCAGATTGACAATTTGGTGAAAGGAGCTTCTGGTCAAGCTATACAGAATCTGAACATAATGATGGGTTTACCAGAAAATGCTGGGCTTGCCTCCTACCTGCCCGTCTTCCCTTAGAAGTTAGACCCCCCTTTCTCAAGAACTTGAACTTCTGTGACAAAGTGCTCTTTTTTCCTTAGCAGGGATTTGACTTAGCTGCAAAATGCAAACCTCCTCTTTGATTTAGGCAATGGCTTCTGTAACGCCAAGAAATGTCCTTCAACCTTAGCTTTCATTAAAGTTGGTTGGATCTCCGAACGACATTTCGCTACATACATAATGCACAAACCTTAGATCACTAATACGCAAAATGAATCCGAATCATAATACGCAATGAACATTGAACAGGAGTAGATATCATAAACCTTGTCAAGCATGTCTGAAAGCTGCAGCGGAATGAAAAACAGTCATAAACATCGTCATACTGTATATGCTTCAAAACCAATGGGAAAACATAAAATGGCAAACGGAAGTCAAACAACCGACGAATTCAAACCACTTTTGATACCAACTTCACTTTAGAGCTGCCGAGGGAAAAACTTCTCCAATTCCTTCCTCTCATAGTAATGTGGAGCAATCTCCAGCAACCACTTGGGCTTCACTTCAGAAACTTGCCGCATATACTCCTTCCGAGTTAGCACGAGCTCATGAAACACAACCCACCTTGGATTCGGCTGCACTTTCGCCATTCCGGACTTGGGATGAATCTGCACATTCTGTAAACCTTTCAGAATCCTGTAACTCCCAGAACCTTGGAGAATCCCTATGTGAGGGAAAAAACCAGACATGATCGCCTTCTTAATCGCGTCCAAGTCATTCGGATTCGAGTTCAACTCGATACCTGCCTTCTCCATGAGGTTCATCAACTGATCTCTAACGTCTCTTGCACGTTTCATGCTCCTCGCCTGGATGAAATTCTCACGGCACCACCCACTTGAAAAGTCTGTCTCCTTCCACGAATTATACACCCTAAGAAGAGCAATATGATCTCCAACGTCACCATCCTCGAACCTCTTCTTCGCATTCTCAGCCATTGCCTGCAGATTCTTGGGACTGTAAAAAATCGCATTATCGACAGAAAGCATGGCAGCAATCGTCGTAACCTCTTCCGCACAACCATACTTCTCAGCAGCAATCAGCATCCTCGAAAGCTTTGGATCGAGTGGAAACTCTGCCATCAACTTGCCAATCCTAGTGAGATCACCTTTGCTGTTTAGAGCACCAAGGGCGTAAAGTAGCTCAAGAGCCTTGATCATGCTCTCATCTGATGGAGGATCCATGAAATCAAAATTCTTGAAATCGTTAATCCCAAGTGCCTTCAATGTCAGCACCACGCTGACAATGTCGGACCTCTGTATCTCAGGAACACAATTGTCCTCCATCTGGTTCTGGAAATGATCAGGAGCATACAGCCTAATGCATTTCCCAGGCCCAGTTCGACCAGCACGCCCAGCTCGTTGCATAGCTGATGCTTTTGAAATATCCGTCACCTGCAGCGACCCCATATCAGTGCGGGGACTATACGAACTCAACTTACAAAGACCAGAATCTATAACGTACCTTATCCCTTCAATTGTGAGGGAAGTTTCGGCTATATTCGTTGCCAAGATCACCTTTCGAGCTTTCTCAGGGATCGGATCAAAGATCCTTGCTTGGAGCTCAGTAGGCAGGTTGGCAAACAATGGATGGATGATAAGCTCTCCCATCTTGCTTCCATAATGCTTCACCTTCTCTCTCAACATTTCTTCCACAGTCTCGATATCTTCTTGTCCAGTAAGGAACACCAAAATGTCGCCTGGTTGCTGTGTGACATGGATGTGAAGTGTAGCAGCAACTGCTTCTTCCAAAATCTCGTCCACAGGTTGCTTGTACAAGATATCCACAGGGTACTGCCTTCCTGGAATCTCCAAAATGGGGGCACAGTCGAAGTAATCGGAGAACTTCTCGGCATCCAGAGTTGCACTGCTGATCAGCAGCTTCAAATCGCTTCTCTGCCTCGCCAAATCCTTCACCAAGCTGAAGATTATGTCGGTGGAGACGGTCCTCTCGTGTGCTTCATCCACCATGATCACACTGCAGTTCTTCAAATCCGGTTGAGAGCTGAACTCCCTCAGGAGCATTCCATCAGTCATGTACTCGACAACCGTCTTCTCCGAAGTGCAATCCTCGAACCTGATCTTGTACCCGACTTCATGCCCGAGCTTCACCCCCATTTCGACCGCAACTCTAGCTGCCACGCTCATGGCTGCCACCCGTCTCGGCTGGGTGCAGATGATTTTGCCCTGTTTCGTGTAGCCTGCCTCGTGGAGATACTGAGGGAGCTGAGTTGTTTTGCCTGAACCAGTCTCCCCAACTATCACTAAAACCTGATTATCGTGAATCATCTGAAGCACTTTGTCCTTGAGTTGGTATATGGGGAGGCGCTTTCGGCCATCGCCAATGTGCTTCTTCGAAACATAATCGAGCTTTTGTGTATTTTCATCGTCTAGAGACTTACCTGGTAGTAGCTGACCTTCAACCTTATACAGGCTATCATCGAATAGAAGCTGATAATCATCGGCTTCCCTCTTTCTATTCTTCGACCCGAATTTCACCGTCGCTTTCTGTAACTGATGATCGTCCCACGACTCTAATTTCTCGAATCCTCCGGTGTCGCGCTTAGACGCGGCGCCAAATCTCCTCCGCTGATCAATTAGCCCGTCGCCATCGTAGGCTTCCGGAAACCGATACTCCCCGCCGTCACTACCGCCGACGGATTCAGAGAACTTCTTGTTGGCCTCGAGAAACCTCTCCTCTTCACTCAATTCCAAGCCCTCGATCAGAAATTCTTCATGTTCAATCCAATCGTCCAGCTGCTGAAGCTTCTCCTTCTCCCTTTTCTTCAAATACTCCTGACGGGACTTCTTCCTCAAAGCCCTAATAACTTCTCTATCATCCGTATCCATTCTCTTCTTCTTATTATTATCTTCGCCAACGACGACACCGGTTGCAGAGTTCGAGGAATAAGCTACGCCGGTGCCGGAATCGTGATCTTTATCTTCATCGCTCTCCGCCACAATTAAGCGGTACTGCCTCTGCTTCCTGGCCAAAATTTCATTTTTCTTCACCTCATCGCGACGCGAATTTGATCCCTGCGCAGCGGCCTTACGAGAAACGCTGAGGAAGAGATCGGCGGCAAGCGAGCGAATGTCATCGCCTCCGTCGACCCCATATTCGAGCAGCTTGTCGACAATCTCTTCAGGAGAATTCGCGTTTTGGGAGATCGCGGCGGTGTACTGGACCACCAGAGCCCAGAGGGTGAGAGAATCGCAAGAAGGACATCAATTTCTCGGAGACGAGGGTTTTAACAGAAGGCTCGTTCGGCATGACTGCGAATTGCGAATGAAACAACGAAAGAGGTGAAGAAAACCTAAGAAGGGGATGAATTGCAGGAATGAAAGAGGAGAAAGAAGAAGCTTTAATGAAAGCCCGGTGGATTTCCTTGGGCGCCAAGCAACCCGAATCCGGTTCGGAACCGTTTCTTTCCTGTGATGGAGAATCTGTTGTCATTGTAAGGATTTAGGAATACCAAACGGTGCACTTTAGCTAGAGTCACTTTCGGGCTAATAGTGGGCTTGTGCATGGATTGGGTTTGGGTTTGGGTTTGGGCTGGGTTAATAAGGTCAGATGTTCGGTTCTTTCGCCACAAGAGAACAATAAACCATATCGAAATGACTAGACATTGTTATGGCTTCATGGGATTAGCTCTCTACCTCCCTCCCAAATTGGCTTCTTTCTTTGGAAGTGCTCAAAGAAAGCAATTCTCTAAACAGAGTGTTTGTTCTCGTGTAAAATGATCTCACAACACGAAGTGTCTCATTTGTTATACACCGACAAAATCAGTGATGCATTGTCACTTCTATTGCCAACACGCTTTGGCCTAGGGGTGGGCATACGGTTCGGTAAAATCGAACCTAACCTAACCGAACCGAACCGAATATAAACCGAACCGAAACCGAATTAATGTTATTCGGTTCGGAATTCGGAAGAGAAAAGGACATATTTCGGAAATCAGGGTCCTTTCGACCGAACCGAATTTCCGAATTCCGAACCGAAAAATCGAATTATTATAATTGCAAGCTCTAAATGGTGGATTTTTATGTTTTTACTTATTACGAGACTTAAATATTTGAATCATGTTAGTGTTTTATGACTTATGTGTTGAAATGTTTGATTTTATCATTGATGATACATATTTATTGTTTACATTAGGGTGAAAAATAATTTAAAAAAGAGAAAATACAAGCTAACCTCACTATTTCGGTTTTGTATGAAAAACCAAACCGAACCGAATTATAATTCGGTTTGAACCGACCGAACCGAATTATAATTCGGTTCGAATTCAGTTTGAGGTTTGATAGAATTCGGGGACCCGATATGCATAATTTCGGTTCAGTTTGAACCGAACCGACCGAATGCCCACCCCTACTTTGGCCACTTGGGACATCTAGGGCCTCCACTGCCTTCCACCCCCAAGATGCTAGTTTCAAGTCTTGGTTTTTCGACCTCCATGTGAGATTTCGTACAGAGGTGAGAAAAATGAATTTTATAGACAAAACGTTGAGTTTCAGTACAGCCTTTATATATTGTTAACCAAATTATCATCTAGTACCTATAAAAACTATTATTACAAGAAACTACCCAGAAACAACAAAATTACACTTTTGTTCCTATACTACTAACACTCCATAGTAACAAACGTATGTTCATATTCGAAAGATTGTGTGCTATCTTTGGATCATTTTATGCTCTTGTAATGCTTTCATTTCGAAGATAAGGCTCCTACCCCAGATTCAACAACTGAAATTGTGTTTGGTCGTGACTTCAAATATATTGATTGAGGAAGCACAGACGCACAATAATGTCATTTTCTCATCATCAGTATTCGACACAATCTACCTCTCATCTTAGGGGTTCCCGTTCTAAATCTTGACCACCGTCTACTTCTTCCATATGATTGATGAAATGTGACAGATCCTTGTCTCATATTTTTCAAAGAAGGCGTATAGGCTTGCTATTGCTAATGCTCATGGTTGAGTGTACGACGACATAGCTTAGTCTCTACTTTGGTCCCATCCTAGTCAAGCGGAAGTCTTTGGAGTACTCCTCAAGATTGCAGCTCAAGAGAGAATTCCTACTATTATATTATTCGAACGGATTGGCAGGTTCTCTCAATATCTCCGCAGCAAGATCCCTCCCGCTTGCCTTGGTAGTGTAGAGCGACCATTGCACGTATATATGATCCCTATGTTCCATTCATCACCGTGGATCAAAGTTAAATTTGTTCCTTAATGGTTGAAATTACTTGCTGATTGAGTAGCTTGTCATACTAGATTGGATTCTTTACCAGTGGACGGGTTAGCAGTGATTATAAGGGTGAAGGGTATCGGGTAGAAGTACCATAAAACTACTGGATATATGTTTAATTTTTTATTTCAACATAATTTTTTTCTAAATAAGAGTGATATATGTTTAAAATAAAAGAACAAGTACGAATATAGACATAGTTTTATTTTATATCATTTGATCATGACTAGTCGACACATGTTATTTATCTACAAACTTCAAGTTTGTGAGAATTCTTTTGTTTAAGATGACATATCCTAAGGGGTCGTTTGGTTTTGGGATAGTTAAATTGATGCATTGTCATCAATGCATGTATATAAGAAAATTGGTGTATTGTAGTTTACATCGTTTGGTTCCTGTGATAGTTATTGTAGTATTTAAACAAGTTATATTACTTTTTGGGTGAAATATCAATATTACCCTTTGTTTTTAATATTAAAAAGTAACACACATAAAAAGATAGGGACATAGTTGGAAGAAAAAATAACCCAACAATCTCCACCAAACAATCTCAACAATCTTACAAAAAACTTTAGATTTAACTATCACTTATTTTGAGTGATAGTTTGTCTCACATCAAGCAAACAATGCATGTATTGTTTGTGCAGAAAATTCAAAAAAATAATGCATTGTGGACAATACATGCATTGTAATTTGTAACTATCCCATCAAATAATCACCAAAACCAAAATTATTGATTTGAATATGTTCTCCACGTTCTCTTTCTCTTTATTTTCTAATAAAATAAAATATCCATATCGGTATACTTAAAAAAAACATATATATTGATACCTTTAATGAACGAATGCCATCAAATTACTAAAATCTGCGTATGTGTCTCCCTCGAAAATAATGGAGCTTCTGTTTGATTGTGACCTATACATTCATGCTTTCGGTTAACAAAAAGTGGTTTGACATAACACCTGGCTGTAGCTAATTAAGCGAATCTTATCTCTAAGTCGACATCCCACTATTAACCAGACATGATTTCAGAAGTACTGATTTAAGCTTATCCCTAAAAAAAAAAAAAAAAAAACATTAACCATATATCGCATAGAATGGTAAGATCGGTAAAGGCGTAGGTTTCAATTTAGAATAATGATGGGTTCAAGACTACCTTAGCAGTTGTAATTTGTGTGTTATGCTTATGATCGCCACCGACACGACAAGTTTATTTGTTCATCTACACTACTTTTATGTAATTGTCGGATATTTATGAATGCCATGTTTACTGTCTGCTATGAATTTCTCTCTAATTAGAAAAACCATATAAGCTCTTTTTTAAAAAGCCAATGAAAACAAAGGTAAAAGATATTTCTACTTCAGAAAAACTTGAAGCATTTCCTATTTCAGTTTTAGTCAAAATTGGAATTCAAAGCTTTATATAATGGAATATGTTTGTTTGGTCGATCTAAATATTGAAGAGATAATATTTTATTGTTTATGAGAAAATAGAAGAACAATACTGACAACCCATCGGTTCGAAGTCAGATAGTTGGATAGTGAAATTCATCATCCTATTCATATATTGTATACAAGATTCATGTAGTAAATTAAAATTGTGCTCGTAGCCAATCAAATTTCGAGTATCTATGGTATCTAAGGATATACAACTTGTCGTTTATCATCTCAACTAACGTATTACCAAATATTAACATTACACATGAGATAAAATACAAATAAATAAAAAATACTAGGATAAGTAATAAAAAACAATAATTCACGGAATAACGAAAACCTCATATTATCTAATCTTAGAACATATAACTTACTCGAAGCATTTCAACGGTTCAAACAAAAAGTAACTATAACTACTTTTATAATCGCGACAAAACTTGAATTTGACCACTATATTATTATATGAGATATATCATTGGCCTGCAAACATGCATGTTCATATATGAATTGCGGTCTTTCCAATCTAGCTAGCTAGGAGAAGAAAAGAAAGAAAGAATTTTAAGACCATATACTAATATTATAAACATTAAATCCAGGCAGTCCACGTATTCTAGATGGCCATGCGAATATTCAAAAATGGATGCGCTTAAGGTCATAATCACCGACTAAAAACTTGCACGACCATTTTTCCGCATAAACAAGCAAATCCTTTGTTGATCTCTTCGTCATCTCGACCACCTTTCCTTCTCCTATAAATTCCCACTGCCATAACCCACTCTCTCTTCACCATCAACCCAACCTAGCTAAACAAACTACTGCTTCTTCTTCTTCTTCTCAATCATCTTCTAAAGCAAAAAAAATGGGAGTTACCACAGCAACCCACGAGTTCAAGTCCTCCATCCCAGCCTCAAGGATGTACAAGGCCATCATCCAAGACTCTCCCACCGTCTTCCCCAAGTTCATGCCACAATACAAGAGCGAGATCGTCCACGGCGATGGCGGCGTCGGCAGCATCCTCCAGACTTGCTTCGCCGATGAAGGTATATATCCTTCCATCTGAAACGTTGGTGCAAGTTCATACTGACATCTTTCTTAATTTTTTACAAATTTTAATGTATAAGCTTGGGGTTGATGGTGATGTGCAGGGAACCAAGTGAAGGTTGTGAAGCACAGGGTGGAGGCCAAGGACCCGGCCAACTTCTACAGCAAGTACACCTTGATCGAAGGCGGCGCGTTGAGCGACAACGTGGAGTCTGTGGTGAACGAGGTGAAGATTGAGCCGGCCGGCGATGGGTGCGTCGTCAAGGCGATCAACCATTACCATACCAAGGGAGAGGCTGACAAGGCTTTCATTGAGAGCATTGGACAGCAAACTCTGGGCGTATACAAGGCTGTTCAGGACTACCTCTTGGCCAACCCCACCGTCTGCGCTTAATCGAGTCATTCTGATCAACTGGTCAAGTTTCGTGTGGAGTGATTAAGCAACTACTTAATCCATAATAAACAAAATAATAAGAATATGGAGGTGTATACCATATGTTGAGGAAGTAGTTGCAAGTGTGGTTGTTTAATTTTGTGGTCATAATTGTGGAGTGTGTGGTTATTTGTTACTCTAATCGTAGTGCTTGGTTGTGCTTTTCGTGTAATAAAGTGTTGGTTTCATTCGTCTTTCATGTACTCAAGGTGAAGAGTTTTGAATGATCAATATATAAACGGTTTGACTATATGGTTTATCTAGTTATTCAACTAAAAGGAGATAATATTTTGCATTAAGAGAACTTTACGTCGGTTTTTAATCATAAGTTTCTATTAACTTGAGATTGACGTGATAGCAATGAGAAAACAAATATCTAAAACATTTAGTGTTCCATCCTTAACTTATATATATAGTCGTTGATAAAAATTAATATGCCTAGAATTCATGGCGGACCTAATTCAAGCGATTAAAAATTCCGACAATAAACTGCCAAACGGAAAAAAATGCAGTCAATATACAAAGTCGGCTTTGAACCATCGATTCATTGGCTAGTTTAAATTTCAAGTCGTTTAGGTATATTTTCCAAGACAATGCAAATTAAATCACTTTCTGGACGACACAATGAGAAGTTTCTAGGATAAGAAAATGTTAATTTAAATTGACTATTATGACCTCTTATTTACCGTCCCTGATTTTCAGAAGGTGAAGTTCTCGTAGCCGAAGGGGAGAGAGGTTGGTTTCGAGATCTTGGATCGGGATACACTTTAGTTTTGGTATAGAATTTGAGGAATTATAAGAAATAATATGGTAAAAATGGATTTGCATGCTAACCTCATTATTATCATGCATGTCACGTATTTATCAATCAATTACAAGTTATCTTAATTCTTAAATATAGATGAGGAGGCATCTATGATATATGTCAAGTTTCGGGTGCATATATAGAATACATAATTATCATTTATAAATGGTGATGAAATCATTTGTAAGAATTAAAAAATAGTCCATTAATGGTACAAATGGATGTTTACAATTAAGAAATTAATTTTATATATTTTAAAATATTTACACCACTTGTAATGCTTATATGGTGCATCATAGACATGCTCATATAAGCATGCATTCTAATGTATATAATACGCTATAAATTTTCACATAAATTAAAATAAATCTCTATCTCTCCAACACAAATCTCTAATGGTCTTGGATTTCACCGTCTTAATCACTTGATTTGCTAAAATGGGAAAAGGTCCGTCGAACTTAGATCATTAGATATTTAAAATATTAATGTTGAAAATGACCACCAATCTAGAATCCTTGGACTAACTCGAAATCCAAGACCAATAATATATATGAGTATTAAATATTTGGACCGACCCGTCTAACTAGATATGTTTTTGTGTATTCGCATGGCAAAGTAGAAATGTGAGATTAATTACTTGCTTGTACGTAGTTCAAACAGGTCACGTGCATGTACTTGCAGAAATTCCACCTTTGCCGCAGACGGATTGCTTGTTTGAGCAGATCGGATAACAAAAATCGAGGTGTCAAAATGAGAGACTTGGATCGTATATAATTGAATCGACAAAAGTACGTTATTTATGAAAATAATAATTTAATGAGCCACATTCAACGTGTGGAGCGATATAATCAATAAATAAACTAAACACCAATCAGGTTGACTTTTGAAATCATATATTTGAACTCATATTTACATATTAACGGCATTCAATTAAAAAAAGATGGCCCCTGAGAAAGGAAATTGAGTATACACATATAGCATTTTACCTAGCCAGGCTAGTAATTGCCAATTGGTCCAAACAGCTGTCAGTCAATATTGATGTCACATTGACCTTTGGAGCTAGTCCAGGAATTCTAGATGGTGCTAAAGATGATCAATGTAGTCGTTTTCAACAAAGGGATGCCGCTCAAACATTTAGTCTTCATTTACAAGATATAGCCCTTGAAATTTTGGGGAAGAGCTAATCAATCAATCAATCAAACAGTCCCTTCTGCATTAGACTATAAATACCAGCCAATCAACCCTATAGCTCTTTGCATCCTCATCAATCCCTCTAGCTAGATATTACTCGTTAATCCCCTTCTAAAACATCCAAACCCTAGCTAGCTAATCCATTAGTTCAAAACAAAATGGGAGTTACCACAGCAACCCACGAGTTCAAGTCCTCCATCCCAGCCCCAAGGATGTACAAAGCCATCATCCAAGACTCCCCTACCGTCTTCCCCAACTTCATGCCTCAATACAAGAGCGAGATCGTTCAGGGCGATGGTGGCGTTGGTAGCATCCTCCAGACTTGCTTCGCCGACGAAGGTATGTAACCCTTCATTCATATACACATTTAATTTGCTTGATCAGCAGCAGTTGGTGCAAGTTTATACCGTTGCACGACATTTTTTAACCGAATTTTGATATCTATAGGGAATCAAGTGAAGGTGGTGAAGCACAGAGTGGAGGCCAAGGACCCGGCCAGCTTTTACAGCAAGTACACGTTGATCGAAGGTGGCGCGTTGAGCGACAACGTTGAGTCGGTGGTGAATGAGGTGAAGATTGATGCTGCTGGCGATGGCTGCGTGGTCAAGGCAATCAACCATTACCATACCAAGGGAGAGGCCGACAAGGTTTTGATCGAGACCATCGGACAGCAGACTCTGGGCGTCTACAAGGCTGTGCATGACTACCTCTTGGCCAACCCAACCGTCTGCGCCGCCTAATCGAGTGACTCCCCCAGCTAATCAAGTTCATTTGGAATTTAAGCAACTACTTAATTCGTCCATCGTAATAATAACAATATGGTGCATGTATAAATAATCATGCCATATGCTAAGGAGGAAGTTGAGTGTGGTTTTTAATTTCTCTAGTTGTAAAATAGAGCGTTGTCCATATAGCAGCTGGATGGTTTCATTCAGCTGTCTATCTATGTACTCAAGGTGATGAGATGAGCTTTTGTTGATCCATTTGTCACCTTTAGAAACAAACCATAAACCATACTGGAAAGCACTCAAGTGAATCCAAATTAAGAAAGTAATAATGGCACACATAATGTACCAACATGTACGTAGCATTCACTTAAAGCAATAGATATAATAAATTGATGATTAAGGTAACCATACATATGAAGAAGGTTGACAATAGTAGTTACATAGTTCTTTTATATTAATGGCGAATGATTTTACTAAACAATACACACAAAAATCACTCAATATATAGAGAGAAAAAAGTAGAATACATGAACCATCCAGCAGCTGTAGGAAAGGAAGCGCGCGGTAGAAACACAGCAACAGCAGAAGAAACGCACATATATATATCTCACATGATGATTTCATCACTCTGCTTGCCAAAGATGCTAGGCCCAAACGTGGAGAAGAGCAACTCAACCAAGAGAGGGAACTGCAAAAACGCAAACAGAAGTGACGGCACGGATGCCACGAGACCGATCGGAACCATTATCCAGTTCACGTTGTGGTACAGAACGAGGTGCAACGACGCACCAAAAGCAATCAACATCGCCGCTATAGACAGAAACAATGTCAAGAGCCCGATCCCCATCTTCATGGGCAACGACCTCAAGAAATCCTTCTCCGAATATCTGGAGGTTAGGATCCCCAAGAACATGAGGAGCGAAGTCGACGACGAGAAGAGAGCTAGAGTGTCCGCTGCCAAGAACACCATGAGAGACGGTTCTTTTAGGTAATTCGGTGTCCCGTCGTCTTTCTGACCCCCAGGCAGAGTGAAAGCCGCCGCGAAAGCTACCGTCACTACAAGTGCCGCCACGAGGGAGCACGAGTTAGCTGTGTCCTTCATCCATTTCTCTCCTTGCTCGATTAGGGTTTCATGGTGCTTTGTAAATATCTCGCTTGGGGTATCAAGCTCATTATTCTTCATTTCTCTGAAAGTGTGTTGGACTATCTTCTCAACTTCCTGAGAAAGAGAAAAAAATACATTAAACAGCTAGCACCTATTCGTTAGCATTAATAATGGTAAGAATTTGACAAATTAGCGTACATAAGGTTGAATCTCAGTAACTTAATGTACAATTGACAAAGCTACATATAGAATATTGACAAACGAATCATAACCCCAATGAGAAAACAGATGGTGAAAATAACATTTGTCGTTTCCGAAAACAGTAGAAAGTTGCCACTTTCTCTTTTCATAGTTGGAAACGAATAAAAAACAGAATGAAAAATAAATAAGTTTTCTCGTTTCGGTTGCCAAATTTATGACATGAAAACATAAAATAGGAAACGAAAATGGAAGTGAACAGAGACTAATTAATCCTTACATTGAACCATTGAAGTTCCCGCTGAAGTTGGAGAGCAGCGCCAGGGATTTTTTCCGTGGGCCCTAGCTTGCTGGCCATGTGAAGCAAGTTATCTCCGGTGGTCGGGTTAACAAAGGCAGCGGCCAAGGTTTTGGCGGCGCTCATTTGGTACATGATGTTGAAAACCTCTTCTTGACGGTACAATACAGCCACGTGAAAGATGTCGCGACCCTGGGTGTCGACAAACCACATTGCCATGGGATAGGCTTTGACGATTTCCTTCACTATTTCGGAGATCCCCGACATGGCGGCCAACGATATCGCCGGCGCTAATAGGGTTTTGACCTCTGCTGTCGTGGCAGCTTTCAAGATTTCGGAGATCAAAAACCTCACCAGATCCATCACCTGTGTGTGCTCCTTTCCAATTTCCATTGTCGTCGCAAAAGTAGTCTTCTTACACACTTTCAACAACGACGACTTGCAGTGACGCCAGAATCGCCGGCAGTGTCCAATCCTTGTTCCGCTAGGAAATGCTTGAGGCCTTTGAGCCAGTGTAATTATGACAGCTCTGCCGTCTGTGAATTTTTCCCGACCGCGAGCAAGTGAAGGGAATCTCCTCAATAGGTGGAGAGCCAGTCCTATAAGGCAAGTGTATGTTAGTATATGTGATTACGTGGTATATAATCTATAATTGAATCTCTTCTAACAACTCGAGTTATTGAGATCAGTTGATTATTTGATTTCTGATATGCTATCGAGCAGGGGCAAAGCTAGAGGCTAGTAAGGGGTTCAATGACAACCCCTTAAATTTGGAGAAAACACACAAACAAAATTGGTAGGATAAGTATGTTGATAGTGATATTTACAGGTCGTTTGCTTCATAATTTGAAAAATGAAAGTTTTGATAAATTTTGGGTTTTATAAAATCATGAATATATGAGGGTTTTGGGTTTATTATGAACTTCAAAAATATTTCATAAATTTCATGATATATTTAAGCCACAAAAAATTATATAAACTAATTTTATCTATTAATTACTAGTTACCCTACATTATATTCAAGCTTATCAAAATGGATAAAAAAAGTATATATTATTAGATGAAATTATTAAATTTTTATGACAATGATAGTTGGAAGAGAAAATTAGTTCCATCAATGCATTTTCTTGTAAACATAGATTGGATTTGCTAATGTCAGTTGCCAATTCACAATTTGATAACATTTTATACAATAACACGATTGACCACCTATTGCATCAAGTGAAATTGTAAATGGATGTTTGGTGGGATATATTAAGTGTGAAATATTGATAGTTTGGTCGAGTGAAACAAGAACATAAGGAGAAGGAAGAGTTAATGACGGACATACCATAGAAGTCATCAAGTATGAGCAGATTAAGAAGCATGACGCCATCGTTAACGGGAAGAAGAGCATCGTCAGTTAGCGGACGCCAGGTGTGATCGGGGGTAACCGATAACAGATAAGTGACGGCGTCCCTCTGGCCGTACCTAGCAGCAGCGGTAACTGGAAGGTCGAACGAGGCGGCGCTTGACGCCCTCTGCTGCAACAATTCAGGGGACTTGTGCACCAGAATCTGTGCGGCCTCGACGTTGCCGACCATGGCTGCAAAGTGCAAGGCCGTGAGGCCGGTGATAGGTTTGGCCGTCCCGAGCGAAGCATGGGGCAACAAATCCACCAACCTTCGAATGAACTCCGGCGAGCGGCTGCTGCTGATCGCCACGTGGAGGGGAGTGCCATGCCCCTCCGTGATCTTAGCCGTCAGAGACCAAGGATCGAAGTCAAAAAACGCCTTCGCCGCTTCCCAGTCGCCGTTGTATATTGCCTTCACCAGCTCCACGTAATAGCGAGGGTCCTTCACCAAACCCTGCTGCTGAGCAACCTCCACCTCCACCTGCTCCATATTAACGTACGTACGCACGTACGTATCCAGGCAAGGAAACACAACAACAATTAATATTAAAATAATATACAATTATATTATATGTGATCTCTACACCAACTAGACAAATTGATTTAATATATATATATATATATATAGGAGTCCCGACGGCTTCTTTGTCATCCTTTCTTATTCTTTCCTTCTTTTGCGTTCCACGAGCTTTTTGGCTAGCTACGAGAAAGAGCGAGCTCAGGTGTGCGCCAAAAAACAATGGGAGGGAATCGTACGCACTTTATACATGTTTTGCTTTGTCTTTATTTCTTCCTTTGCTTGAACGCTGGAAATAGAACAAGGTTCTTAAATATATATGCTACTCATCTTTCGTCGTGAACCTCGTTCATAGAAGATTTTTGTGGGCAAAACCCTAATACTTTTACTAATACTTACGTAGTATTTAAGGGATTTGAACTGAAATATCTCGGTTTAATAATTGAGATATTAACATGCCATGCATATACATGTACTTGTACCGACTGCATGTATTAATAGTCGGTTGTGTTGGTATGAGTTGAACAGATCATTTGTCGTCGGCTCGAAGGCACGGGAGGTCTCGTTGCCTGGTCGGCGAGTCGGTTGTGTTGTATGGGCTTATACATGTTTGGGTTTCTGTTATTGGTCTAGTCTGTAACGTTATTCTTTACTAGATTGGATAAGGGTAAGGTTGTCTTGAGAAGTATTATATACACTT